TCGGCTGGGTAAGATGGGTTGCCGGAAGGCGTGACACTCGAGTAGGCCGGCGGGGGGTCGTTCAAGCCCAGTCGCTGATAATCCTGTTCCAGAACGCTGACTTGCAAGTTCGTTTGTTCCCCTTGGTTCTCTGCCTGCTGAGGAGGAGGACTGAATGTGGGTTGCGTAGGACTTGTAACCGGATTCATGCCCTGGTATACTGTAGGCGGGCCATGAGGTTGGTTCTCTGGGTTCTCCGTCGGAGTCCACGGCCGCGCGGGTGGTGGTGCTCCTCCGTACTGAGCCAATCTCTGGGAAGCCGCAGCGCTCTGGGCCTGTTGCGCCTGCAGGCTGGTCAGTGTCGCCGTGCCCGAGATGCCAGAGGCGGCATATCGCGCCTCGATGCCGCCGCCCGGGATGACCCCTGGTTCGACGATTGGGGTCTCTGGTGGGGGTGGAGATCCTCGGCTGGCGCGGGTTGTGGAGGTCGAAGCTGTCGAGGCGAACCTATTCACGCTGTTCTGGCCGGGCATCTCGAGATGATCGGTACTCTGAGCACTCTGAGATGGTGGTCGGGCCTGGTACTGGCTCTGGCTCTGGGCGGGCGGCGTAGAACTGGACGCGCCACCCGGTGGCGGGTAGTAGGGCTTCTTGGTGTAAGACGGGTAGTTTGTAGTCGAAGCAGCCGGTCGCTGAGGTTGCGGCGCTGTCAGAGGCTTCGCAAAGAGGCCGCCGTCGTCGCCAGCCGGGCTCTGCGGGGATGTGGCGCCCAAGGGCCTCGGACCGGTGCCGCGTCGCTCGGCGAGGGTAGGACTCTTGGTCTCTACGGGGCTGGTCGCATTGAAGCGCGGGGTAGTATCATTGTAGTCGGAGCCAAATCGCTTCGGGGCGGTGATGGTTGGTTTGGTAGGTTTTCCAGGTCGAAGATCCTCCTCGTCGGGATACGGCAGAGGAGCAGCTGAGCTCGAGGCGCCTGGCGGTAGAGGGAAGGTCGGCTTCGATGTGAAGGAAGAGGAGCCCGAGGCGGACGGAGGCGCGGGGTACTTGAAGCGGTCGTTGGCGGGGTTGGGACTCTGGGGTTTGAATATTCTCAGGGGCTCGACGGTCGGGCTATCGCAGTCTTCTTCGGCGGGCTTGTGAAGGAACAGTTCGGCATCGGGAAGGCCGCGACTGCGCTCCATGATGGGCGGCGATGTTGTATCGTCGAATCTGGCCAAAGATAGATATGTACTGATATCTGGGGGCCGGCCGACTTGCGCAGGTACGCGGATGCTTGATGCGGGATGCGAATGACGCACTGCGAAAGCTCAAGTCTGCAGGTCAGGGGGAGCAAAAAGTTATTTATAGGAGCTGTCGAAGGTCGAGGTTTCGTGCCTATCGTTGGATGCTTGAGAGGATCGCAGCTGCTGATGAGGGGTGGTGGGGTCCAGGTTCGAGTCTCACGGGAGAGGTCGCAGATATGGCCGGTCGGTTGTTAGGCCCGTTAGACGGATGAAACGGCTGCGGCACGGAAACAAAACCAGTGTATTTTCCAAACGTGTGTATTTCAAGAGGGAAAAAAGTCAGAAGTCGAAAACTATCAACCAGAGGGGGAGCGCGTCCAGGACAAAGAATAAGAACGTGCCAAATAGGACGACAGGAGCAGGAGGGAAGCAAGCAAGCGCCAGGTAGGGTTTGGGTCTGGCAGCGGGAAGCAATGGGCAAAGTGCAAAGCGGCAGCATCAGGTAGGGACATGGGGCCAGGATGGGGATGGGATGGGACTGGGAACCAGGGGGGGAGGCGCTCGCCAGCGGCAGAGAAGAGAGAGAGAGGGGGGGAAACTTGGATGTTCCTCAAGGCACAGGCAGGCTGCAACGCCGCACACAGACTGTAGACACCACCACCTCACATAGGAGGGCGTGGCCGGGCTGTCATGGCATGGCATTTGCAGGGAATGGGCGAGATGGGCCCTCGCCGCCGCCTCGGTGGCCTCCTCGACGATGAGAGAGCCAGCTGCCCAGGAGTGTCGAGAGAAACGAGTGGTTGAGTTTGCAAGTCCTAGCCAGTGGTGACCAGTGACGAGTGACCAGGAGCCAAAGAGCCTGAACAACGTCGATGTATGGAGCCCTGCATGGTGGCATCTTGTTCTACTGCGTAGCGAAGCTTCATGATTGGCTGTGTATCATGGGCGCTTAGAGAATGGTGCAGCAGCAAATGGGCAATCTTCATCTCGAAGTTGCAAGCGCCTGCCCATGACTGCGAAGCTCTTGGCTCGAAAGAAGTTCCCAGTCTTTCCAGATTCCCAGAGAGCCGTGAGAGCCTAGAGCGTGGTAGCGGAGCCACTTGAGCTCGTAATGCGCATAGAGGGAGATGAGAGTGATGAAGAGTGATTTGTCGAGTGCGGCATCTGGGATCCGGTGAGTCGAAATGCGCCGAGACAAGCAGTGACGAGATAGGGGTTGAACTTGGTAGTGCCCGCTCATCTGCAGCTCTCGTGAACCATCACTTGATGGAGGCGCCTAGGAGATTTTGGTGTTGAATTTCTCCAAGTGGGAAGATGGTGGTAAAAGTAAAGAAAGCGTCCAAGTGACAGACAGACGGGACTTGCAGGTTGGATCGACACGGAGGGAACCGGTACCTTCACTGTCTGAGATACGTACCCGTCCATGGAGATGCCAGAAGCACGGGCCATATTCAGATGACTCTTGGCCCAAGCTTCGACGGGTAATTACATAAGCCCGAATGTCTCCGCTTTTCAGGCACAGCGGCGGCGTCGTTGGTTTGCCTCCGAACAGGTCGTCCGTCATTGGCCGAGCTCGGGGTTGTCGTCGTCGCCCTCTTTCGTTGCATTTGCACTTGCACTTTCATATGATTTTCATTATCGAAACTCTCGGCTTCAACAAATGGGACTCGGACAATACCAACTGCCTCAACAATATCCCGGCAACTTGTTCCGAAAGCGAGTCACATTCAGGGGAATGTTGACTCACACAACTTACTAGCCTTACGACAGCTCCACGCATTGCATGGACCAACAACACCAGCGACGAATTGAGGCCTCAGTTTGGCGTGCGCGGCCTCTTTGCTGCCAGTGGCGAAGAATCAAGCACCCTCTCAGTGACCACCCACTATCCGCATCTGAAGCTGCAACCAATTCCCATGTGCTAGAAGTGTGGCACACGCAACTTGCCAACTCCCGAGCTCATCGCAAACTGACACAGCGGGACCGAGTTACGCCACATTCCACCCCGCACTTCACCATATCCCGCTGCCAACAGTCCACTCCCGGGCCCGGGCTCTAGGCTGCTCAGCTGAAGCTTTTTGCTCGGTCCCGCGCGGGCTGCGTAACACAACTGACATGGGACGTCAAAGAAATGGTGGGCGGCGTTCTTTCCAAGGCAATCAACCCATACGCGGCTTTCTCTAGCAGTCTAGAGTCATGAAGGCGTAAGATACCAGGTACCTTCTTGTTCGGTCTCCGACCACGCCTGAATCTACACTCCGCTGCGGACATTTGCCCTACCCCATCAATAAATTGATGGTTCGGAGCTCGGTGTACAAGTCTACCGCCCACCGACGGGGATCCAATGGGCTGTTTGGGCCGATCCCCCTACCACGACGACGCGTGGCGATGTTGTACCTCCTCCCATGTGCCCATGTCCCTTCCCTTCGAAACCATTCTGACCTGTTCGACCGCCAAAGGCTAGAGGTGTATTGACTGAGGCTCTGACTGGTTCGACCTGGTTGCTTTCGCAAGTGCTTTTGCCTTCCACGTTTTGCTAGTAGTGTATCAGCCGAAAAGGCCTACGCATGCTCCTGCCTTGTAAATGACATGGCCCTGTCGTCGTCGTCTCATGATATATAAATGATCTCCTTCATCGACATCATGCTTTCTCTTTCCTTTCCCTCCTCAGCTTCATTGCTTTCCGACAATCATCACCATCCTTACCATCCTACTCCTCACTTACACAAACCTCATCAATCCACACCCTCAAACAATCACACATACACATACAGAAAACCAACATGTCTTGGGCAGGTCCAAACGGTAATAACAATCCTTGGGGTCGCCCAGGTGGCCCTCAAGGCCTCTGGAGCTTCATCCACTCCCTCGATCCCAACATGCGCGCCGGCGCCGGCGTAGACCACTCCACCGGCCCCGGTCCCTGGGCCAACTTCCCCCCAGGCTTCCCCTTCCACGGTGCCGAACACCCCTTTGGCGGCGGCCCCGGTGGCCCTGGCGGTTGGGGAGGTCCCTACGGCGGCTGGGGTGATTTCCGCGGCGGATTCGGTGGTCATCGCCGCGGTGGTGGTCGATGCGGCGGTAGAGGTCACCACGGACGACGCGGCGGCGACATGAACGACGGCGAGGACGAGGTCGTCGACGAGACCATGCGCAACGCAGACGATACCCCCGAAGAGGGCGACTTCTCCGACAAGGAAAAGGACGACTCCCCCGATACCATGCGCGACGGCCCCAACGAAGACGGCCCCGAGCACGCAGGCCATGGACACGGACACCCTCGCCACCATCACGGCCCCGGCCGCGGAGGTCGCGGAGGTCGCTTCGGCGGTGGACCCCCCGGCGGCGGACCTGACCCCTGGGGCGCGCGCCACAGCAGACACGGAGGCCACCACGGTCACCGGGGCCCACCTCCTCCCCCCGGTCCCCCGCCCCCCTTCGGCGCACCGCACCCGCCTCCACCCCCTCCCCCGCCCTACGGCCACAACCCGGCCGGCACCTTTGATTTCGCAAACTGGCAAGAGTGGTTGAACCAATTCGCCGACCACCCTTTTGCCCAACAAGTCCGCGACTGGGCCACCCGCTTCGGCGGCCTCAACGCCAACAACGCCGCCGGCACCCGCGATGGTGCTGGAAACAACGACAACGAAAACACCGACATCGACTCGGCATTCACGCCCCCCGTCGACATCTTCTCCACGGACCGCGCCTACGTGCTACACTTTGCCCTCCCCGGCGCCAAGAAGGAGGACGTCGGCGTGAACTGGGACGCCGACAAGGGCGAGCTCCGCGTCGCGGGCGTGGTGTATAGGCCCGGCGACGAGGAGTTTTTGGCGACTTTGGCGTCCGGGGAGAGAAGGATCGGAATGTTTAGCCGGTCTGTGCCCTTGCCGCCTCGTACGCGTCAAAATGCTTCTGCTACCTCGGAGAGAGGGGAGGAGATTGACGCGCTGGCTATCACGGCCAAGATGGAGGATGGGATCTTGGTGGTGACTGTGCCCAAGATCGAGAAGGAGTGGACTGAGATTCACAAGGTTGATATCGAGTAAGAGGAAGATCAATGATGAGCTTCTTTATTGCTTAAGGAGGATTTTTTTTTGGTGGAAAGCGGTTGGATGTAATGGAAGCTTCACGGTTAATGATTTTGGGGTTTGGGATATTTTGGATTTTCGGTATTGGCTCGTTTCAATATTTTTTTTGATATCAGGGTAAATTAGATAGCTTCAACAACCGTTTACACCACTATTCTAGTACTTTTCCTCTGAAAGCGAATGTGCACTACTGCCGTGACCAGTCCACGATTCAAATAGTATTTCTACGTGAGCCAACATCACAGTCAAGTAAATAGCAACGTTCGATCCCATTGAGTGGGCCTACCTCCAGGCCTCACACCCACCAAATGCCTCACCGAATCAAAGGCAAAGCAAGGCTCAGCCATGTTCAAGCTTCCCCAGCCGTCCTCCATCAAATGCATACCAAGGCTTTCCGACCCCCGTTGTGAAGTTTCTCAATCTGTTGTCATGTTTCGAACCGAAGCCCCCCCTCACCCGATGTTTGATAAGCAGATAGATTCGGTACAAGCTTGTATATGCCGGTTCTTCTGGTGGGTAGCCAGTTTGCCCACACTCCTCAACCCTCTTGGAGGGATTAAAATCGCAGTGAAGGTCATACCGCGCATGTAGGGTGGCACACAATCCAAAAGCTACCTACCTACCGTACCTAGTAAGTAGCCAGCGTGTCAGCCTGCTTCTCATATTCAACTCCTTGGGGGGGGGGGGGGTTAAAATCGCAGTGAAGTCCCAAATTCGCACGTTGAATTACCACATTTATGGTCAATCAACTCAGCCTGCTGTCTCCGGAGGCACGCCACCTCCATCACATCCGAGGCAAGGCACCTTCTTGGCGCCTGTTCAAACTTCACCATCCTCCTCCTCCTCCTCCTCCTCCTCCTCAATTCCGTCTCAAAAGCTCTGTGGAGTTACTGTCCGTAACTCATCGACCATCACTTACATCCGCCTAATCGAATCCAGGTTATGACTTGATATTCTCTAGTCTTCAAATTATTCCTTGGTTATTTCCTAATCAGGGTGACGAGATGGGGGAAAAAAATAAGATTTGATTACATATAACGAGATAAATGATACGTGACATCAGGAGTACAAACTTGGCCGTGTTAAGGGATACGGATCATGGGAGAGGATATCTTCAAATCTTGTCCATTATATCCTACTTATCTAGAATATGTTATGTTATGCAGCAATAGAGGAAAGGAAACGTATCTCTGAAAAGGACATACACACCAAACCCGCCGATTTCTAATAGACCATCTTTATACGATTCCGCTACAATACACAATACATAAAAAAGAAACAACACAATTCGCTTTTTCCAACATGTAAATAAGACTACTTTAGACACACTGACACGCACACACCACCCGGACAATCCTTCGTCTCACCAATACTCCCTCGCATTGCCCTCAAACGCAAAGTTAAGCAGGACGGCAATGAACAAGGAAGCGCAGAGCGCGCTAGGCCCCCACTTGTCGTAAAACTTGGCCGCCTTGCGGTTGCGGATGGCGTTGCTCCGGTACAGGTAGATCACGACCGAGTAGCAGAGCGACATGATGGCGAGGAGGGTGAAAACGCCAGCTACAATGAAGGACATGGGCGTGGGCTTGGAGCCAAAGTTGAGGAGCGTGACGGCGACGGTGCCGACGTAGATGGAGTATTCGAGCTATTTTTGGTCGTGTTAGCAGCTGTTCCTAGTAAGGGGAGATGAGAGGGAGAGACTCACCCATCCGAGGAAGGTTCTCTCGGCGGCAAAGTACACCTTGGGTTCCACGCGAACCGGTACGTAAATCTTCTTGCCCTTGGGGGCCTTGAACCTCTTGGTCTGAATCGCCCCCGAGCCGAAGAGCGTCGTCTGTACTTCGCGCCTGGGGATCACAGAGCCACGGGGATGCGGCACGGTCCACTTGAGCACGTCGATGGCGCGCTCACCAAACGCTTGTGCCTTTGTGGAGGCAAGCGCCTTATAGTACGTCCAGCCTCCGACCCGTCTGGCTTCCTCGAGGGCCTCGTCGGCATCGTACTCCTCGTCCGAGTCGTACAAAAAGTCCTCGTTGTCGACGGGGGCAATGGTGTCGACCGTCTGGCCTTCGACATCGAGCGCGGTTCCGCCGTTTCTGGCAGCTCCCTGACCACTCGACTCTCCATTGGTGGCACCGTTATTGCTGGCTACCAAGGGGCCCTCCTCGTCATCAGAGTCTAGCTCGTCATCCTCGTCATCATCTGATGTAGTGGTAGTCGCCGACTGATTGGGCCTGTGGATACCAAAGTCGTGCGTAACGGGCTTCCGGATATCCACGTCCATCTGCGGCATCCAGAAGGGAAGCAGGTTGATGCGGTCGGGGAAGAGGCAAGCAACTCCGTGGATGAACTTTGAAAACTTCGGCACGGCTTCCACGAGATGGCTGGAAATGAGCTGGCGAACCCATTCCGGAGGCTCTTGGCCGAGCTGCGTCTGAAGCTTGACCTCGAGGACGGCGTACGGGAAGCGCACAATGTCTTCGGGCGGCAGTTGCGAAAACGGATAGTCGATGCCAATGTCCATACGTCTCCAGTTGTCGCCGGACCTCTTACGGCCATCCAGGTTATCCTCGCGGACCATGGTCAACTCCGTGTCGAGCGAGATACGCACTCGAGCATCAGCGGGGAGCTGGAAGGCGGTACGGTTGTAGAAGGATCGGCACACCGGCTTGTACCCTTTCTTGAGAGTCGAGTACTGGACCTCCTTTGCGAGTCTCTCGTCCTCGGCGATCGCCTTCTCGGGCTTCTTGCCCTCCTTACGCGCCTTTTCAAAGAGAGCGGCGGGGAGCAGCTCGCCGCGCATGTAGGCGTTGACGTTCTTCTCCTTGACCGAGAATCGCGCCTTGACGGATTTCTCGCCGGTCCAGTCCTCGCGATGGGTCTTGCGCTCGACAAAGATGTTCTCGCTCTGCATCCCGCCGTACCATCTCAGACGGATGGCCTCGGCACCCTCCGTCTTCTTCAGACGGCCCTCGTACAGATCCCAGGTCTCCGGGTTGTCGTAGTAGATGGATGTAATGGCCGAGTCCTGGATCTCAAACTCCTTGCTCGCGTTGAAGACTAGCACAGGCAAGTGCTTCAAGATGATGAGCTTCAGCTCCGTCACGTTGTCTGGGTGGACCCAGTACTTTGTCGTATTGCGAACGAAGCTTCCCTGAGAGCCGCCGGCCGCGCTGTCACCCTTGACTGGATTTCCTCTCGTCCTGACTAGATCGTACAACTTGGAAAGCTGAACCACGGAAGCGTCATAGTTTTCCTTGTAAAACGGTTTCGCCTTGAGTCGGGTGTCGAAGACGGGCTTGAGGTGCCAGCCAGTCGTTTTCTATTCCTCGTCAGCAACCACCCCCCAGAACAATGTCGAAAGGAAATGCCTCACATCATGCTTCTTTATAATCTTGTAGAAGCCAGTATAGTTGAGCTGGACAAACTTGGCAAGATCGTGGACATCGGCAATGATGTCGCTCAAGTCCTCCTCGAGCAGCATAAACTCTTCCTCACTAGGGCCCTCCTCGCGGGGGCCGCGCTCGACTAGGCGGTTGACGACGCCCTTGACCTCGCGCTCGCTCACGGCGATGCGCCTCGAGATCTCCATGGCCTTGACCTGCTGCTTCGTGTGGACCTTGTCGAGCTCAGCCTCGAGCTTCTTGACGAAGCGGCCCTCGTCCTCCTCGGACCACTCGTGCTTGCCGCCCTTGCCCTTGCCATTGCCATTGTCGGCGGGTGTGACGGGACCCGTGGCGGTCTTGAGGTCGGCCTTGAGGGCGTCGTAGTCGATGTAGTACCATTGGTACTCGCGGATGATGCTCGAGCGGAGCTGCTCGCCGAACTTCATGACGACGATGCCGGGAGGGGCGCGCCAGGGGGATTCGCTGGGTGCTAGACTCGGTCGCCAAGTTCGTTCCTGTGTCTTTGTATCGTAGACAATTAGCATGAGGAGCCGGGTCTCGAGGGAAATGGCATCATCGGTATGGGCATAGCAGGGCAAAAAAGCAAAGGAGGCTTAGTCGAAGAAACGCCCAGAATTAGTTTGCCTTTTGGGTAACGGAATTCTTGAGGGGGCTTGCTTGTTGACGATGTGGAGTCGAATTGAGGAGATTTATTCGGATAGAGGTCTTACCTTATGCAGCTTTTGCGCCGTGTAACCGACTTGGGCTCAATGTTCCAGATATTGGAGAAAAGTATGAGAGGGTTTGGGAAGCTTTCGCCTGTCGCGCGGTCGGGTGTTGCAGGCAAAACAAAAGACGATGGAATGCGAGGCGGCGGCCGACGGTTACGAGACAAGCTTCGGACAGGGGGCCCTCAGACGGGGGGGCCGCTACCTTGGTAGTGCCTACAATGTGCTGCAGTTGCCAACCACGTTAACTGAGTGACACCGCACGGCCAATCCTCCACTGCTCCAGGGTACCTTACTGTCCCATTGTCTTTTAATACTACCTACCTTACCTCACTTTACCTTACTCAAGCCCCTTCATCTACCGATTTCTTTGGTATTTTCAGAGCTCAACAATATGATTCAAATGTCCCCATCTCATGAGGCATGTAAAGCACGAGAAACGAAAAACATGGGAGCTGGCGCATTCATTCTCCTCCCATCCACATCGTACCTATCTCCCTCGTAACTTTCAAGTCCTTTAGCGGTCCTGACCCAGTAAAGCGCGGCTCCAACCCGGCTTAGCTCCAGGTAGTCTGGTGGTCCCAGTGGGTGTCTGGGTCCAGTTTCCGCTGGTATCCAGAGCTAGCCGCAGGGGGGGGGGCCACGGGGGTGTCAATTGGCCAATTGCGAGCAGCAGATGCGCACGTGCGGCAGACGTCACACGGCGGCCCAGCTATTGCTGCAGCCCGCAGGAGGGCTCAAGCAACAATTTTTTTTTCTCGTTCGGCGGATGGCGGGGTCGGCGGGGGATACACACCGGCGCGGACACGGCAAAAAAAAAGTTCTACGGACTAGACACCCGGCCGATATCGAAGAATCCTACCGCACCACGGACCTAGACACCCCTACCACCTCCGGCACACCGATCGGAGCAAAGGCCGTGTCCAACCCCGAACTCCTTCCTCTCGGCTCTCGGTCGAGATTCCCTCCCTTCCCAGACGAACGAAGCTCCCCCACCCTTAGAGTCATCTTCCCTCGACTTACCCCTCCAAACCACCATACACACACAACCATGGCGACACCGATCGACGACTCGATGCAAGCCCGCATCACAACAGACTGCCCCGACGCAACCCGCGAAATCCTCCTCCACGCCTGGAGCCACGATACCTCCGCCCTCAAGAAACTCCTTCAGGAACCGGGCCAAGCGAGCTGCCAGGACCCCACGACCGGCGAGACGCCCCTCCACGCCGCCATTCGAGCTTGCGGACCTGCTCCCCCTTCCACCGATAATGAAGCCCAAAACGGGGATGACGGCGAAGCAGGCGAAGACCTCCAGGTAGAAGAAGCAAAGGAAACAGTCCACGAGCTCTTCCTCTCGGGCGCGATCTGGAACGACGTCGACAACAACAACGAGACACCGGGCTGTCTCGCCCTCCGCCTCGGCCAGAAGGCGCTCTACAACCTCTGCGTCGAGGCTGGCGTGCGTGCCGAGATGCTGTTTGGCTTGTTGGACGGATACGAGGCGCTTTCTTCGGGGGGCTCGGAGATGGACGAGGATGAGGTCGAGGCAGTCGAGGGAGTCGAAGGCACCGCGGACGCCAACGACGTTGTCATTGAGGACGTACACGATACGGAAGAAGCACCGGAACTCGTCGAAGCACCAGCACAACCAACAGCCTCGGAGCAACAGCAGCAAGAACCTAAAACGTTCCAACCACCAGCCATCCAAGACCCTTCCCTCAACTCGGAAGAGTACCTCGCCTCGAACCTGACCTACTCCTCCGGCAAACTCGTCGACGAGGCCGGCAACGGCGTCATGATGGCATGGGAGACGGAAATCATGCGCAAGAGCGTCGACGCCCTCATACCCCCTGCGTCCACAACCGAGGACTCCTCCTCCACCGATGCTGATGCCGCTGCCAACACCACATCAGGCAAACGCATCCTCAACATCGGCTTCGGTATGGGCATAATCGACTCCATGTTCCGCGCCACATCCCCCGCCCGCCACCACATTATCGAAGCCCACCCCGAAGTCCTCGCCGCAATCGACAACACCACTACCACAACCACCACAAACCCAGACGACTCGGTCCCCTCCACCTTCGGCGCATCATGGGAATCCTCATCCCCCCAACCAGGCGCCTACAAAATCCACCGCGGCAGGTGGCAAGACATCGTCCCCCAACTCCTCGAGGCCGGCGAAGTCTACGACGCAATCTACTTTGACACCTTTGGCGAAGACTACGGCCAGCTGAAAACATTCTTCACGGAGTACATCCCCGGTCTGCTCGATTTCGAAGGCCGCTTCAGCTTCTTTAACGGCTTGGGCGCCGACCGGAGGATATGCTACGACGTCTACACCAAGGTCGTCGAGATGCACATGGCCGACGCAGGTCTGGACGTCGAGTGGGACGAGATGGACGTCGACATGAAGGGTTTGGAAAAGGCTGGTGCCGGCGAGTGGGAAGGTGTCGTGCGCCGGTACTGGACTTTGGATAGTGAGCCCCCCCCCCTTCTGCCTGTTACTGATACTTCGACGATACTGACCGGTGACAGAGTACCGCTTGCCCACATGCACCTTCATGGGCTGAAAATAAGTAAAAACTGGGGAAGTAGGAATACTGCTTGTATGGGCTATCTAGTAGGTCTGGTGGACATGACCGTAGAATCAATCCAGATAAGGCTTCCTATCAACAAAAACCCCCCAATCTAACAAGACCTCGCTTTTTTGTTTAATCTCATTTCTCTTCAACCCGTCCTCGCGTCTTGGGACGACTATGTGAAGTTCTCGGGGTGGAGAATGCCAGCCATGTTGCCGTTCTGGACTCTCTTAAGGGTCAAGGCGGCAATCAGGGCGGCGCCAACACCACTGCCGTCCTCTGCTGCGAGAATTTCAACGGGATCCTCCTCCTTGGGGTTGGTCTTAGCAGGCCAGTCGAGAATTTCGCGCAGAGCCTGGGCGCCACGGGCCTTGAAGTGGGGGTACTTGTTAAAGACCGAACCGTCAGCGCCGACGTGGCAGTTGTCGTAGCCCTTCTTCATGCAGATGGCAGCAACACCGCAAGCCGAGAGGCGGGCGGCGCGGGTGCCAATGAGCTCAGCAAGGCGACGGACCAGCTCCAACTCAGGTCTGGTGGCCTTGAGGTTCAGCTTGGAGAGGAAGAGGTCGCTAGTCTCCTGCAGGTTCTCGAAGGGGTCGCTGTATCAGGTTAGCAACACTGATTGGGACAGCTTCAAGATCAAGAAAACTTACTCCTCAATGGCGGACAGGAACGAGGAATCCAAGGTGTAAGCCTTACGGAGCTTGGCAATATCTTGGTTCTCGAAGATGTGCACAGACTTGTTGTCGTGGAGGTCAACAAGGACCAGGCGGAAGATCTCACCCAAGTAGAGACCGGCAATCATCTTCTCAAAGGCCTGCTGGCCGGGACGAGGAGAGTCCTTGTCAATGATGATGTCGTAGGGAGTACGAGGCAAGACCTTGTGCTCGTTGTCGAAAGCACCCCACTCGCAGTTGATGGCCATGGGGGTGTTGGGAGGCAAGTTCATGTGAGCAAGCTTGGGGATAGAGCCGCAGTCCTCCATGTAAGCAGCGTTGCAGCCAGTACCAAAGATACAGCCAATCTTCATCTTAGTGTCGGTGTAGGCAGAGGCAATCAGGGTGCCAGTGGTATCGTTGATCAGCGCAGACAGCTTGATAGGGACGTTCTGAGAAGATGTCAGTTTCCAATACTTCAGTGTTGCTCGGGAGATATCGTACCTTTGCCGCCAAGGCAGCCTCAAGGAAGGGGACAACGTTGTGGCCCTCAACTCCGGCGATATCGAAACCCTTGGTCCAGCGCTGAAGGATGCCCTCATCAATGTAGTTCTGGGTGGCAGGGTAGGAGAAGGTGAAACCAAGAGGAATCTTCTGAGACTGAGGGTGGTCGGGGTGGTGAGTCTGGATGAACTGAGCCAGGCAGTCGGCAATGTACTCCCACAGCTCCTCTGATTGGCCGGTCTTGAGCTCTTCGGGCATGCGGTACTTGGACTGAATGATGTCGAACTCAGACTTCTGATCCGTCAAGGTGATCTCACAGACACGGAGGTTGGTTCCGCCCATGTCGAGGGCAAGGTAAGTGCCGGTCTCGTAGCCATCGGGGAAAGACATAACCCAGGTCGGGTTCATTGGCTGTAAACGTAGTTAGAAAGGTACTCCAAAGGCCAACAAATATTGAAGTCTCAACTTACGATACTACCGCCCTCGACACTCAGACCTATGCTTCAAGTCAGCTCCATGAGAAACTCCAACTTCCCGCGGGTGTCAACTTACCCTTGTCCAGCTCTGTGATGAAGTGCGCGCTGATCTGCTTGAGCTTCTCGGTCGGAACGGTGAACTGCTCCTCGAGCTTCTTGACCTCAGCCAGAAGATCCTTAGGCACATCGGCCATGGAACCTAGATTTTCACACATGGTTAGCGAACATGAATTGTGTTCAGTCTGTAGATGTGTGTTCTTGCTTTGACGTGACGGGACAAAGATGTCGGTGTGGTGGTAGGATCTCTGCCTTGTAGCAGGAGCAATCGCTCTGTCCACCATTGTGACGGTTGTGTGAAGCTGGCTGTGAGATTTTGGTGCCTTGCCACACTTGAGCGTGACAACGTTGGTGAAAGGGTATCACAAAATGATTGTGTTCAGGAAAACAAGTTCCAGGATGGAAGCTCTCGAGACAATGGGCAAATAATGTCAAACAAGCGATGTAGCGGTCAACACAAAGGTCTGGAGGGGAGACAAGCAGCGCTTGCTAGCTTGTTTATAACTAGACAGCTGCAGTCATCGGAGAAAGAAAGCTGGGGGATCAAGGTGGGGGAATGTCTGGCAAAGTGAGACAATGTCTTCCACCTCAACGCTGGATGGCTTGAGCTTTTCCCAAGAGAGTTGCTTTTGCTTGACAAGCTAGGTACCCTTCTGGCTTGGGGAAGCTCCGGCCACCGGGAAGTGCTGCATGGCGGTCCAGCCTTGTGGCGCGTCCTTTCCGAATGGTAATTGGCCGTTCCAGCCGTGGGTGGGAGGCAGGATTGGACGGTGGTGGTTGTGATGGTGAGAGCGGGAAGAAACTTTTGAGGGTGAGGCGTTGAGGATGACTTGGAGGGTGGGACGACACCAGCGGAATGGCGTACAGGGAGCAGTAGCTTGAAGACCACATCATCTCGAGAGCTGTCTCAGTCTCAACGTGAGGCGGTACACCATCTCATTTTCGCATATAAGGCCATCGTGTCGCCCTTGAGTGTTTCCAGGAGTCCAAAGGTAAGGAAAGGGAGTGAAGGAAAGGAGGAAATCGTGGCTGCAGAACTTACCCTTCCTACTGGGCGGAACCTTGGGACCGAGACCAACCATTTTGACCGAAGCTCTGACGGATGGCGGGGTAAAAGTTGATGAGGGGTAGCGATTGAGCTATAGGTAATGATGGGTGCAGCAAAATAAAAGCTGTCGGAAGCTGCGTAGGGATGTAGGCCAAAACACACGATAAGTCTGCTTGGTGTTGTGTTCGATGCTAGGTGGGTGGTGGTAGGCGGTCAATTTCGCCTGAGGTGAGGTGCGTCGGGTGAGGGAAGTGACGTTGAGGGAAAAGGTGAATGGGCGTGGATCATCTGACCGAGAGGGAAGGAGGTGGGAGGTCAAACTCGGGCGGACTGGACCTTGTCAGGACTGGAGATCACTCACTCAGCACCACTGCACGCTGCTGCACTACGGTTACCTTACTTTGTGGCCCCCTTCCTTTCGACGAGTCGAGTCCCCCGAAGCCGCTGAGGCACATCTCCGATGGGGCATCCAATGTCTGTCCAAGGTACCTATCTCCTTGCTGGTATATCCGTATGAGCCTTAGGTACCAGGACAGTTCAAAGTCCAAAACTGCACACTAATTTTCTTGGTACCTTTTCCTCTGTCGTCCCACTGGTCGCGGACCAGAGCCGCCAGCCCGCGTCTCGCTCGTCCAAAGGTTACCACGAGATTTGCAGCGGCCTTGCCATAGCTGGGATGGCCAAGGTAGATGGCAGCTAGCGGTGGACCCCTAGGGTTGACCTGAACTGACCATAGCTGTCTACCAGCCTATCTCCGAAGGGATATCTCACGTGAAGGAGATGCTGGAAGAGCGTGATCATGGAATTCCCACACACCACATCTTACGAGCACCTGGATCAAAGCCAGGATAGTTAGCATCCCGGGAGAAACGGGCTAGAAGCACCGGAAGCGCCATTCCCAAGCGTTCCCAAAGCCCGGAAGTTGCGGTGCGTGACGTCTTGTTGGGGGACAAATAGCAGCTCAGGAATAGAAATGGAAGTCAATACCTTCCTTAGCTGTCCACCCCACCAAATACCAGGAGCCGGTCATCATTGGTGAATTCAGAGATACGGAACCCCAAACGACAATGTACCAAAGTACCTAAGCGAGGAGATAAAACGTGGGCGAAGCGCGTGGCTGAAGCTGTCCCGCTGTGGCATCTGCCGCTGGTAAAGTGTGGCTTGACCGCCACCGAGGCCGCGCCAGTGCCGCGTGCCCATCTCGGACTAACCCAGCCCCGACCCGGCCACTCTCCAGTGAGGTGGAGCTACCCGTGGCCCGTGCACGTCGTCAAGCAACGTATCCGTAAGCTTTTTGGCTGGGGGTAGCTGTCTCAGGAGCCAGATCATCAATTCGGGCAATGGAGTGAAAGCCCCCAATTGCGTCTCAACAACCGCTTTTCTCCATTCTTGATTCTCAATTGCCGGGAGAGCTCTGTCGATGAGCAATTCCCTCCACCAACCCACATCATGAGAGCCTTCGCCATTGCCGCCGGGCTACTGAGCCTGCTCTCCCCGATTGTCGCAAGCTCCGACTCGACGACTGCAGCTGACAAGGTGTCAAAGGTCAACCTGCCCGCCAACTTCAAGCCGCCCCAGGTTTTCAAGAACGCCAATCTTGTCCACATCGTCTCCCTCGAGAAGAACTACGTCAAGGAGTCAATCAATGTTCTGATTGAGAACATTGACAAGCAGCCCCAAGATGCATACTACCTGCCCTTCACCCCCGAGCAGATGTCGCGCATTGGAGGCTTCGAGGCCAAGGACAGGAAGAACCCCGAAGCTGGCCCGTTCGCCGTTGATGCGGTCGAGTACGATCCTCTGAGGTATGTTTCGGCTCATGGGCTTACCCATCACCCAATGATGCATATGGGAGAATTGACAGGTGCAACAGCGAGACTCAGTACTACAAGATCCAGCTCCCTACGCCTTTGAAGGCCGGCGGCCAGCAGACGCTGAGCATCTCCTACTACCTCCTCCAGGCCTACAAGCCCCTGCCGGCCTCGATCGCCCAGGAGGAGCAACAATTCCTCACCTACGACTTCTCCGTGTACGCGCCCTCGGCCTACGTCACCTCGAAGCAGAAGACCGAGCTCAAGTCACACTCGTCCAACATCCCCGACTACACCAAGCTGCCTGGCAGCGGCGACATCAAGGAGTTCCCCCAGAAGCAAGGTGCTAAGCTCACCTACGGTCCCTTTGATGAGAAGCCCGCTGGTGCCGTCTCCCCCGCCCACGTGCGCTTCGAGTTCACCAAGCCCGTCACCCACGTCGCCCAGCTCGACCGCGATGTCGAGGTCAGCCACTGGGGAGGAAATGTGGCTTTCGAGGAGAGATACGAGCTCTACCACCGTGGCGCCAACCTATCTAAGCTCTTCAACCGCGTGAAGTGGGCGCAGGCGGCGTACTACAACCCCAACACATACGCTCTCAAGGAGATGAAGTTCCCCCTCAAGGTGGGAAGTGCGGACCCGTACTTTGTCGATGCTATTGGCAACGTCTCTACCTCAAGATTCCGCAGCAATAAGCGCGAGGCACTCCTGGAGATCAAGCCTCGCTACCCCATCTTTGGCGGCTGGAAGTACCCCTTCACCATCGGCTGGAACTCGGATGCCAAGAACTTTGTCCGCACCGTCGAGGCTGGCAAGTACGTTGTCAACGTTCCTTTCCTCGAGGGTCCTAAGCAGCCTGAGGGAATCGAGTACGCAAAGGTCAACCTGCAGATTCTCCTGCCAGAGGGAGCAACGTAAGTGAAATTCGTGACAAGCCTGTTTTGCTGTTTGGGTTCTAACAAAGACGTTACAGGAACGTGAAGTTCTACACTAGCATCCCCGAGTCCTCCATTGTCGACTCTGCTATCAGTGTCCACAAGACGTACCTCGACACCGTTGGACGCACCTCGGTTACCATCAAGGCCAACAACCTCGTTGACGAGTTCCGGGACCGTGAGGTGATTGTTTCCTACGAGTACTCGGTGTCTTCCGCCCTGCGGAAGCCCCTTGTCATCTTCGTCAGCTTTATTTCCTTGTTCGCCGCCGCATGGCTCGTTGGAGGACTGAACCCCAAGATTTCGACCAAGGCGTAGATGCAAACGATACCTCTCTTAGACATTTGGGGGGGCGGAAGGATGGGAATTGAGTTGGCTTTTCATAGCATTGTACATGTAACATCAGATGGGCATTTCCAAAAAGCAGAACGCGAAACGAAACGGCTTTAGAGAATCACGATTTGGACTGACGAATTGGTCCACCTATGACAAGTAAATTCCCCCACGTGAACCCGCCTTCTTCTGACTTTTGCCATCATACCTCCTTGCCCAGGTACTAGGTGCCAGATGCTAAAGTTAGCATCGCCCATTAATTTAGTGTAGCATACTTGAGCAGAAGCCTTCGAGAAGAGCATCCTTGCTGTCAAAGAAAAAGACGAGACCGGTCCCCGGGAAGGGGGACGCAGGCTGACGTCGAGGGGCTGACCCGAGATGCGGGCAGGGCAGTGCGGTGAGTGTGGTGGTGTGTGGGTGGAGTGGACCGGACACCTAGCAGCAAGATCTGATTTCAACGCGATTGAACTGCCGTCCAGTCTTTTTCTTAAAAGCGACAGGACTAAGAGGTGACGGTGGCCTGTAAAAAGTTATAGTGGCCAGGGAAATAAATCCCACGGCCCCGAGATCGTCGGTCGTCGGGTAAGCTTGTTCGACAGGATTCTGGTGGTATTTTTATTTTCCGTGGCGGATTCCCCTAATTCCTTGCTTTCTTTGCAGGAATGGTTGGCGTTTTAACTGTAACGGTAACGGTCAATGATACCCGTACCGTTTATTTCGAACGAGTATTCCCGGATTCAAGAGCCGTATGTTGGGCAGAGGAAATGGTTTGACAGGCAGATAATTGCAAAAGGTTTACTTCGTTTTGAGGCCTTACACTATGTGATTCTGTGACTTGTCAGGCCGCAACTCTAAAAAGACGATGGGAAGTTCTGGACCCCTTCACCCTGCCTCTTTGCGAAAGAACCAACTTTCTTCCCTAGCTAGAACCGTCCGCCCTATATTTTTTTGCTGAACTGTAGTGTCGGTATCCGTACGCAAAGACGGAAGAAAAAAAAGTAGGTCATTTAGTTTAGGGGACCCATTGCCATCTCACGCGGATCAAACTGCGAGGTGGGGAGACCCTGGCTTTCTGGGAGTGGTAATCGGTTGACGCAGGCGGTCTAGACACGCCCCAAATTCTTCTTACGTCCGTCATATCTGCTTGTTCTTGAACAAGGATGACCAGATCCAAGGTCCCCAGCTGTATGTTCGTAATTGTCGCCCCCCCTCCCCCCCAGCCCTCTCACGGTGCGCCGCCCGCCCGCCCGCGGATTTGGAGCATGGGGTTCGGAAACCAGGGCAGCTGCGCCTACGGAACCTGCAAAAGCCTGGGAAGAGAAAGTAACCGTATGGCGTATCGACGAACACTGCCCGCCAGCAATGAGCAAGAACAGAAAAGCCAGAAAATGCAGCAGACAAAAGCCAAGCCGCTTTTCTTACACCATGAATCCCTTCCCCTCCCCACCATCATCCAACCAACCAGCACCCACGCTCGCCAGGGTTTCGGTGAGGGCCGCCGCGGTCCCCGTCTGAAAAGGGCACTTAATAGGTGATGGTGGGATGGATGTGATAGAAGGGATGGATGACTGACCGCATAATCCTTGGAAAGCTCGAGTACCTGCTCTCTTTCTCGCTTCCCCCCCCCCCTGCCCTGACTACTGCTACTTTACCTTGCTTTAGTAAACACACTTGCTTGGAAGAGAGGTCCAAGCCTGACTGACTTCTGGGTTGAATGGGGTGAAGAAGAAATGGGAAATCATAAAAAGGCAGCCTGTCCGCCCACCATCATCGCCGTTCCATTTCCAGTCCGGCGCATGCATAGCCTTAGCACTTGAAGCAAATAGAATCTTCTTTGGGATCTTCTACCTTATTTATCCAGCTTGCCAACCGATTAGCTGACGGCGAACTAATATCAACACCACCTCTCAAACCTCATACCAACAACGACCATCTGTTTTCCTCTACTACCTCGCTGCAGCCAACCAACTCAACCCAGAATATCGCAATCTACAAAACCGCCCGAGCTTACAACCAAATTCATCCATCATTTCAAAATGTGCTTCGGAGCAGGAGGCAAGAAGTACTACTACCAAGAGGAGATCGTACCGACCCGGTACCATCACCACCACCACGGCCATCACCACCACGGTCACCACCACCACCACGGACACTCTCCGCGCGCGAGCTACACGAGCGTGAGAAGGTCGTACGTCGCCAGCAGCCCGCGGGTCAGTTACGTCGAACCCGTCGTCTACGAGAGGACGAGCCGCACCTACCGATGAGTCAGTCAAAGTCGGCATTGGTATCAAGCCCAGAAAAACTGCTTGAACAATCCTAAGCATGTGGGAGCGGCGCGAAGCGGGGGGGGGGGGGGTTTAGACGAGGGAACGGCCCATGGACGTTTCAGAGAGTGGGGGAAAGAAGAACGGGCAATTACATGAGACGGATGAAAGAAAAAGAAGGTTTATTCTTATGAGCCATGGTGGAAGAACATTGCGAACAGCGATAGCGAACATGGGAGGCACTGGTCTGTTTTCTTGTAGTTGGGAAGAAAGCTGTCCGAAAGCCTGTTTGGACAGGCGCTCGATCGTATGATCACGATAGTATCGCTATCCCTCGTCTTCCGGGGGATTTGGAGTTTCTGTATGATTAATGGTGTCTTTTTGGACTGGGCGGTAATGATTGCCACGAAAGTTTACAAGTTTATATGATATCGGCTTGATCAACACAAGCTTTTTTCACGCAATGAAGTTTCTTCTTCTCTCTCATCTAAGGATGAATTTTCCCCAAGTGCTTCATCACGAATGAAGAAGTGCGCATGACAGACCCATGCGGCTTCCATCGTCTGTGAGCCTCACGCATTGCACAGCCGTGCGCAACAGAAGACGGGATGAGCACCTGGAAGTTGCCCGAGTTTAATGGCATTTGATTCATCAGCCTTATGGGCTGAATTAGGTAGTGTGTATGTAAGAGTGTGTGAGCACCTGGTGACAGACGTCCCTCGATGAAAGGTCTGTCACACGATGATGCGATTTAGGGGAAGCTTCATCGAGGGGGAAGCTGCCCGGCAGGAGGTGGAGGGGAGGGGGGCCATTTTCCCGAGTTGTCGCTTAGGGTCCCCGGACGGGTAATGACATCATTGGCGCGACCCCTTCAACCCACCCTTCGTCATCCTTCGCATCATCATCACCACACCTCCAGAAGTTTTGTGAGAGGAAGAGCTTGTTGTAGGTATACTACCGTAGTAGACAAGTGAGCTAGCCGCACAAACCGCCCACCAGCCCGAAATTCTCGGCGTGCTTCGTAGATATCTACGGTACATCTAAAGGATTTCTTTCCTCCCACCACGAGATACTTCAATTAGTTACCATGAAGGCCCACGTCCAGAATGGTGGGAAGCTGTCGTGGCCTACCTCGCTCTCCCCGGCCCGAAGAAGACTAGAGCTTCGAGCTACCAGAGCTACCCGGGTTATTGACAACGTACTTTCACTCTCTTGAGTTTAGTTTCTTTCTTGTGATGTGGAATGCCACCTGCCAGCAAGCCCAAACTATGACATGAGTGTCTCACTCGGCCCTTTCCTTCATCCCGACTGTGCCGTCGCAAAGGGTTTCCTCTCCCCCATCCTTTCCTCCCCAAAGACCCCCTTCTTAAAGTCAACGCAGGACCCTTGTCGCATCGCATCGCGGCTGTCGCATCTTACACTGCAACTTTCCTCTTGACGAACATCCTTTTTCTGCGCTCTGCCCCAATTGTTTGAACCAGACAGGCGCACCTGAATCTTGGCTTCGAAGATCCCGTAGATACCCAGACCCAGCGTCTTACTCGTACACATAACACTCTACCGGGACCAGGTTTATTCCTTCCCACCGCATCCTAGTAGCTCATTCCTCTGAGCTTCGCGATATCATCAGAAGGTACAGCTTGGGTAACAGAGGTGCTTCACTCTGAAATCCAGTTCAACCGCCATCATGTAAGTGAGATCCGCTTCACACAACATCACCCATCACCACATCAGCCAAAATGCGACGCTGGTTCTCCCCCCAAAACAGCGAGCAGTGCCATGGCATCGCCATCAGCACGAAGCCCTTGAGCATTTCCGCCTCAGTGATTCCCATCACGCCCCCTTCTACGTCTGCCAAAACACAAACATCTCGCCCGGACACAAACCCGACGACTAACACGCTCACAGGAACCGATCACTCTCCATCAGATCCAACCACCGCCGCAACGGCTCCCAGAACAACGGCGCCTCCAAGCGCGCCGGCTTCTCCTTCAACTCCCTCCGTGGCAACGTCCAGCCCGAGCTCTCGCGAAAGCTCTACAAGATTATCAAGAGCGAGAACAACCTCATCAACGCCCACGAGACCGCCGGCCGCGAGCGCACCTCCATCGCCACCCAGCTGTCCGAGTGGGGCGAGCAGACCAACGACGCCGCCGTCTCCGACGTCTCGGACAAGGTTGGCGTCATCCTGAGCGAGCTCGGCGAGCAGGAGGAACAGTATGCTCACTCTCTGGACGATGCCCGCGGTGTCTTGAAGCACATCCGCAACACGGAGAAGAGTGTGCAGCCGAGCCGCGATGGCAAGGATAAGATTGCCGACGAGATTGCCAAGCTCAAGATGAAGGAACCCCAGAGCGCGAGGCTCGTGGTTCTCGAGCAGGAGCTTGTCCGCGCCGAGGCAGAGAACTTGGTCGCCGAAGCCCAACTGACGAATATCGTACGAAACCATCCCCTCCAGCCTCATACCAATCATTCGCTAACAAGAAGCACAGACTCGCCAGAAGCTTAAAGAAGCGTACGAAGCCGAGTTCGCAGCTACTATTGAGAGGGCCGAGAAGCAAATCATCCTTGCCAAGCACGGCCGAAGGCTTCTTCACCTCCTCGATGATACCCCTGTCGTACCTGGCGACGAGCGTCCCACGTATCACCACGCTCAACAAGCGCGACAGATTCTCAATGACGCCGAGGATGACCTGCGTGACTGGCGCCCAGAGCAGGACGACTTCAACGCTGCACCGTCCGAGTCCGTGTCTAACACCCGAGGTACCCAGGACGCGGTACACGACGAGGACGCCAAGATCGTCGCCAGCTCGGTTCCTGGTCACCAGGCAGTCTCAGAGAAGGACACCGATAGTATTGTGAGCAATGGAACCAGGCAGACCGAGTCTGTGACTGCTCACTAGAGCGGTACGGGAATTTGTCGTGCAATGCTTTCTAGTTTGTATCAAGGATATCAGGACGGACAGGCTGGAGTTGGAGATGTGGATGCTTATATGTAATACCATTCTTACGGCCGCGCTTTTATGAAATACAAGATAATTGAACAAGTCGCTTTTGGAATTGTGGTGGTATTTTGCAAAATGGCCATGTTCCAGTTTTGGTTACCTGATCCCAACTAATTGTTCATGTCTTGTCACCGCAACTTTGGGAAACATAGCGCCAAACATTTGCCGGGCAACTCTCCTGTGCTAGGAAACCATGAATAACAAAATTTATATCGACTTGGTTGGTCAAAGGTATTAATGCCGTTCGTTAGATGGAAGTCGAGGTACGTTGGCATGTGAGGATGCAGGCAACAGCAGGCAGCCGACCCCGCTCTGTGCGACGCCCAACACGGTTCCATTGGAAAGGCGCGAGGTTTATAAGTGGTGTGGTCGTCTGTACGCCACCACTCGCAAGGTGGTCTTTCTTTTTGACAACATCACCTCCAATTTAGTCATCTTTCTCACAGGACTTCTTGTTTCTACGAGGTATCACCAAAAAAAAAAAAGAGAAAAACAAAAACCATGGACTCTACCACGACGATTGACGTCTCGATGTACGACAACCAACTCCAATGCCCGCTCTTCGGGATCTTGCCGGGCGAGATCCGCAACGAGATCTTTGCGCTGGCGCTGGTGCAGTTTTCGGAGGAGGAGGGGGGCGCGGCGTACCCGAAGGACTCGTACTGGTATCGGCCCGGGTTCACGGGGCCTAGGAAGAGCAGTAGCAGTCTGCTGAGGGCGTGTAAGTTGGCGTATGTGGAGGGGCAGAAGGTCTTTTTGAGGGAGTTGGAGTGGGCATTTTGGTTTGGTATGTTATGTTTTCTTTTGGGTGGTCTTATCATCCCCCCCTTTTCGCCTGTATGTGGAACTTCTACATGAAGCTCTATTAGGATTGTTGATCACGGGTTGGGTTTGTAAAGTCGTGAACTGATGGGAACTGATCTTTCGTGTGTGTTTAGACCGCGGCCCGGCAGGAAGGACAAGAAACCACGCCTGCGAGAAATTCTTCTCCGACCTGACGGAGCAACGGGCGCGCGACCTGAACAAGGTGCGCTTCTTTACGCAAATGTACTGGCTCGAGGACGGGCGGAACCTGGCGAGGCTGTTTGCGCAGCCGAAATTCCGGCCCGAGGTGTTGACGATCACGGTGCGGTATTCGGATTGGTGGTATTGGGAGAGCGACGAGCCGTTGCGGATGAAGGAGGATTGGTTGCGGGGGTTCCGGGGGCCGAGGGGTCTGAGGGAGTTGAGGGTCGAGTATGAGACGCTTGTGGGGAAGAGGGAGGAGATGATGAGGATTGTGGGGAGGAATAAGGGGTGGAAGTTGGTTGTTGGGGGTAGTGCTAGGAGGGATGATGGGAGGGGATGGAGGGAGAGGGAGAGGGAAGATGGAGGGGAGAAGGGGGAAGAGGAACAGGAGGAGGAAGAAGGGTATTTGAGTGCCGAGGGGACGGAGCTGGTGGAGTGGACTTGGAAGGGGGCGAGTAAACTCGGCGGGCAGACGTGGGCTCATCACGGGGAGGGGGAGACGGTTGAGTATGTTGTCGTTATGGATACGTGGAGATTTGTCGAGGGGAGGATGAGCGAGGAGGATTGGGCGAAGAGGGTGGAGAGCAGGCCGTTACCTTCTGTGTATGCTCATCCGCATAATTTTTGGTGGAGTGAGGATGAGGAGGAGGAGGAGGAGGAGGAGGAGGAGGAGGAGGAGGAGGAGGATGATGATGAGAATTATAATGATGACGAGGAAGAGGAAGAGGATGACGATTAAGGGTACGATCATGGTCTGGCTGGAGAGAATGGCTCGGGGTCGGTTGGAGGCTCTCAGATGGATTTGTCTGCAGGACATGTTTTTCAAGATGTGTGGCTGAGCATACAATGATGATAATATGGTGAACAAGTATCTACGGAAACACAATTTGATACCATTTCTGGGAATGCTCTACCATTTTGAATGCTACCAGCAATGATTGTCAAGATATTGAACATGAAGACGACTTCGTGGGCTGTGCAAAACGACATCCAGTCTACAGTTATCAACCACATTTCATCGTGTAAGAATAATTAGGCTTACGAATTGAGTCTATTGAACATACTTAAAGCGTCCCAAGCAAAAGAGCGAGCCCATTTTTGGTCCCCATCTGCTCAGTTTGAGCTTTTGACCACTGGAGCGTCTTCTGAACTTTGGCCTTGGCTAGTGTCATTCTCATGATTGGTTCTACTTAGCAGAAATCTCACGTCTTGTCCACCAAGACACTTGCTTGTCTCAAACACAAGCCCATGAATCATGTTTCTCTAGACTACAGTTGCCTTGATGTGGTTCGAACCGCTCTTGGGAAACGCCCCGAAAAAGTCGGCATCGAAGGCGACATCGCGCTCATACAGCGTATCGTGCAACGCCAGCTCAAAGCCAGCCGAAGGAGCAAAGATGCGTCCCAGAGTCAGGTAGATCCCCATATTGGCCACGTCCATCCCCACGCAGCTGCGGGTCCCGCGGCCGTAGTTGTTGACGTACTTGCGAAGGCGCTTCCTCTCGCCCGGGTCAAGCCAACGTTCGGGTTCGAACTTGTGCGGATCCGGGAAGATGTCGGCGTCGAGGTAAATATCGTACGTGGATACAGAGACGGTAACACCCTTGGGTATGATCACGTCCCCGTACTGAATGTCATTGTCCGGGTCGGTTCTGGGTAAGCGGCCAGCGATGGGGTGGTTTAGACGGAACGATTCCTGGACGACTGCGTGCAGGTAGTTTAGCTCCTTCAGCTCTTGGTACGTGGGACATCTGCCGAGCCTCTTTTCGCATTCTGCTAGTTCTTTGCGGAGTTGCGCGAGCTCGTTGGGGTGGCTTAGGAGCATAAAGGTCGCAAAGGCGATGGCTTGGCCCTCTGTGTCGATGCCCGCGTTGATACAGAGCCAGACCTCGTTTACCACGCGCGTCAACTCCTTCTCGTGGGCTGGAAGATTTGACTCGAGAATGTGTTGCACGGTGGATTTGAAGTTGTCGCCGTCGCCGTCGCCGCCAGTCTTTTCGCGTATAGTTGTGTCATTGGTCGTTGCAGCACGATACTGATCTGTGACGGCCTGATCGATCATCTAAGCAAAGAAGCCACACACTTCATGTCAGTCATTTTGAGGCTTTACATTCATGTTGAAGTCGACGCTGAGGATGTAAATAGAAACTACCTACGTTCCGGAACCGCAAAACGCGAATCATTCCAGGACTGACAGGCTCCGCGCGTTTGGCCCAGCGTGCGGGCGCTCGCATCACCGCGAAGAACCAGTGTCCGATGTGCCGGCTGATCATGTTCATGCGACCCAAGGTCCTCGCAATCTTGAACATGTCATTCTCAAAGTCCTCGACGTCGACGAAACCAAAGTCGTAGCCGAGGTTCGTGGTGCACGTCAGATCGATGGCGAGGCATCGGAAAGCATGGCCCACTAGAGATCATGGACAGGTCACTGGGTCAGTAAAGTCGCCAGGAACACACGCAAGACCTCTGACGACGGCAACGTGGAGGTATTGGAAAGGAGAAGGGATAAGAGTTGATTTACAGGTCAATACGGCGCCGGTGCCCTTGGTGGCGCGGAATCTCGCAAGTAGTCGTTGCACCAGCGCCTCGTATAAGTGTTCGCGAGACATGACCAGAGGGGTGGCGAACACGGGCAGGATAGCCTCGCGGCGCATTCGATGTAGCTCATGAGGGCTGAATAGAGACACGGAAGAACAAGGGGTCAGCAAACACTCGTGAATGAGGACGACAGACGTCCATAAGGCAGTCTCACTTACCCGGCTTGCAGGACACTATTCGGCGGACCATTGGACCTGTAATACCACCACGGCCTGGACGTCTTTCTCGAGATTTTGAAGGCTTCGGTGAACTCTGGATCCCGTATGTGCACTTCCCACGGGTTTATACGCACTATGGGCCCTGTATAGAGAGATAAGTTAACATCTTCGAGTTGAACAAGTATCTCTGAATCACAGGAAGTTCTTCGTCACTTACCTGATACATCATGCATGCGGTTGATCTCAGCCCAGTATCGACCACCTCCGTCTTTGAAAAAGTCATAATAGAACTCGTAGCCGAATGTGAGAGCGGCCAACTTCGGCCCTGGGAAACGGGCAAGAGGACTGAAGAATAATCTGTAGACGGTAATAGATACAACGTATGCCGCGGCCAGTAATAGACACGCTATAAAGTATACCATCTTTGCATGCTATTACAAAGTCGCGATGAGAAGGGTCCAGGATCAGTGCTGGAACGGATATGGCAGAAGATGCAGACGTAATCACTCTGTCACTACGAGGAATCTCACCCTCGTTTTGAGGCCTCTAGCTGGGAGCTTGAGGTGCTTCTCCGAGGAAGCCACAATGAGAATCGGGCTTCCAATTTCCCGTCCGTTGCCATCTTTGATGCGACAATAGCCCGGCGTAACATTCTTCACCGCTTAGATAGAACCGTTCTAGCTCTTACTCTGAAATGCCAGAGGTCAGACTTTCTCTTGGCCGGTTCAGACCCATTGAACTTGAGCTGCCGCCGATGCAAAGTCAAAGCTTAGCAAACGCGTGCTCTCGAGTGGTCGTTCCCGTATACGTATTGAGGGAACCAGTCAGTGGAGTATCATCCTCGCAGTATTAGAACTCGTCTTTGAAGTATTTGAGGAATGCATGTGAGATGTTTGTGTAAAGTACAACTGCCAGTTTTCTGTAACATGACTCAAGGAATACCTTATCCAGTGCTTACGAATATTGGGACTTTCATCTATGTTGCATATACGAAGTACTCCGTACCTCGCCGAAGTCTTTCTCGTTTTTTCTGCTCGAGATCTGATGAAGAGAAGCGATCTTATCTGAATCCTCAACCTTAAGAACTTTGTCAATTGTGATCAACATCAGCTGAAGTCAAATTGCCACCCCACACAAGGTGAAGTGGTTGGTCGGCGGATTTGACAGCATCGCCATGAAGATGGCCGGGGACGAACCGGAATGTAACATGGCCACCTAAGCGGATCATGCCGAACGGGATGCAACTTGGCGATTACTAACGGCTTGGGAGGCACGGTCCGACGGGAGGTATTGCTCTTCTTGATAATTCATTTAACTTGCCTTTGACGTTGACGGGTCCGAAACTCTAAAGAGGACCCCTAAGCAGTTCAGCCAATGGCGATCTCTCGAATGTAGATTCAGGCATCTGCCGGTGGTATTTGCGGACTTAACTCCTTGTTCCGGTCCTCGATGCTGGTCACCCATAGGACTCTCTTGTTGATCATTGGTCCTCCTGCGATGCAGTCTGCGTCTGGCATGAAGGGGCTCAGCCGTCTAAGTTTCAGGAGACTTTGAGAATGCTTCAACCCGTACCAAAGGTTGTTCCAGGCTTATTCTGTGTCTCCTTGCAAGTAGAACCTCCAATAGAGACACGTTCCTGCGGCCCTCATCAGGTCCCTGAAGAGAGGAGAGTTTAACATCTCCCGACGGAGACCTCGGCGCCGGACTGACCGCTCTGGCGGGTTGAACGGTGCCGGTAAGGAGGGCCCACCCGTGGTGGGAAACCTCCGTGTAAGCTTTGCTTTGTGGGACACGCGGAGTCAACCTGCATGAGACATCTGGTTTGTTGTCACTTACGGATAGTCTACTCTCAGTTTCTAGTGTGATGGCAGGTGAACTTTGCATCTTGGTGCTTCTGGCTCCGAAGTTCTGAGTGTAGATGGTATCCTCTATAACATTTATGTTAGTTCTAGCTTTCGAGGATGTCTGCAATTTGCTTTTCTTATTGCACTTCAATCACGTCTAATTTCTCCACGTTGTTACGGTTGCCACACCCTTTGACACTTTGGCGAATTCTTTCTCACCATAGAGCTGCATATCTTAATCGCAAACTTATACTCTGGTCAAAAATCTCCAATCATGGACCCGCCTCTCACTGAACTCGCTGTCAAGCACGGCACGGACAAACACAGAGAAGGCAAGGTGTCCATCACTCGGCAGGGCACCACCATGGAAGTCGGCGGGCACCTGTACGCACCGCACTACGACTTCCACTTCAGGCCCTTCCGGCACCGCGAGATCAACGTCCTGGAGATTGGCGTGGGCGGGTTTGAGGATCCCAAAGCCGGAGGCGAATCGCTGCGCATGTGGAAGGAGTACTTCCCCAAAGCACAGATCGTGAGTCTCGACTACTACGACAAGACGGCGCTGCAAGAGGACCGCATACGCATCTATCGCGGCAGTCAGGACGACCCGGTTCTCCTGAAGAGAATGCACGACGAGTGCGGCGGGTTCGACATCATTGTCGACGACGGGAGCCATCGCTGCGACCACGTCATCGCCTCGTTCAAGATCCTGTTCCCACTGCTGCGGAGCGGTGGCATCTATGCCGTGGAAGACCTGGAAACTTCGTACTGGAAGGTCACTGGCGGTTCGAGCACTGACCTGAATGCGATGACATCGTCCATGGGGTTCTTCAAGAGTCTACTCGACGGGCTGAACCACAAGGAGTTTGAGATTCCTGGGTACCAGCCGACGTACTTTGATAAGCATGTTGTGTCAATGACCTTTTACCACAACCTGGTTATTGTATACAAGGGCTACAACGACGAAGAAAGCAATGTGATGGTGGGCAATCAAATGCCGGAGGCGCTGGCAGCTCTGTACCCAAAGTTTGACTGGTTGAACGCGACTTAAACGACGTTCTTTTAGAATACAAGACCTCATGCTCGTAGTCAATCAAATCTTACTTTTGGCTCATAATCAATTCGCGACCTGAGACTCGTGTCTTAACCAAGAATAAAGTCGAATGGCGCACTACTTCTTCGAGGTTGGAAAAATGTACGCTTGTGTTTCCCACCGTATTGCCATTCCTTACTCAGACAGTAAAGCGAAGCGAGCTACATGAAAATTATCTGCGGCATATCAAGCCTCTCATCCAATGTAGTCTTCACAACAGAGTCTACTCGACTTTACTCTTTGGTGGAGCTGAGATCTGCTCTAAGTCTTGCGATGACTGAAGGAGGAATCATGTCGGTGAACCCAAAGCGCCCAGGATAGCAACCATTTTCGGACCATAAATATCTCTGCTCACCTCACATCTAGTGATTTGAAGCCGTTGAATTCTGCAGCATCACTCAGACCTCTAGTACACTACTCATTGCACCATGACTGCCCCGGAATCTCTGCCCACCACCCACAAGGCACTCAAAGTGTCTGGGCCTGGACATGTCTACGTGTCCGAAGATGCCTCGGTACCCTCCCCAGACCGGTCCGAGCTGCTCGTCCGCGTGGCGTGCATCTCGATCAACCAGGTAGACTGCAAGTCTGCCGACCTATCTCCCACGCCCGGCGCAACCAGCGGCACTGATTTCTCTGGCGTCGTGGTAGCTCTAGGCAGCGACGTCGACGCAGAGGCTTGGCATGTGGGCGACCGCATCATGGCCGGCATCTTTGGCAACAACCCTCTCCGGCGGGATAATGGTGCGTTTGCCGAGTATGCCGTCGTTCCCGCGCGCCTGGCCTGGAGAATTCCAGCCAGCATGGACCTTGCCACCGCCGCCTCTCTGCCTGCCGCCTTGGCAACCGTCGGATTGTCTCTATTCCAGTACATGAAGATGACGATGCCGGACAATACTGCAGGCGCTCTGCAGCTCAGCTCGAACACGGATTCAGCGGGAGCATCAAATGTCGCAAACCCAGCAACCTATGTACTGGTCTATGGAGGCGGCACGGCCACTGGGGCTATGGCGATCCAGGTACTCAAGCTGCTGGGTCTCACCCCCATCACGACGTGCTCGGCATCCTCAGCAGCACGATCCATGGAGCTCGGCGCCGCGGCGACCTTTGACTATCGCTCGCCCAGCTGCGGCGCCGACATCTTGAGCTACACCCAGGGCGCTCTCACGCTCGCTCTCGACTGCATCTCGGACTCGGACTCCATGACGACATGCTACAAGGCTCTAGGTCCCGCTGGTGGTCGATACGTGGCCCTTGACCCCTTTCCCCTGCGCGGCCACACGCGCCGCAGCGTCGAGCCGGATTGGGTGTGCTGCTACACGCAGTTCGGCCACGATGTGGCCTGGGCCCCGCCGTTCGATCTGGACGCCCGTGTCGACGACCGGAACTGCGCTGAGGCATGGTATGTTCTTGCGCAGCGGCTGCTGGACGAGGGTCTGGTTGTGCCGCAGCCGTTGGAGGTACGTCGCGGGGGGTTGGCGGGCGTTGGCGAGGGTATGCAGGAGGTGCGGAGGGGGTTGATCAAGGGCAGAAAGCTTGTATATTCTGTTGCCGAGATTGCGGTCTAAGATACGATGAGTTGAGCTGAGCGAGTAATTCTACATGTATCCGTAAAGTCCCCCAGGTTGAGGATGCAGGTATAAGTGGAGATCAGATCGTGAATGCCGGAAGTGGGGCCGAGACCAGTCCTGTCGGCCCCCGCCGGAATGCCGATAATGCCGGAAGGAAGTAGGTACCGCCTGCGTGCCTCATTCGAAAGTTAACGGTGACACTGCATGAGAAATCAAACCCCGTCGGCATACGACCACATCAGTTGATGATACTGAAGTTTGCCCAGAAAGTTGAGTCCCATCATTCAAAAGGCAAGCTTCGTACTAAGACGGGGCGGTTTTAAGTTTGGGGGTTCAAAGTACGAAATGTATCACGGCAAAGGTTGACATAATATGAGGCATGTAGTTTCAGGGATGTCCGATTGCAAAAGCGTTCCGCAACCTCTGAAGCACAATGTCCACACTTTTCATTTGCCGAAATGTAAAGCGAAAGGACAGACAACTGCTTGGGCAGCTAAATCCTTGTAGTCCAAGTGGATTTGTACTCCGTATGTGGGCATAATACAAAGTCAACAAAACACATACGCAACTCGCCTAATGTGAAAATCTGACAGGTCAATTTTTTGACTACTTCCTTAACAGACTTCAAAGACTTCCCACCTTCTTCAACAACTCGCAACTCCACATCATAAGCCTGGACAACCAATTACCCTCGTTTTTGTCCACCTTAAAACTGCCCACAACTCTTGACTCGGTTGACACTCTCCTTCTGAATCCGAGCTGAACTTCCCTCAAAGTCTAAAGATCACTCATCTTGGCCGGGGTAATGCGGGCCAGCAACTTGGGCTTTGACCAAATAGAGTGCGTCTTGATATGGAGCCAGTCCTCCGTCTCCGGCATCAAGGCCAGGTCAAAGTCGTACAGGAACCTGGCAAGGACGCCACGGATCTCATGCAGGGCAATATTCTTACCGATGCACGTCCGGGGCCCCGTGCCGAAAGCAAGCCAGGCGACGCGATTGTCGTACTTGTGGTAGGCGGCGTAGTCGACCTCGTCGAGGAGCCACCGCTCCGGGACGAACTTGGCAGGGTCTTTCCAGTGGAGGGACGAGTTGGACATTGTCCAGGCGGCGACGGCAACTTCAGTCTGTGGGCATGTGAGGTTAGTTAGAGTACTTCGTATCCACGTAACCAGCGTAAGATCCGGCGGTCTGTAAGGATGGGGCTCGAAGCACATACCTCTTCGGCAAGAAAATCATCGCAAACCTGATTTCCTCCGGCCGCAATCTCTCGCTGCGTTCCTAAACCAACCTGGCCACTTGGGTAGACTGAAGCATAGTCAGTATCTGCTTACCAAGGAAAGGGACGGATCATGTCGGAAAAGTGCTCACATCTCAGAGCTTCCTCAATGACAGCGTTCAGGTAAGGCATCCTCTGGACTACCTGGCTATTCAAGCTCGACCTGTCAGGAACATCACGAATCTCATAAAGAAGCTTCTCCATCTTGTCTGGGTTGCGGAGAAGCAGGTGCGTCACGGTCGTCAGGGTAGTGGCGGTTGTCTCCGTCCCTGCCACCATCAACATGTTGGCGTTGGCGTTCATGAGCGTGCGGGACATAGTCTCCGGCTGCTTGAGGACATGGCCGAAAATGTCCGGTCTCCCGTCATTACCCTTCTCCAAGCGCTTGGCGACGAGATTGCTGCAATGTTGCATGTGTTTAGCGGAATCCTGCAGCATACCCTTGGGCGCGAAGAGATCGAACAAGAATCCACCGAGGGGATAGGCCTTGATGACTGATCTCTTGTCTATAATGATACCAAAATTGTTAGCCTTGGCCTGTCAAAATGGGGTTGGGGAGAAAGGACGAACTCAAAAGCTTGTACATGACAAAGACGGCCGGAACCCACGAGGACTCAATACCAGTCTCGAGCTGGCCGAGACCCTCGCCAAAGGTCAAATCACCCATGACATCAAACGTCATGAAGTTGTACAGCGTAGCAATGTCCACCACGGTCTCTCCGTTGGCGCTGGCGGCAATATCCGCACTCACCCGGCTCATGAGCTGCTCAACGTACTTTTGCACAAGAGGTTCCTGCTCCTTCCACGCCCGCTCGCCAAAGGCGGGGTTGAACTGCTTGCGCTGCGCCGAGTGCCCAGCCGTGGTGGGCTCGAGAGCCATGGGCAGGCGGCCGCTCGGCAGGTTCTTGACGGCGCGGTCGAGGTTCTTGACGTTTGGCTTGGCGTTGCCAAACTTGTGGCCGTAGATATCCTTCCAAGCCCGGGGGTCGATGAAGCTCAGGCGGTTCGGTCCCAGACGCACCGTCTGGCCGTACTTTTTGTGCTGTTTGGCTTCCCATTGGAGGATAGATCCTTTGGTGAAGTGGTATGCCCATACGGTGCTGGTGAGCTTGCAGAGAAGTGGTCCTGGGTGCTTGCTGAGTGGATGAAACCAGATGCGGTAGACAGAGATACTAATGAGCCAGGTAAAGAACAGGGTGAGGACAGCCGAGAGGCCTAAGATGACTGGACTGCCAATTGCAGCTTGAGATAGCCTCTCTTGCACCAGAGTTGGGACGGCACTCCATGCTGCCTTTGCTGCCGTCTCCAGCGCCGATGGCGTTGCGTTCATGTTCGTCCAAGTGACAGGGGGTACAGTGAATATCGAAGGGACAAGTACGCTTGAAGGTCATCCAAAAGACTCTTGGATGTAAGTTAGAAGAAGAAGAAGCTCTAAATTACAGGTAGAGGCTGGTAAAATATACCCACCCAGCCATGAGCCAACCGACGAGAAACTATGTAATTGTGGGAAGATCCAGCACAATTTCTACAACCCTATTGATTCCTGCTTGACAACCATGGCTGGGTTGTCCTCGAGTATCCCGATTTTGAATTCGTTCGGTGTCCAGGATGAGTCGTGGCGCAAGATACTCTCAACGTCAAGGCCATGCTCGGCGGGGACAAAGATGCACAAGCTGGTAGAGTTTTAGATAATGAGGCATATATCAATCACTCATGGAGTGTTGTTCTGTACCCACGTCGATGTCTCCACGGTAGTATCAGATTGTAACTCAATATGCGCTCTTTGTATTGTTAGACCCCAATCATCTTCTGCTACTCGTGTAAGTGCCTTTGACAGTAAACGAATGTAACATGTTGACCATCAGCCAAGCATCACGATTTTGAGTTTCTGCCACGTCCATGTTGAAATCTGATATGAAGAAGAGAACGCCCTGTAACCAGGCCCAAAAGAGCAAGTCAATGAGCGGTCTGGTTCGACACGGTGACATTTGCCATTGAGTTTGAGACAGACCGACATCCATGGGGCCCCGGATGTAAGTCTCGGAAACAAGCAGAAGTTCCACGACGCATGACAACAATGTAAACATCGGGAAAAGCGGTCTACGGATCCTCTTGTATAGTGACAATTTGGCTTCAAAGTTCGGACCCAACCCGCACGGCAAGTCAGGAACGGCATGGGTACGAGATAGGTTTTCGGTTTGTTGAAGGCCCCTGGTCCGGAGACGGACTTCCTACTGCGGGACGGATGGAATGGTCCCTCTCGCCGCGACTAGCGAGTCCAGTCAAGTAGGTGTTCATCAGATGCTTCTTGTCTGCATAAAGCGTCATTATCAATGGTCATCCAGAGCGGTCATCAAGACACCTTGGCTACGGCAGCAACCACCTACCATCTACCAGTGTTGGCGCGCAGACAGAGTGTTCTAGGCTAATGAATTCCTGATTGCCCTCAACTTTGACCTCTCGTTTCATGTTGTATCAACTACACTACGAGGGCCGTCTCTCCTAGGAATACAGTCAATCTCAAAGTCAAAATAGTACGTCCACTCACCTATTCCATGGACCTAGTGTGGGTGGCCACAGATGTTAACCGCACAGCAGAACGAAGACCATACACACTAGTCAACCATAATGGCCTCATTACCAGAAGAGCCGATTGCCATCATTGGCTCAGCCTGCCGTTTCCCCGGCGGCTGCAGCTCGCCCTCAAAGCTATGGGAGCTCCTCCGCGAGCCCCGCGACGTACGAAAACAGTTCGACCCAAAGCGTCTGAACTTAGAACGTTTTCACAACGCAGACGGACAGACACACGGGTCTACAGACGTCCGGGGCCTGTCCTACCTCCTGGAGGAAGACACCCGCGTCTTTGACGCGGGCTTCTTCGGCATCAGCCCCGTGGTAGCCTCCGGCATGGACCCGCAGCAGCGGCTGCTCCTCGAAGTATCCTACGAAGCATGTGAGAGCGCGGGCGTCACGCTCGACCGCCTCCGTGGGTCCCAGACCTCGGTCCACGTCGGGTCAATGAGCAACGACTACGGCGTCATCCAGGCGCGCGACCCAGAGACGATGCCCAAGTACAACGCGACGGGCGCTCACGCGCCTAGCATCATCGCCAACCGCGTTTCGTACGTGCTGGACCTCAAGGGGCCCTCCGTGACCATTGACACGGCGTGCTCGAGCTCACTCGTTGCGCTGCACCAGGCAGTGCAGGGGCTACGCGCGGGCGACTGCGACGCCGCCATCGTGGGCGGTACGAATCTCATCATGGACCCTGGGCCATACATCGCCGAGTCGAAGCTGCAGATGCTCTCGCCGGACTCGCAGTGCCGCATGTGGGATGTGAGCGCGAATGGCTACGGACGCGGTGAGGGCGTCGCTGCGCTGTTGCTCAAGCCGCTTGCGAAAGCTTTGGCCGATGGCGACCCTGTCCAGGGTGTCGTTCGTGCGACAGGAGTCAACTCGGATGGTCAGAGTCCTGGGATCACGATGCCGTTTGCGCCGGCCCAGACGGATTTGATCCGACGGACGTATCGCCGGGCGGGGCTTGATCCGCTCCGTGAGGCAGATCGGCCGCAGTACTTTGAGTGTCACGGCACGGGTACGCAGGCTGGTGATCCGGTTGAAGCCCGCGCCGTGTATGATGTCTTCTTCCGAGGTCAAGACCAACAACCAGAGCAGTCCGAGAAAATCAAGCCAGAGACGTTGATTGTGGGAAGTATTAAGACCATCATCGGTCACACGGAGGGCTGTGCCGGCCTGGCGGGCGTGATCAAGGTGCTGCTCATGCTCAAGTACCAGACTGTACCGCCCAACATGCTCTTCAACCAGCTCAACCCCAAGATCGCCCCGTTCTACGGTCCCGGCGCGCTCGAGATCGCCACCAAGGCCATGACTTGGCCAGCGAGGCCCGCAGGCACTCCGATGCGTGCATCGGTGAACAGCTTCGGGTTCGGAGGCACCAACGCCCATGCCATCATTGAAGCTTTGCCAGAGGTGGCAGAGGAGAAAGGACAGAAACAGCAGCTTTCTGATGGGGCTATCGGCCCCCTCCTCTTCTCCGCGCAGTCTGGGCCGGCGTTATTACGCAACGTACAGGCGTACTTGGACTACGCCGAGACGCACGTGGACTCGCTAGACCTCAGAGACCTGAGTCGTATCCTGCAGACACATCGGTCAGCACACCGCGTGCGGACATTCTTCACAGGCGCGACCAGGGAAGACGTCCTGGATGCTATGGCTCGGTTCGTGACGAGCCACGCCGGCAAGGCCAAGAGCGGTGACATCGGCTCCGTCCCGCGCCTCATCAACCCGGCCGAAGCCCCCGGCATTCTCGGCGTCTTCACAGGCCAAGGCGCGCAGTGGGCCACCATGGGCCGTGGGCTCATGGCAGCTTCTCCGGTCTTCCGACGCAGCCTCGAGGCATGCGACGCCATCCTACAACAGGGCTTGCTCAAGGGCCACGGACACGCGCCGACTTGGTCTCTCATTGAGGAGCTTTGTAAGGATGCCGACACATCGCGCCTAGGCGAGGCCGAGCTGGCGCAGCCGCTCTGCACAGCACTGCAAATCGCTCAAGTTGACATCATAACAGCATCGGGAATCCGTCTCGATGCTGTCGTAGGTCACTCATCCGGTGAAATCGCAGCCACCTACGCCGCCGGTCTTATCTCGCGCAAGGCCGCCATGCAAATCGCTTACTACCGAGGCTTCTACGCTCACCTAGCCCGCGCCGGCACAAAGGTCGGCGGCGGCATGCTGGCGGTGGGCCTCTCGCTCTCAGAGGCCTCGGAGCTATGCCGTCAACCAGTGTTCGTCGGCCGCCTGGTCGTAGCCGCTAGCAACGCACCGCAAAGCTGCACGCTCTCCGGAGACCGGGACGCTGTGGCCGAGGCCAAGGAGCAGCTGGAGCGGGACAACATCTTTGCCCGTCCGCTGCTGGTCGACACGGCGTATCACTCGCATCACATGGCTGCGTGTGCCGATGCCTACCTGCAGGCCCTCCTAGCTTGCGACATTTCCGTCAATCCAGGGAAAGGGAGAGGGCGAGGGGCGTGCGTGTGGAGTTCCAGCGTCCGAGGCGACGCTCGCCTTGTTCGACGAGGCGGCGAGGCGGAGCTGTTTGCTGCGCTCAAGGGTCCTTATTGGGTTGCCAATATGGTGCAAATGGTTAAGTTCTCTCAGGCGCTCGAATCGGCCCTGTGGCATGGCGGACCATTCGACCTGGCTATCGAGCTGGGGCCTCATCCGGCGCTCAAGGGTCCCGTCGAGCAAACGCTCAAGGCGGCGTATGGCGCCACGCCGCCGTATGCCAGTCTCCTCAAGCGCAAGACGAGCGACGTGGCTGTCGCGCAAGAAACTATTGGGTCAGTCTGGTCCCAACTTGGACCGGCGCATGTCGACTTTGATGGTTTCCGCGGTATCTGGGGTGAGAGCAATGAGTCTATTACGACGCCCAAGTCATTACTTGCGGAACTGCCTGGCTACGCGTGGGATCACGACCGGGTATACTGGCGTGAGTCGCGCATCTCAGCGCGGTACCGTACGCTCGCTGATACGGCACACGAGCTCTTGGGCCGGCGGATGCCCGATGACAACGATTCCGAGCTGCGGTGGCGCAACGTCCTGCGCCTGCGTGAGATCCCCTGGTTAAAAGGGCACGAGGTCCTCCGCGAGGTCTTGTTGCCCGGCGCCGCGTATGTCTCCATCGCAGCCCAGGCGGCGCAATACGTCGCCGGTTCTCGGCCTGTGGCTTCGCTGGCCGTGGAGGACGTTGACATTCTGCGGCCGGTGGTTGTGCCTGACAACACGGACGGCGTCGAGACGATATTTACCGTGCAAGTGCTACCGACGGCTGATGGTTACAGTTCGAAGAGCAAGGCTGCCCAGGTAGTGCGAGCCAAGTTTGCGTACTACGTGTGTCCGAACGAGGTGACGGGTGCAATGATGCACACCTGTAGTGGTAACTTAGTCATCCATCTCGGCCCCGTCGACTCCGGTAACGGGCCCACTTCAACGTCGGGTCCGGTGTTACCAGGCCGGGAGCCGATTCCGGACAACGCCGTTCATGTCGACGGCGAAGCAATCCACGAAATGTTTGGCCAGATCGGCCTTGATTACCACGACGCATTTGCGGCCATGAAGAGCTGTGAGCGCGCCCTCGGCTACGCGGCCGCCACGGCAGTCTGGCCAGCCGATTCCGACGTCGACACCGATGCCGATGCTGCGTCACTGGGACCAAGTAGCGGCTCCTACGTGCTACATCCAGTCATTTTGGACGTGGCTTTCCAAGCCTTGTTCGTCGCACACGCACACCCCGCGAGTCTAATGCTCAAGAGGGCCATGCTGCCGTCGCATATCGATCGCGTGCTCATCGATCCCAACGTGTCCGTCACGACCACGGGCGCAACGGCATCTTCGACTACGTGCCACATGGACGCCTGGGTAACGGATTCCACGGGTGCCACACTCGACGGCGATATCAGCCTGTACGTCAACGGGGAGGCTTCGACGCGGGTCTTTGCGCAGGTCGAGGGCCTGCGCACGCGGGCGGCTGGAGGGTTGGACGCCTCGCAGGACCGACACATCTTTTGCCGGACGACTCACGGTTGCGATATCTCTGTGATGGGACTCACGCTGCCACCACGCGATCCCATCCAAGATGAAAGGACGCTCAGGGTCAACGAGGCAACGGAGCGGCTCACTTTATGGTATATCCGGCAAGTTGTAGCTCAAGTCAAGTTACCGCCACCGCCCTCTTCCGACAAGACGGAGGGGGAGAGTGAGACAGACAGTCTGCAATGGCACCATCGACGCATGCTCGAGGCCTTTGCACACCACCTCGACCTAGTCCGCCAGGGGAAACACCCGCTCGTCCAAACCGCATGGTTAACAGACGGACCCGTGGAAATCGCTGCACTAGACCGCGAACACGGCGACACAGTCGAGTTCCGTCTCATGCACGCTGTGGGCGGCGCGCTCGCCCGCGTCGTGCAAGGCGAGTCCCACCTCCTGCTCCAAGTAATGCAGCAAGACGACCTCCTCAACCAGTTCTACATGCGCAACAACACCTCGGTGGCAACCAACCGCGCCGTTGGCCAGCTCATGAAGCAAATCGCCTTCAAGTTCCCGCGCTGCAACATGCTCGAGATCGGCGCCGGCACTGGCGGGACAACCTGGAGCGTCTTACACGCCGTCGACGACCTCTACGACTCGTACACCTTCACCGACGTCTCGCCCGCATTCTTCGCCGCTGCCGCAGAGAAGTTCGCCGCCTTTGACCGCGTGGCGTATCGCACGCTCGATATCGAGCAGGATGTTGCCGCGCAGGGGTTCGCACCGCACAGCTACGACGTCGTCATCGCGGCCAATGTCCTCCACGCCACGAAAAGCCTCGCAGACACACTCGCCCGCGCACGCAATTTACTCCGCCCGGGCGGCTACCTCGTCCTGCTCGAGACCACGGGCACGCAGAGCATGGTCGGCTTCCTCTTTGGCGGGTTACCCGGTTGGTGGCAGAGCACGGAGCCGTCCCGCCGGTACGGTCCCACCGTGCCGACGCTCGAGTGGCACCGACTACTCTGCCGCGCCGGATTCTCGGGCGCCGATACGGTGCTGCATGATAGTCCCGACGAGAGCCGGCACGTCACGTCGTGTATCGTCAGCCAGGCCGTCGATAAGGATGTCCTTCGCCTCCGTAGCCCGCTCGACTTTGTCGCGCCAGCAGATCTGCCTACACCGCCGTCTTCTCCGCTGCTGCTTATCGGGGGAAAGCGACTCGTCACTACCCGCGTCGTCGACGAGATCACTCGGCTGCTGCCGAAAGGGTGGCGTTCTCGCCTGCGTACGATTCCCAGCATCGACGACATTGATCTCGACGACGTCAGCCTCAACCGAGCTGACGTCTTGTGCCTGCATGACGCCGATGAGCCCCTATTCGCAACGCTGCCCATGTCGGAACCGCGTCTGCGCCGTCTCCAGCATCTTTTCCTCTCAGCCTCAAGCTTGCTCTGGGTGACAGCTGCAGGCACGACTGCTCCTCTTCGCGCAAGTATGATCCGCGGCATCACGCGCGTGGTGCCCAAGGAGATTCCCCATCTCAGCGTGCAAGTTCTCGGGCTCGAGGACGGTGCCGGTCCCGCGGTTGACGCCCGGCGCTGTGTTGAGGCACTCCTGAGACTGAGACACGTGGCTGACATCCGGGAGACTGAGGGGCAGACTACGCTTCCACTGTGGTCTATAGAGCCCGAGTGCGAGGTTCTGGTTGACGGCGAGGTTCGCATTCCGCGCGTGATGCCTGCCACGGCGCTCAACGAGCGTTTTGCAGCGCGCAATCGGCCTGTTGTCAAAACTGTTGACGCAACCGACATTGCGGTCCAGGCTGTTGCGAATCGGAATGGGAAGATGGAGTTGCGACAATTTCTTGACCACAGCCAGGGAGCTGTGCAGATGGACGTCGAGTATGCTCTGCATGTCTCATCTCATAGGGACGGGTCTTCGGCCTACATCGTCCATGGACGCGTGAATGACAATTGGGCCATGGCACTCAGCTCTGCCAACGTATCGAGACTGTTCCTACAGCCTGGGGATGTATTCCAGGTCGGCAGCTCGTGCTACACGCCAGCATCCATCAAAACCACGGCTGATGCTCTACTTTGTCGTGCCCTCGTTCACCGTGTAGCAGCAAGAGCACTCAACGCCGATTCAACTGTCGTGCTAGTGCTCTTCGAGCCGCAACTTGAAATGGCGAAGAAGATCGAGACAGAGCTAAAGGCAGAGTTGCGAAGTGTCAGCGTTGAGGTCTACTGCGTCACCTCCACCTCTGATGTTGGAAAGATTCCTGTAGGCTGGATCCGCGTTCACACAAACATGTCGAGACGTATGGCCAAGCAGTGTCTGCCTTCAAATAGAGTCGACTTCTTCGTAGACTGCTCGGAGACGTCTGAGGACTCTACCAACCATTCTCGGGAGCATTTGAAAGCGTCATTGCTACCAACTTGCCAGATATTCGCATTCGACGGCGAGCTTCTGCGGGGCTTCTTGCCGCAGCAGTCGGCGATCAAGGCCGAGAGTCAGAGCCAGACCATCGAGGCCCTGTTCAAGTCTGTAGATGTTGCTGCTAACTCCACAGACGGAATCTGTAGCAAATCAACTCCAACGATAATGGCCGCTGACCTGGCCGGTATGAACGCAAGCACCCTCTCCCGCGAACAATACCTGTGCTCCTGGCACCGACAACAATCTCTCCCCTTGACGATTCAACCCCCTGAGACCGACATCCACTCGAAGGGCCTCCTCCGCCCAGACCGAACCTACCTCATCATGGGCGGTTCCGGCGGTCTAGGCCTCTCTCTCACCCGCTGGATGATCCGCCACGGCGCCCGCAACATCGTGATCACATCCCGCCGCGCCCAGACAAACGCAGGTCTCCAAGTCGAGGCCCGCCGCGCGGGAGCAGCAGTCCACACCCTCGCTGTGGACGTGACGCAGCGCGCGGAAGTCGAGACAGCAGTCGCCACCATCCGTGCGACGATGCCGCCCATTGCGGGAGTATGTAATCTCTCCATGGTCCTCCACGACGCCGTCTTCCTCGACATGTCCCCACGACAGCTCAATGAGACGCTAGCAGCCAAGGTCGTAGGAACAGAGAACCTCGATGCCGTTTTCAACGAGGGTGCCGAGGAGCTAGACTTCTTCATCGTCACGTCGTCGGCGGCGAGCACCATCGGCAACGTCGCCCAGGCAAATTACCACGCCGGCAACCTCTTCATGGACGCTGTCGTCGCGGGCCGCCGTGCCAGGGGTTTGGCTGCGTCTGTGGTGCATATCGGGTGGGTGGCGGACACGGGGTACATTACGCGCTTTGAAAAGGAGAAGCAGCTAGCCGATCACTTCCGGAGTATTCGACTTACACCGTTATCCGAGACGGATGTGCAGGATGCGTTTGCGATGGCTGTGCGCGCAAGTCGGGTTGACTCCTCCGACACCGGCACCGGCACGAGCAATGACCTCGAGCACGACATCACCATGGGCCTTGCGCCGCCTACCGCACCCATGCAAGCCGGACAGGTGAACAAGGCTGTGTGGACTTCAGACCCTCGTCTCATGGCCCTGAAGCCGTATACCGCACTATCAGCCAATTCTCAGCAGCAGCAAAATAATTCACACGGCGACGGCCGTTCCAGCGGCAGCGCCGGCGTCCGCGAACAAGTGGCTCAGGCCGAGACGGAAGACGATGCCATAGCGGCGGTGGCGGCGGCGTTCGGAGCAAAGCTCGAGACGATGCTGCAGCTTCCCAAAGGCGCTGTCCACGAGAGTAACGGTCTCGAGAGGCCTATCGTTGACTTGGGCATCGACTCGCTAGTGGCGGTGGAGATTCGTACGTGGTTCCTCAAAGAGCTTGATACCGAGGTGCCGATCGTCAAGATTTTGGGCGGCGAGACGGTGTTGGAGGTTTCGGCGAAAGCGGCTAAGAAGATGTTGGCCGATCGTAAAGAGGTTTCGCCTAAGGTTGACGAGAAGAAGGAGGTCAAGGAGGTCGAGAAAGTCATCCAGGCCCCGAAAGAGCTTGTCAAGCAGACTCCCACAGCAGCTCTAAGTCCTGACGTCGTTACCCCTATTCCCGTTGACTCGAGCTTGGTCTCGACGGAGAACAGCAGCAGTAGCAGCAGCATCGTCGAACACTCTGAATCCGGCTCGGACAGCCCCAAAACAGCCACCACAGATGACGAGGAAGAAAAAGGAGAAGAAGAACATCAGGGCCAGGCGAAAAAGATTGACCCCGTCATCCGCCCCGACCCTGTCATTGTCCGAGAAGCCCCCATGTCCGCCGCCCAATGCCGCTTCTGGTTCGTCCACAAGCACTCGGACAACCCGGCCGCCTGCAATAACGCATTCTACTATCGGCTGCGGGGCCGTCGCCGCGTCAACACTGCCCGGCTCCGTCACGCCCTCCGGGTCGTCGCGGCCCACCATGAATGTCTGCGCACCTGCTACTTCCCGCGCCTCGAAGACGGTCATCCGATGCAAGGAATCATGGCGCCGTCGGAGTCGACTGTCCGCCTCACGCACACTGAATATGATGGCCGCGACAGCATCGAGACGGCGCTGCGAGAGACACTTGCGGGCTTCAAGACGCGTGCTTGGGACCTTGAGCACGGAGAGACTATGGAGATCTCACTGCTGGGTCTTAAGGGTAATGAAGGAGAATTTGGAGAAGGAGAAGAAGAAGCAGAGGGGTACGGGTTCCTCGTGCTGGGATACCATCACATCACTCTAGACGGCTGGAGCGTAGCCCTCTTCTGGAAAGATGTCGACAGAGCATACCGCATGCAACCGCTCACTCCAGTCGACCGTGGCCTCTCGTACGTCGATTACTCGCTTCACCAGCTCAGTGAAGAAGAAACAGGCGCCCTTGACGAGGACCTCGCCTTCTGGCGCGCCGAGTTCGCCTCCTCACTACCAGATACGCTTCCCCTTTTGCCCATGGCCCGCGGCCTTGACAGGTCGTCTCTGGTCAGACAGCAGAAGCAGCCGAGCAGTGCTCACAATCTGGATCAGGAGCTCAACCCAGCACAACTCGAGGCCGTGAAATCGTTGAGCCAGCGCTTACGCATCAGCCCCTTCCACGTCCACCTCGCCCTCCTCCAAGTCCTCCTCGCCCGCCTCACCGGCACCGAAGACATCTGCATTGGTGTAGTGGACGCCAACCGCCGCGACGAGCGCTTCGTCAACACGCTCGGCTGTTTCGTCAACATGGTGCCCCTGCGTGCCACCGTAGCAGCATCCGGTACAGCCTCTTCCGGAACTACTTCCTCCGGCCCAGACTTTGCCTCTATAGCCCGCGCCGCCTCGCGTAAAGCAATGTCCGTCTTCGCTCACGGCACGCTCCCTCTAGACCGCATCCTATCCCTCGCCTCCGCCCCGCGCGCAACAGAGGCCCATCCGCTCTTCCAAGCCGCCATCAACTACCGCACAGCCGGCGGCGGCGGCATCGACATCTGGGATCTGCCCCTCGGCGCCGACGACACCCGCATGGAGCTATCGTGGCACGGCGCAAAGGAGGCCGAGAACCCTTACGACGTGAGCTTGGGTTTCTTTGAGATGCCGGGTGGCGGGTGTCTCGCGCAGATCTGGTGCTCTGCCACGCTGTATGGGCCCGAAGCGTGTCAGTCTCTGATGGATGTGTATTTGAGGTTGCTGGAGGCCGTTGCGCGTGATCCTGAGGTGACTGTGGACCAGTTCAGTTTGTACGATGATACGGATCCGAGTGTGCTTCGCGCGCTTGAGGTGGGTAGGGGACCCGAGGTGAAGTTTGATTGGGTTGAGACAGGATCGTCTCTGTGTTTGTCTCGGCGTGTGCGGGATATGTGCCGCTTACACCCCGAGCGTACAGCCGTCACCGACGCTGTTGGGAGCGTGTCGTATGCTCAACTAGCCGACAGGACGAGCCACTTGGCACATCAGTTGAAGGAGGCCGGTGTTCGCTCGCGCCATGTCGCCGTCTTGTGCGAGCCGTCGATCGACGGCATCGTTACCATGCTCGCTATCCTCGAAGTTGGAGCTGTCTACGTTCCCCTCGACGTCAGCCTGCCCGCCTCCCGTCATGCAGACATGCTTCGGCTTTGCGAGCCCGCGCTCGTGCTCTTCCACAGTCAGACGGACAAGCGTATAAACGCCTTGGTAGATGACGTTGTCGGGGAGCAGCAAATGCGAGTCCTTCGAGTAGACGTGGATCACATCCAAGACGACCCCAATGCTCATGGCGATCTTGATGACTCCAACAAGATATCATCGGCATTCCTCCTCTTCACAAGCGGCTCAACAGGCATCCCCAACGGTGTCCACTTAACTCAACCCAACTTCGCAAACCACATCGCCCTCAAAGCGCAAACCTTCTCCCTGACTCACACCGACTGCGTCCTCCAACAGAGCTCCCTGGGCTTCGATATGGCCCTCGTCCAGACCTTTTCCGCCCTCGCCAACGGAGGCCGCCTCGTCATCGCGCCCGCCGATTCCCGCCGCGATCCCGTTGCCATAGCGGCGCTTTTGAAGCGCGAGGCCATATCCATGACCATCGCCACGCCGACCGAATACCTCGCCTGGATCCACGCCGCCGCCGACGTCTTAGCCAATGGCAACGACGATGACAAGACTGCCTGGCGGTTGGCCTTCTCGGGCGGGGAACAGATCCCACCTCGTCTGCTGACTGAACTCGGCCGTCTCGGGATCCCGGGTCTCCGACTGACGAATTGCTACGGACCAACAGAGATCACAGCAGCAGCAACCTTTCAACCTATTCCCCTCGACAACGGCAACGACCCGTTGTCAGCCTCCTGCGTAGCATCCCTCTCCGCACCCTCAGCCATCTGGAGGCCCTTTGCCGTAGGCAAAGCCCTCCCGAATTACACCGTCATCATCGTTGACCCCATCACCACCAGCACCACCCCGCAGCCCCTACCCCTAGGACAAACAGGCGAGATCTGTATCGGTGGAGCGGGCGTGGCGCTCGGATATCTCAATAGGCCAGACCTCACGCACTTGCGTTTTCTTACAAATGTCCCGGGGATGGGCAAGAGCACCGTGTACCGCACTGGCGATAAAGGCCGCCTCCTCTCCGACGGGACGCTCCTCTGTCTAGGCCGACTTGATGGCGACACGCAGATCAAGCTGCGCGGCCAGAGGGTCGATCTGCAGGAGATTGAGGCCGCCGTGCTCCGGGCTTCTGCGGGTGTTCTCGCGTCTGTCGTGGTATCTCGGCGTCGCCTGGATGGTGCTGATGCCGGGGGTGTTGGTGAAGATGACATCCTCGTAGCTCATGCCACGCTCGCCGAAGACAAGGATCGCGCCATCGAGCAAGACGACAGCGACACCTCTTCCATTTCCTCGATCCTCTCCCATGTGAGGCTGCCGCAAGCCTTTATTCCCGCAGCAATTTACACCCTCAAGACGCTGCCAACGACACCGAACGGCAAACTAGACCGCAGGGCCATCGCCCGTCTCCTTCTGCCTGAAAGAATGAGACTCAACCCTCTGGGATCCGACTTGAACGCAATAAACACAAACGCAACTGAGCAAAATGAAGGAGAGAAACTTACCGTTCGCCAAGGCGAGCTCCGTCTTCTCTGGGAGCGTGTCCTTCCTTCCCTAGGCGAAAAGCGTATCGGCCCGTCATCCGACTTCTTCCTCTGCGGCGGTAACTCTCTGCTGCTGATGAAGCTCCAAAAGGCAATCAAGGAGACCACGGGCGTGGAAACCAGCACGAAGCAGATGTACGAGGCTACCACCCTGCGCGCCATGACGCGTGCCGTATTCGAGGATTCTGCGGCGGCGGAGGAGAATGCTCGGATAGACTGGAATACCGAGACAGCTGTTCCGGGATGGTTGAGGGAGGAAATTGAGACAATTGGGGCGACGGTCGCATCCGCATCCGCCGCCGCTGTGGAGAAGGACAAGACGGAGGCCGGCATCGAAGTCCTCCTCACGGGAGCATCCTCTTTCCCGGGAAGCCACATCCTCACAGCCCTCCTTAACCACCCATCCGTCCGCAAAGTCCACTGCATCGCCGTTCCCTCCGACCACCACCAACCCCTTTCTTCTCCATCCTCTGCCTCCATCGCCGAGGTGGTATATTACACAGGCACCCTCCTCTCCAAAACCCTAGGCCTAACCTCCACTGAACGAGAACACCTCTCCCAAACCGTACACATCATCGTCCACGCAGCCGCCCACGGCCACTGCCTGAACCGCTTCGCCACTCTCCGCCGCCCGAATCTCGAGTCCCTACACTCTCTCGCCTCCCTATCCCTAGCATCAGCTTCACCTCGCAAAACAGCGATCCCAATTCTCTACCTTTCGAGCCCGCGCACCCTGCTCCTAGCAGGCAAAACCGAAACCCCCAGAGCCCCATCTTCTCTCCGAGATTTCCCCCCGCCAGCCGTCGACGGTTCGGACGGATACACGGCGAGTAAGTGGGCAGGCGAAGTATTCCTGGAGAATCTGGTCAACCATCTCAAAGAGCGTGATCATGGCACTGAAGTTGGGGCACGCGGCCCACCAGGACCCAACCCCCTCAACCTCAAGATCGCAATCCACAGGTCCTGTACCCTCGTGAGCCTCCAAGCACCCAATTCGGACGCAATGAACGGCATTCTGCGCTACTCCCTCGCCATGCGCTGCGTACCTCGCCTCCGGCGCGCAGAAGGGTTCCTAGACTTTGCGCCGCTCGACGACGTCGTGGAACAAATCGCCGCCGCCGCCGTCGAGTTGGCGGCTCTTCCGGATACCTCTATATCAACAACAGAGGCTCCAGCGGCAAACTCGTCACAGTCAGCATCGTCTTCTGTCCGCTTCCGCCACCACTCAGGCGGCATAAAGACCCCCTTCTCGCAATTCCGCACACACATGGAGACCGTCTACGGCGGTGCGTTTGACGAGGTTGACATGCAAGAATGGCTCGTCCGTGCTTCGCGACAGGGTCTGGATCCGCTTATCACTGCGTACATTGAGGCCCTGCTTGAGAGCGGGATGCCGCTGGTGTCGCCGTATCTCGGAGCAGACCTGGAGTGAATGGAGGTATAGGTTGTAAAGAATCTTTTCTTATTTCATTATGCTAGTATACATGGCATCGTGGGAGAATGTCGATAGAGGTGTAAACAGTACTCTAGCCAATTTCTATAATTCATAGTTTAAAGTTATAATTTTCTATTTGCCCTGTGATTCTTTATTTCCATATTGTCCACAAGTTTGTTAATCACGTTCATGTTCAAAATTTGACGCCAAAAAGGCGTTGACTCAATGCAGAACCTACGGCTGTCACTAAAACGCTACTTCTCAGATTGAACTATACTATTACTCAAGAACCATGCCTACGGTAAGAAGAATTCTCGAAGAAACGGTACCAGCTGTGCCGTAAATTTCAAATGATATCTTGCTCTTCATACGCGAAGCAAAAGAAACCGTCTTGGCCATGACCACTCCGAGTGGGTTGAAATCGCAGTGAACCGATCAGCCCTATGCGCGAGGTGGTAGTCCGATTGGTCTTCTCACCAAACGCTTCAACCCGTCTTCTTGGAGTTGACAACTAACGACTAAGTATTCAAGCGGGTGGTCCTTAAACCCGACCGAATATATTTCATCTTCTGCATTGGTAGAATATCATCAAGGGAAGCGGCGCGCTTGTCCAGCTACAGGATGACATACCTGCCGCCGCTGCCAAGTCCCAGTAGAACATATTACCAGAACGGGAAGTAAGAAGTATCGCGGGGCACAGCTGAAGCCGCCAAGCCATGGGGCGGACAGTTTTTGAGTTGCCCAGTACATTTTGTCTTGATTTTGGCTTCATGAGGGCTTTTTTGCTACGTCCGTTGGAGGTCGAGATGATTATGGAGGCCACAGGATTCTCAGTCACGTTGACTTGGCTAGGTAAGGTCGCTGATCGATTTCCTTCTCAAGCCATCAGGTAGGGGTGCAACGTTCGGATGAAGGGACGACTCCGATAGGAAGACAAGATCAAGCCGCAGTGAGACAACGCTCGCAGCCGCCCGAAAGGGATGGTTCGACGGGAGGGACCGCGACTAGCTTCCATCCAATGTTGCATTATTCTCCGAATGCACGACTACGGCTTACAGCCAAGTTCTTGGTTCAATCGTTTTTGGCAATATAGAGACATATAGCGTGGTTCATGAGGATCCCAAGTTTGGTCTGGATAAAAATGGCTGTATTGCTAATCACAATTTTCCTTCTCGTGAAAGTGAGACATTTGTCTGTCTGACGTGAGGCGGGCATATGTCTGTCCACTTCTCTACAGAGTGCTAGCTCCAAGTGGCATTCGATACCATATTCTACTACTTCTATCTACTCTCAATCCAAAAAGTATTAGTGAACCTTGAGAGTGCTGAGGAGTAACTCGACAGCTTGCTGAAAGACAAGTCTACCCTCTGGTCAATGACAACTGACAGAGCATCGCAGGTATCCAGGCCTGGGCCACAAGTCACAACGACATAGATTTGCCTGTTTAGATCAAATCAGACTCAAAATCATCACTAGTGAAAGACATTTAGAAGTTAATGTCAGGTTAGCTCGAGAGCAGTATGTGAGTCTCTGATTTGTATGGCCAGACAGTGCGATGGATTCAAGCGAAGCATATGCTGCCTGCGAGACCAAGTAAGAAGATGATCATCACAGAAACCGAGTCTCCTAGGTAATGTATTCTAATTCTATAAAAGGTCCATAATGCTCCCAGCTTTGATCTCATGGCATCCTCTTCATCCTCAACTACCAAGAACCAAAAAGCAATTCACATCCCATCCCACCCAACCCTCAGCACTTCCACTTGTACCAACAACATCCCCTTTCCACTCTCCAAAATGCACTTGTTCAAACTCATCACCACCATCGCCGCCGCTGTCTCTGTCTCAGCCATTGACATTCAAAAGCACTTTGGCCAAAACTGCGGTGGCAACTTCCGCGTCTGCAGAGCCATCGACCCGAACCGCTGCTGCGTCGGCGCCACGGCCGAGAGCGTCCTCTTCCGCTACATCCCATCCAATTGGCGCATCGAGACCCGCGGCTACGACGGCGGCGACTGCCGCAACCGCCGCGCCACCATCCTCTCGGCCGGCGCCACCTCCGTCTGCATGCGCTCCGGCGGGTTCCTCTTCACCGGCGCCGGCTACGGCTTCGTGAACCGGAAGAGGGCGCCTCAGGAGGCCGGCGAGGAGACGTGTGCTGTCCTAGAGGGCGAGGGGCAGGAGCAGAAATGCGAGTCTAGCCAGGAGCCTGATACTTTGGTTCTCGTTGATGGGTCCGAGTATAATCTTGTTGGTCTCGAGGCAGACAAGCTTGACAGACTGGTATGACAGGACCCTAAGAACCCCTTAAAATCCAATGACAGGGACACAGCTAACTCTCTTCTTTACCTCTTCGTTTAGTATGTGTTTCGATGAATCTTTGACCTCTCGTTCTGAACGACTGATAGATGATTTCTTGATCCATCTTGAACCCCTTCAAGCATAGAATAATGTTGCTAACTGTTTCTTCGCCATATAGCTTCACCATTGCAGCCGATCCCAACGTTACATCTGCCGCCGATATCCCTGACGAGTTCACGCCCCTTAGAAAGTAAGGAACACACGACTCAACTAGTAATCACGTCCATGATGCCCCAGGCGTTGATGCTAGCGATACGAAGTGAGAGAAAGGGGTAGGAGATAGTGTTCGAAATCCCTAGCTGGAGATGTTAGCTTGGGTGGTTTAAAGGATGTGTGCTGCTCAAATTTCTCTTCTTACCTGGGAGCTGAAAGCTCGTGTCATTCTTCTTTAGGCTCTCAACATCGTTGAGTAGCATTGTCCACTCCTTTACTGAGAGGGCTCCGGCGCCGGATGTCTCTTTTAGAATAAAAGAATGACAAATACCTAACTGATGAAGACCAATTGCTTATGACTGTTAAATAGATTCTTTTTTTCAACAATCCTTCCTATCGAATATCTTGTGTGTCTGGAGTTGAAGTTGGTAGGAAGAAGCTCTGCTCGCCGTATTTGGTGGAGAAGCTGATTGAGGAACGTTAAACAAACTGACTTGTTATGGAGCAAGGAGTGTGCGAATTTGTGAGAAAAAACCAAACATTGCTGGCATAAGGTTGGAAACAGGTATGGCTTCTTACACGACTACGTACTGCCTTACCCTAGGTGCACCGGAAAGAGTGGGAATCGAGTAAAGCAAGTTTAGCCAGGGCAATTTCTATGCTTCAAGTCAATGTTATTAGAAAAGGCAAATGAGATTAGGATGAGGTGTCATCAAGGTATCTGGTGTGATCAATTGCTTCTCAGCTTCTAATAGTTTTGACGCCTCTATTCCAGGCCCACCCACGTCTACACCGCAATCAAGCCAGGTAGCCGTAATGTACATGATCATCAAGCCTGGATTTCCCCTTTTAATTTTGTTTTTGATTTCGTGACTCATATTCCCCTCCTTATCTGGTGAGGGCGATGTCGTCTATTCTGAGGATCATCTTCACCGTCTCCGCGGCCAACTCAATGGCGCTGGTGCTCACCAACAAAGGCTGGAGGACGTTCTCCTTGGAGATGTTGGTGTTGACACCGCCGGACTTGATACTGACACCTGCATTCTTCTCGCCGAGCTCATGTCTGTGACGAAGCTCGGTCACGACCTTGATGCTGTTAAGTCCAGCATTCTCAGCCAGAGTGGTGGGGACAACCTCCAGAGCATCGGCAAATGCCTTCCAGCAAATGGCCTCGGTACCCGTCAACTCACGCGCGCGCTTGGAGAGCTGAGACGCGATCTCGATCTCAGCAGCACCACCACCAGCGATCAAAGCCTTCTTCTTCACCAAGCAGCGAACAACGCAGTGGGCGTCATGCAAACTGCGCTCAGCCTCGTCAAGGATGAGAGAGTTGGCGCCGCGAACGACGACGGAGACAGTCTTGCCAGTCGCCTTGGCGCCGGTAACCTTTACCATGCGAGCGCCGTTAGACTGAACCTCCTCGACGAGATCGGCTGAGCCGAGCTTGTCCTCTGTGAAAGAGTCGACATCCGCAATGGGCTTGCAGCCGGTAGACTTGCAGATGAACTCGATCTCGTCACGCTCGATATCCTTCACGGCGAGAATGCCAAGCTTGGCGAGGAAGTGCAGGGACAAGTCGTTGACAGCATCGCGAAGAATAGACTTCTGGATGAAGAGAACGTTGCACTTGGCCTTCTTGATCTTCTTGACCATGTTAAGAAGGTAGAGACGCTCCTCCTTAACGATCTTATCCATCTGTCTGTAGTCGTTCACTTGAATAGTGTTTTCCATCTGTATTGGTCAGCAACAGCAAAGAAGGGGTATATGAGGGGTAGCCTTACATCAGGCTTGGGAGGGCTGAGCTGGAACTGAATAAGACCGATTCTGGCCTTCTCGATTCTTGCGGGACCACCAGCACCCTTGAGAACAGGCTGCGTCAAGATCAAGCCATCCGAAAGCTCACTGTCCTCGATGGTTCCGCCAACCTTCTTGACGATTCTGATGTTCTTCAGGTCGACGTTGTCTGCCGTCTTGAGGTCGATGGTCTTGACAACGGAGTTGACAGCCATGGGGCCGAGAATGTTGGAGTATTGCGACACAATCTTGGAGGAGAGAGATGTGTTGGCTGCCTGGAGCAGGGATGCTGTGTCGGTGAGGGAAATGGGTTGTGACATGTCGTGGAGAACCTCGACAGCTGCGGCAGCGGCTCTCTGGAAAGCCTCTGAGATGACGGAGGGGTGAATTCCTTTTGACAGCAGTCTATCAGCGGCACCGAGCAAGCTGCCGCAAATGACAACCACGGATGTTGTGCCGTCTCCTGCCTCCACGTCCTGTGCCGCCGAAAGGTTGACCAACATCTTTGCTGTCGGGTGCATGACAGACATGCTCTTCAACATTGTGTTGCCGTCGTTGGTAATGATTGTCTCGCCCTTTCCACTTCGAATCATCTTGTCCATGCCGCGGGGGCCCAGAGAGGTTCGGATCGCATCGGCGACGGCTAGCAATCAAGTCGAGTCAGTTGATGGCCTAAGAAGCCCGCAGGTCTATTCGTCTTGCTCACCTCTAGCAGCAACAATGTTGGAGGAGCGGACGGCGACGGGCTTCTCCTTGTCCTGTAGGTGAAGTATTAGCAATAAGCTCCCCCTCTAGAAGCTTCACTATGAGCGCGCAGTTCGCACCTTGAAAGTAGCATTGCCAGAGCCTCCTCCGGCCTGGGCTGGTGCAGTAGTGGCCATTTTGACAGAACTGATTTGTGTTGTGCTTGTTATCGAGAACTCGGGGTCGGGGAGACAAGCTTAACACGGGGTGCAAAGGTATCGGTATCGTCGTGGGCCTGTCCCGCTGTCGCCTTCTTTTGCGATCGCCCACTTTCTCTCAGGTAGCAACCCCCCCAGCGGCGGTGGGATATTTTTTAGCGGCCGCCAGGTTGTTCCTGCCCCGGTACCTTAAGGTACCCTGCGTGCCTGCTACCTAAGCCGGGCCGTCAGTTCTGTTTGCATTTTGCCCATGCCCGGCCTAGCTCCACAGCAGCCTCGCACTTGTGGCCCGTGCTTGGGAGCTCAAGGCAACCTGGATTACGGAACCGTCTTCCATCACCACCTCCATCCCACGATTCCCACCCCCGGCACCATACTCATTGACGACCAACGCGACCTTTTCCTCGAAACCCTGCGATCCCACTCCAACGAACCATCCAAGCCGAATATTCCCACGAACCTACCTCAATCATAATATTCGGCAGTAGGACGTTCAGTCCTCATCCTACATCATGGTATGGACCCTTCGTGTCCACTTCCATCGATAGCAGTGTTAACTCGAGCATTATTAGCCTTCCGCCACCGGCCAGAACTGGGAGAAATACCAGAAGACCTACGCAGACGACGAGGTTGAAGAGAAGAAGATCACACCGCTTACCGATGAGTCCGTGACCCCACCAACTCCGAGCTACAATGAAATGTCGACTGACAATACCCAGAGATATTCAAGTCCTGAAGACCTACGGTGCCGCCCCATACGGTGCTGCCATCAAGAAGCTCGAGCAACAGATCAAGGAGAAGCAAACGAGCGTAGACGAGAAGATTGGCGTCAAGGTAGCTGCATCCGTTCCTCCTTGGCTGATGCAACTCGGACTGACTTGACTAGGAATCCGATACAGGTCTTGCCCCTCCTCACCTTTGGGACGTAGCAGCAGACCGGCAACGCATGTCGGAAGAACAGCCCCTCCAAGTCGCCCGGTGTACAAAGATCATTCCCGACGAGAAGGACGATTCCAAGAGCAAATATGTCATCAACGTCAAGCAGATCGCCAAGTTCGTCGTGCAGCTTGGCGAGAGAGTGAGCCCCACGGATATCGAAGAGGGCATGCGAGTGGGCGTCGATAGGAACAAGTACCAGATCCTTCTGCCGCTTCCACCCAAGATCGACGCTAGTGTTACAATGATGACGGTCGAGGAGAAGCCCGATGTTACATACGGAGATGTTGGTGGTTCAAAGGAGCAGGTTGAGAAGTTGCGCGAAGTCGTCGAGATGCCCCTCTTGTCGCCAGAGCGGTTCGTCAACCTCGGTATCGACCCCCCGAAGGGTGCGCTGCTGTACGGACCCCCCGGTACCGGAAAGACCCTTTGCGCCCGAGCTGTCGCCAACAGAACAGACGCCACCTTCATCCGAGTTATCGGCAGTGAGTTGGTCCAGAAGTACGTCGGTGAGGGTGCAAGAATGGTGCGCGAGCTTTTCGAGATGGCGCGGACGAAGAAGGCCTGCATCATCTTCTTTGACGAAATCGACGCCATTGGTGGTGCCCGTTTCGATGACGGTGCTGGTGGAGACAACGAGGTTCAGAGAACTATGCTGGAGCTCATTACCCAGCTGGACGGTTTCGACGCTCGTGGCAACATCAAGGTCATGTTCGCAACCAACAGACCTTCCACTCTCGACCCTGCCCTAATGAGACCCGGTCGTATCGATCGTAAGATCGAATTCTCCCTGCCCGACCTCGAGGGTCGCGCCAACATTCTGCGTATTCACGCCAAGAGCATGTCCGTCGAGCGTGATATTCGGTGGGAGCTCATCTCGCGTCTGTGCCCCAACGCCACGGGTGCCGAGCTTCGCAGTGTCTGCACAGAGGCCGGTATGTTCGCCATCCGCGCCCGGAGAAAGGTGGCGACGGAGAAGGACTTCCTCAGCGCCGTGGACAAGGTCATCAAGGCCAACCTCAAGTTCAACTCGACGGCCAGCTACATGCAATACAATTAAGATGGGCAATCCAGGGGCTATGAGATGGGAGGGGTGGGGTCACGGAGTTTCGTCATGTCCTTTATTTCTAAAGGCTGTAAGAATAGGCAGGCTTCGGATCGGGGAAGGCTTCTAGAGGGCGTGATACCTTCCGAGAGAAAGGAGAAATAGATCATGCTTTTTATGTGCCAGTCACAGTTTCCCATGAGCGCAATTTGCAAGTGACATGATGAGTCTGCCTACCCAACCTAAGTATGCAGAAAGAAACGACAGCGCTTAACGTAACTTTTCATGTGGCAGGTCGGTTTGCCTAGAGGAACGTACCGCAAGTAAGGTAACATTATTAGCGCGGCTCACTCACTGCCTGATATTCTCAATCCCTGAAGCACTGAGGGTGGCTTCATTTGGCAAAATTGGTGGTATTGTTGGCCGTAGAATCACATTGAACTACAGCTAGACGAGGCACTCTCTCTCGCCTCTCTAGCCTCCCCAACGTAGTGAGAATAAGGGGACGTGAGTATTTTTCAACCTATCCCTTGCTCTCGCTGTTTCCTGGTAACATCTTCCAGGTGATCCTCCTATGCGCGAAAGAAAAAAAAGTAACAATGTCCCATGCTGCCTCAGCATTGCCCAGTTTTGCTCCATTACTAAATGAATATGCATGCCTTCATTAGCAGTGCCGTACGCTCAACCGTCTTCCGTGGGCGTTTTGACTGTCAAAAAAGAACCTCCTTGAACGCTATGATCTGAAAACAACAAAACAAGAAATGTTGCCCTTCGGCAGGGCGTTGCAGCCACCTTAGACTGACTCCATGCGCGAGAGACAGCCCAGGCAAACGATGTCGCCCTCGGAACCCTTCTCGATACAACAGCGACTGCAGACCATCTGCCTATGACCACCGCCTGTCCAGCCGTTGTGTCGAGTGGCTTGGCCGGTCCTCTTTACCTCCTCCTCTTCTCTTGATTGCCGTTGCCTGTCGTCATCCACATCATCCATAGTACATGACCGTGAGAGATCGAGTCCATCTTGCCCTTGGTCCTGTTGCGTGCTGTTTATGCCGCCGTTGCTGCTTGGTCGTCCGTCCTTTTCCCAGCCCTGGCATTCTCGGACGCAGATATAGCATGATCGTTGTCCACAACCTTGACAGTCTGCAAATGAGTCGAGGTCTGACTTCTTGGTAGGGCGGCGGTGGCAGATGTGGCAGGGTGCCAAGGATGAGGGCGTCTTGGGTCTATTGCCAGCTGTATCCGCATGGTTCTGCGCTGCATGGGAGGTGTGGCCAGACTCTGTCGACGACCTGCTACCTCGTCTTTGCTGCGAATCATGTTGTGATGTGGTACCGCCATTCAAGTTACCCAGCTCCCCACTATCGTTGTCTTCGTCATCGTCAAACATGCGCTGTCGCTTGGATACAGGAAGCGGCGCTATTTTCCGAGGTACCGAGTCGATATTCTGGCGTGATGCTTCGGCGGAAGCAGCCATATCGTGGGAGAATCCGAACTCATATCTCAACCGTTCATTATTACTGGAAGGGAAGCGAGGGAAGTTGCCTCCCAGGTGCTGCTGCTGTTGCTGCTGTAGAATCTGTTGCTGAATAGGCCTGCCTCCAAAAACGCCGTCAGCGTTCCAGTTGTTCGTTGCAGCCTGATACTGGGCGAGTTTCTCGTACAGGGGGGCTGGCAAATGCAGGTCGTTGCTGTTGGCGTCGTTGACGTCTCGTCTGCGCTTTCTGCCGGACGCCATCGCCATCAGCCGTGGATACTCCTCGGCGACGGATGGCATTTGGTTTCTGGTTTGTTTGGTTCGAAGAAGGCACGGATTGTTGTGTGTTGTCTGTGGTATGAAGCTCGTAGATCGATGCAAAAGGATTTCTTGTCGTTGGAAGGGGGCGAGTAATCAGGCGTTGGTGGTGGTTGTATTCGTGCTCGGCAAGGCGAGGTTCGCTGATAAGGTCGTAGATTTCTTTTGTCGATAAGAGGAACCGAATGGAAAAGGTGTCAAGGCAACGAAACAAACCGTTGAGGGCTTGCTTATGGTCAAAGATGGAGAGAAAAAGAGCTCACGGGAAGAAGGAGGACTTGATGACGAGTGAAAAACGCTCCTTCCCACTCGCTCTTCTTGACTAGGCAGCTCCTTCGTTGGAGGAGGGGGAAGGTGGTGGTAGTGGTGGTGTTGCTAATTAGCTGCAGGCACATACGTCGGGTCCATGTGAGTGAGCAGGCTCTGGCAGGACTGGCAGTGGACGGCAGGGTGTTTTTGAGGTGGCACTGATGGCTAGGCCCCGGCTCGGAGCTTTTGGGCCTGACGGAAGCTGCCCAGTTTAATGAGGAGGTGGACACCAACGAGCGATGAAGGGAACAGAGGATTGGTCGACGGCGTGCTTTCCACCTTCGGCTGCTTCTGTTCTGTCAGCGCAGTCATCTCAGCGGACTCAGCGCTGGATCCAACTGTTCGGAAAGCGCGCCGTCCGCTGGAAAACCGATCGTTTCCTTCCAGCCCAAGGTCCTCTTAACTCGCGCGGCCTCTGGAGTACGTTGCTGGAGCACCTCCAAAAGACCCACCAAGATTCGTCTCTTCCACCAATTGACAACCCCTGACTACCTGCCCAAGGTAGACGCAAACCCCGGCCACTCACTCCTCAGTCAATGTCGTTGCTCAGAAACTGGGTGATCATCGGCGACAAACGACACTTTAAATGCCTGCAAAGTCGCAGAACTTTGTGTGCGAGCTAGGGATCTGGAAGGAAAACATGAGATGAAACATCTTTTTGATTATCTGAAAAAAAAAATCATGAAAATGGGTACGGATATGCATCTATGTACCAACCTCGCATTGTTCTATCAACCTACAAATGAGTAAGGTGCAACTGCGTTTCGGCGAATCAGTGGCCGACGATACGCATGTTGAAGACACCGTTGATTCCAGCAGCCTATGGTTGCATCGCGTATCAACCGGTAGTATACTCAGATCTGTCTCCATACTCCGACGAGATGTTTCCGACTGATGGCACGAAGCAGACTAATATTCTTCATTTCATGACTGCAGCTTGATCATCAGGTTGTGGTAGTACGTTGTGGTGTGGACCATCACTGAAACGTGGGCATATGTTTGGCACATAAAATTCTAATCTTGTCTTGTCATTATCAAGGAGTCAGGTATTGAAAAAGGACCATCTGATTTACACTCTATCGCTCCCCATATTGCTCCCAACGATGAATCTCGTCTCTGCCGCCTCCACTAACAAAGGAGCTGTTTTAGAGAGCCTAGTATAACATACACAGAGACAACCGAAATGTTGCCATGCTAATTTAGTGGCGAACCTTGGTGTCCTTGGGAGGGTCGTACGCGAGCTTTCTCGACTTGAGCCAGGCCCACTTGTACTTCTTGACCCAGACGCTGAGGGCCCAAAGGGAGGCCGAAACAACGAGAACCTTCATACCCATGCGCTTGCGGTCGTCCATCTCGGGCTCAGCGGCCCAGTTGAGGAACTCGACAACGTCCTTGGCCATCTGCGAGGTGGAAGCAGGAGTGCCGTCCTCGTACTCGACGAGGTCCTCGTAAAGGACACGGGCCATGGCGATACCGGTACCGGGGAAGTAGGGGTTGAAGTTCATGCCGGGAGCGACGACGGCGCCCGCGGGGGGCTCCTCGGGGTAACCGGTCAACAAGCTGAAGATGTAGTTGCAGCCACCGTGGCGGGCCTTGACGATCAAGCTCAGGTCGGGGGGAAGGGCACCGTTGTTGGCGAAACGGGCAGCCTCCTCGTTCTTGTAGGGGTCGGGCATGTAGTCGGAGAGCTTGCCGGGGCGCATCTCGATGTCACCCTGCTCGTTGGGCTCACCGGGGTACTCGTTCTCCTCGGCCATGGCCTTGGCCTCGTCGACGGTCAAGACGGTACCGACGAGAGTTCGGTAGGGGACACGGCTGAGAGAGTGGCAAGAGGCGCAGACCTCGCGGTAGACCTGGAAACCACGGCGAAGACTGCAATTCAATGTAAGCGTCATACATCCCAGATGGGCAAAGAAAATCAATGTGGTGTTCTGCTTACGCCTGGTGGTCAAAAGTCTTGAACCATTGCTCGTGAACCCAAGGGTAGTTGGTAGGGTGAAGACTGAAGATGATAATTTAGCTCAATGATCGTTTGCTGTCGGTCGGCCCCGGTTTCACTGTCGATTATGCCTCAACCCAAGGGATTCGGCGGCATTCGAGCAATTGTCCCTCAGTGACCGCATACGAATAGGCAAAAAACTCACCCCTCCTCAGCCGGTGCGGCAGCGTTGGCGGAAGGTCCGTAAAGGTGGTAGTACCAGGCCATGGAGCCCAAGGCGAGAGACGTCGACGTGACGGCGGCGAGGTTCAATCTAGAGGAAGCTTCGGCACCAGCGCTGCTGGAAGTAGAGGCGGCACGCTGTATCAATCATCGTCAGCGAATTTGCCCCAGAGTCCCTGATGTCCATTGATGTCCGTCGATGTCCATTGAGGCCAGGCTCGGGCGTGTTCGTTGGCGGTCGGTCGGATTGCCTCGGGAATTTCGACTCGTGATCAGCTCATCTGCGTACCTTTGAAATCGTGACAGCGCCATTTGTGAAAGTGCGCGCCGAGCGCAAGCAAGACCTTGCCAACATGATGGGCGAGCCGTATCCGCAGCTACAGAGACAGCCGCGAACAGATTGATGGGGCAATTGGTGGGAGGTCGTCTCGTGGCGGAGATCGGTTCTATGGTACAGCAGTCGAGGCAGGAGAAAATCGCTTGAGGCAGTTTTCGAGTGCCTTAGGTATGGGACATCTCTGATTGGCTGATGGGCACGGTCAATGACATCTTCCGTTCCGGCGACTTTTCGCTTCCTTCCTCTTACCCGTAGTTGCCCGGTTGCACTCAATTGACCACACGTATTTCCGATCGCCCGTCTCACCCAAGTGAACCCAACAGCTGGCGTCTGCCAACCCTCGGACTGAGAAATGTCGCCCCCATGATTGGCCTGACTTGGATGCAACTGCAGTGATCTGCCACATGCATCACAACACGACATTGGACGATGAAATAGTTATTTCAAACAAAAATCCCTACCTTGATCTGAAGGCGCGACAAAATTCGAGCAACATTGTTAGTAAATGTAATGAATACTGAAGTCCTCGGCAGTTCATCATAAGAAACGCCGGAATGATGTTGACAAGGTAGCAAGAGAGTTGGGTATCAGGTGGATTTTATTCGACAAAACTACAAAACTTTTTAACCTTGCCGAACCGGATGTAGCTCCCGCAATCCACGGCAGGCAGCTATCGGTATATGCACACTTTTCCCCCCTCGCCAAGTCGACAGCCACGCCTTGTAGCTGGTGTATATCCCATGGAACCCCCTACCGTTGCAAAAAAAAATCATCATGTCCGAAACTAGCTACTCAAGCACCGTTCTTGCTGATGATCTCGCGGCGCTGCTTCACTGCGTTGGCCAGTTGGTCGAGCACAGAGATGGTATCATCCCAGTGAATGCATGCGTCTGTGATGCTGACTCCGTACTTCAGGCCCTCCTTGCCCTCCTTCGGCACCTTTTGGTTGCCTATCAAGAAATTAGCATCTGCAACTACATACAATGATCGAGACAGGTACTTACCCTCGTTGATGTTGCTCTCAATCATGACACCCATGATGCCAGTCTCGCCGCCGGCAATCTGGCCAGCGAGGTCGGCAGCGACCTTGGGCTGGTTCTTGTGGTTCTTCAAGGAGTTGCCGTGGGAGCAGTCGACCATGAGTCTTTGGGGAAGACCGGCCTTATCCAGGGCAGCCTTTGCCTCAGCAATGCTCTTGGCATCGTAGTTGGTGCCGCGAGTACCACCTCTGAGAATGGTGAAGCAGTCCTCGTTGCCCAGGGTGCCGACGACGGCCACGACACCGGGCTTGGTAACGGAAAGGAAGTGGTGAGGGTGTCTGACGGCGCCAATGGCATCAATGGAGACGCCGAGCGAGCCGTCAGTGCCGTTCTTGAATCCAACGGGGAAACTGAGACCGCTCGCAAGCTCTCGGTGCAGCTGACTCTCGGTGGTTCTTGCGCCAACAGCGCCGACGGATAGCAGATCGGCAAGGAACTGGGGTGAAATGGTATCGAGCATCTCGCTGGCAATGGGCATGCCCTTGTCGGTGAGGTCGACGAAGAGCTGTCTCGACAGGCGCAAACCCTTGTTGATCTTGAAGCTGTTGTCGATATCCGGGTCGTTGATCAGTCCCTTCCATCCGACTGTTGTGCGGGGCTTCTCGAGGTAGGAGCGCATCACGATGAGGAGCTCGTCCTTGTGCTTCTCCTTCTCTTGCAGCAACATATCGCAGTACTCGAGAGCAGCTTTAGGGTCGTGGATGGAGCAAGGGCCAATAATGACCAGTAGTCTCTCCTTTTTGTCGGTGCCATTGACAATAGCGACGGACTCGTCACGGCCCTCGATCACGGTTTGCTTCGACTTGGGAGTTTGGGCAATCTCATGCTGGAGCAGATCGGGCGACGTCAGCGGGTTGTAGCCGCGAACTAAGACATCAATTAGCTTGACGTGATGACTGAGACAGCATCAATGCAGTCTGTACTTCTCCAATCTTCGCTGTCGGCCTTGTTGCCGACATTTTTGTTCTCGATGAAGAAGCTCTGCAATAGAGTGGTGAGTCACGGATGTTGTACTTGCGCGTGGTGGCCGTGGGGTCGCGAGAGCTGACTTACAGACATGGTGGCAGCGAGGAACTTCAAAAGCTAGATGCAATTGGACGCTGAATGCTTAGTGAATGCTGAACGAGTCGACCGAAATGAGCACCAAGATCGTTGATAAGTGAAGAAAGTGCAATTGGAAGAGAGAAATAGACTTTTTTTTCCTTCTGGATTTGTAGGTTGCTGTGTCCAAAGGAGGGCAGCTTCGAAGACTAGAATACCTTACATCAGACCTGAGCACAAATGGGCGAAGACTCATTCGTCCCCCTGCCCAGTGCCACCCCGGCCAGCAGTACCCCGCCGAAGACGGACCCAGAAAAAAGTTGAACACCACCTTGACCACCACCACCACCACCAACCTACTGCGTAACCTCAAGTCAGGGCCGCCCGCCTCATGCAAGCGCAAGTCAACTTGCCACCAGTGAACCAATGGGCCAACAGTGAGGGGTATCCTTGCCGCATCTTTCTCGCTGAATTATGGCCGTGACGTGAGGGTTGCCCCCTGTGGACCTGTCCAGCCGGCCTCAATGGCGCCACAAGATGGGTCTCACCGCCTGGAAAATGCCCGCGACAGCACCGAAGAACGGGCATTACCATTGCAGACTGCAGTCAGTGCTACGTCGACTTTGACGTGCCCTGAGGTGGGATATCTACCTATAACTTCTTTCCCTCCAACCTATCGGGGACGGATATTTAGAGCACATGGTAAGGTACCTTGGTTTTATTCCCGAAGCGCCCTAGTTTGACATGTCATCTAACCACATTCAATCTATTACTCTAAGTACTTCAAAACCTGTGTCGAACATCACCGATGTCGCTTAGAACCCCACGAACCCTCAGCACCAATCTACAACACACCACCTTCCATCAAAGTCTAGATCGTCTTTTTCAGAGGCTTGTAAGCCTCCTTCTCCATCTTCCCATAGCCGTTAAATCGGCCATACACCCACTTCAAGAGACTGGTACTCGCGGTCATCAGCGCGGCTGAGAAAGTGAACAACCCTACGCGCTGTACGGTGTTGAGGACATCGAAAATAGGGTAAGGGTACCTGCATCTGGTTAGCGGGCTATGCAATCGGTCGAAGAGGGCACCCTTTTATATACCATCCGTTTCTGCTGAAGCACAGCTCAACCCAGCCCCAGTATAGGAAAGCAAAGATCATACTAATGGCCATGGCCGAGTACGCGCGAATCGTCCATGGCGGGCTGAACAGAATAAGGTCCAGAGACAGGACCACAGCAGGGACCAAGTGGAATCCAACGTCCGGTAGCCAGTGAAGCTCGAATCCCTCGGGAATCAGCAATCGCTTGTCGATGGAGCGGATTCCCCAGTACAAGATGCTGATGAGCACCTCAAGCGGTGCTGCCGTGGTTGACAGGGCGTTCTTTACAGCAAATAATGAAGGGCTGAGGGTGATGTCGGCCAGCAGCCCTATCACAAATGTCACAAACGACAGAATCAGTCCGATGTTGGTGAGGTGCTGGTAGTTTCCTCCGAAACCCATGGAGATGTCGTGAGTGAGTCCATTGAGGAAGTTGAAGGAAGCGATGAACGAAACGATGCCGGTAACGTGCAGCAACAGAGACGCTGTTCGGGACGGCGACTGCAGCCGCTGTAACTGATGTTTGGCCATCTTAGTTTATCTCAATGTTGACAATGATGCTGCCTGTCCCACAGTTGTGGTTCTGGTGTAAGGTAGTTTGATGTAAAAGAAGGGATGAGATGACACTTCCGCAACGAGACGGGCCCAAAGGAAAGGAATTGTTGAGGAACGGCGCGGAAGGCAGGGAGAGAAGTCCGAGGGGTTGGGTCGTCGTATGTCGTTGATGCCTTGAGACGGAAACTTTATGAAGGTGAGATTTGCGACAAGAGTGACTTCTTATTTATTTGTCTTCCTTTGGGTAAAAAAAAAAAGTCGTTGCCGACTAATCAGGGTTCCAACTAATGCATCGTCAGGCTGACGGACCGCGGCAAGTCGCAACTGTCCGGTGCCTTCGGAAGGCTTCGTCATGAGGTCACTGATGGATCCCGGCGGCGCGGTGCCCCGTACCTGATCGCACCTCCAGTGTCACCAAAAGATCCGCGCAGGCCCGCTACCTAACCTGGAATCCTGGATGCCCCATCGCAGCCCGCGGCATGTGTTGCCGGCCGCTAAAGCCAAACTAAGAAGAAGCTCACAGTGGGTCCAGTGCCAGCAGCAAGGCTGCTTTACGTTGGCTGCCACTTCCCCGGCACCCTCATCTGATTGGATCAATTGACATAGCTTCCTGCAAACCACCACAAGCTTCCTAGATTTCCATCTCAGCCTTACCACGCGACGAGCACTTGCACTCACGGTCACCACACTCGCCGTCGCTGTGCCTTTGACCCCCGGCATCGACAAAATGGCTGACGACGACGCCAAAACCAATAAACGAAGTCATGCGGACCTTGTTGCCCAAGATGACGGTAAGCATAGAAGATGCGACCTGGGACTCTGTTCTAGCACTACTCTCCGACGAAGCTTGGACTAACGGCGTGGCCAGACAGCTCCTCCGATGACGATATGGGTCCCCAGCTCCCCTCAGAAGCACCAAAGAAGAAGAAGCGTCGCGTGCTCCCATACGAAAAGCTCTATATTGCTGCGCTGCCCAAGTCGACCCGGTACTCCAAGTCTCTGATGCACAAGGAGCAGCTGTCTTTCGTGACGGTGACGCCTCTGACGGACTTCATTATTACCTCGTCTGTAGACGGTGTCGTCAAGTTCTGGAAAAAGGTGGCTGAGGGGATAGAATTCGTCAAGGAGTTCAAGGCACATGCGGACGAGATCAGATCCGTCTCCGTTAGCCAAGACGGGAGAAGCTTTGCAACCGCCGGGGCAGACAAGACTGTCAAAATCTTTGATGTCATTACGTTCGATCTTCTGGCGATGCTGAAGCTGACCTTTGTACCGAGATGTCTTTGCTGGGTTCACAACCGAGGGGCTTCGCTACCTCTCCTTGCGGTGTCCGAGCAAACCAACTCTAATATCCATATTTTCGATGGCAGGGGAGAGAGGCAAGACCCGATTCACACGATCAAGTCCCTACACAGAAGTCCGGTCTCAATTATGGCTTTCAACAGTGCCTACGACTGCGTGCTGTCTGCGGACGAGAAGGGCATGCTGGAGTACTGGCGACCGAGCGGCGACTACGAGAAACCGGACAACGTATTCGAGTTCAAGGCTTCAACAAATCTGTTTGATTTCAAGAAGGCAAAATCAGTACCGACGTCAATCACGATTTCGCCGACAGGCAAGCAATTTGCGGCTTTCTCCCAACCAGACCGGAAAATTCGAATCTTTGACTTTGCGTCTGGAAAGCTGTATCGAACATATGACGAATCTCTCCAAGTGATTGAGGATATGCAGCATGCTGGGTTGGCACTGCAAAAGCTGGAAACTGTGGAGTTTGGCCGCAGATTCGCGGTCGAGCGAGAAATTGACTCGGCAGCGTACAGAGACAAGGCAAACGTCATTTTTGACGAGTCTGGCAACTTCATTCTTTACGGCTCAATATCCGGCGTCAAAGTGCTGAATACCTATACCAACCAGATCGTCAAGGTGTACGGTAAAGAAGAGAACTTCAGAGCCGTCAACCTGGCGATATACCAAGGTCAACCGCAGAAGAAGGGCATTACTACAGTTGAGATGGGTGCTTCTGCCAATCCCCTGCTCCAGGAGTCCGAGTCCAGAGACCCCATCTTGATAACGACAGGAGTCAACAAGCAGCGATTTTATATGTTTACCAATGACGAAGAAATCTCAAAGTCGGTGCGAGACGTCCAAAACGAGAAGCCTACGATGCTTGGCCAGAAGAAGGCGGAAGAGGCCAAGAAAGCAGAGACCGGAACCGCCGCAGTAATCCACACCAACTACGGCGACATTCACATTCGTCTCTTCCCCGATGCGGCACCCAAGGCTGTTGAGAACTTTGTCACCCACTCAAAGAGTGGTTACTACAACAACACGATCTTCCACCGTGTGATTCGCAAGTTCATGATCCAAGGTGGAGATCCACTCGGCGACGGCACGGGTGGCGAGAGTATATGGGGAAAGGAATTTGCAGATGAATTCAGCAGTCTGAAGCACGACAAGCCATACACAGTCAGCATGGCTAATGCAGGCCCAAACACCAATGGCAGTCAATTCTTTATCACAACGGAAAAGACGGTGAGTACAACCCAACTCGGTGACTTAGATATAATGCAGTCCTAACAGTCACAAACAGCCTTGGCTGGACGGGAAGCACACTATTTTCGGGCGAGCAACCCAAGGGTTCGACGTTGTCCATAAGATCGAGAACGCGCGGACGTATAAGGAGAAGCCAGAGGAGGACATCAAGATCCTCAACATCGACATCGTATAGCCCGTTTCGTCGAAAGACGCCAAGTAATGAAAGACATGAGACCAAACTGCTCGACACACCCCCACAGAAGGGCAAAGTGAAATGGAGTGGAAAAAGCAATTCGAGGATGCAGCATCCCCGCAAGCCTCGCTACTGATACAGACGGGCCTCACGATGCAGCTGCATATCAGCTCAAGACCACTCACTTAAGTGAGGCTGTATGTTGTTCACGTGGACGCAAAAGGCCAACATTGGGCCGCTTACGATCCCGCAATCGGCGCTGCCATACCGCAACCCAATTCGGGCCCGATCTTGCCCGCCAGTGACACCTCGTACTTATAGACGATGTTTGGGCGTACCTCATGTTCAACGGTACGCACATCCGTTCTACGAAGTGGGCGACCCGGCCTTGTCGCAAGCGGTCTCAAACGTAGTCTATAACTTACCTTCAGCGTTGATAGTGAAGACAGTGCGCTCAACGATCTCGCAGATGGAAATTCCATAGACGCAGGCCTCCGGATTCCCTACCTGCGCTGCATGTTCGCGTGGCATGAACTAGCCAATCAACCTGCCTCGACCCCGCCCCTTTCGGTTCGGCTCGTCCCTTTCTCATTGCCAGGATCGAGGTCTCTGGTCCAGTATGCCACGTCCGAAGAAGCCAGGGGCGCCGGAGCCGAAACGTCGAAGCCGAAATGGCTGTTGGTAAGTTCACAATGCTCTGTAGCGTTGATGTATATGGCTTGCTTTCAGTCTAAATATCGTCTACAACTGACTAACATGTCCGCCCATAGGCCGTGCAAAGCCCGGAAAGTGAAATGTGGTGAGGAACACCCAACGTGTATCAAGTTCGTTTTATCTGTATATAAGTGGTGTTGGCTTTGGGGCACTGCCTGCGTGAGAAACTGCAATCGGTGGACGGCTAACATACATACACAGTTGCCAACGCACTGGGGAGCCTTGCGATTATAGTGTACGACTAAATTGGGAGGGCCGTCGAACGAAGAGATCTCTTTCTCTGGGAACACTGACCGGGGCCGCCCAGCCATCTAAAGATTCCCTCCACGCTGAACAACCGCCGTTCAATCATACGTTTACCAGTAGCAACCCGACTCAGGTTTCAGATCCGAAGCCTTTAACGAAACCCATCCTCACTGATCCCGTCAGCGTTGAGACAGCGAAGAGAAAGCTTGAACAGCTAGAAACTCATGATGACTACTTGAGTCAATCTCAGAATACGTCCTCCCGATCGATCCAGCACCAGAATGGCGCTCCATTTGCTCCGCCGCGCAGTGCACCAAACAATGCACGAGGCCACTCCTCGACATCAAGTCACCGTCGAATTGTTCCTGCGACTGCAAACGCTTCACAGAGATTATACAAGAGGTCTAAATCTCTCGCTGAGACATGTAAACCGGATCTATTGAGCCAGCTCGACCCTGTGTCTTCGCCAATTTGTCTAATCGGGAAAAGCCCTCCCACGTCTTTCCTCCGCTCGGGTGCCATTTCAACGCCGATCGGTTCTCCCTTAACGCCCGTCTCGTTAGTGATCAAGTCTGACGATGAGACGAGATCGTCCATCTTGAGCCTGCCTTCGCCGGCGTCTCCAGAAGATAGTCGACTGTCTGTGAACTATCTGCTCTCGAGTTCTCCCCGCCTTGTGTATGGTGTAAATAAGGGAATGGCCCAACCATATGGTCCGCCTTGGTTCAACTCTGGATTCAAACAGGAGGTATCAGAAGAGGCTACATTTTACGGCTTCGATCTTGGCATTCCAGACGCTGATATTGCCCAGAATGATGACGCAGGATCCATATTTCCAACAGTATCTTCTACTAGATATTCTGGGCGCTTCCTCCAAGCTATGTGCGGTGGATCCAATTCCCAACAATCCGAGACCATTAATGGCACGATGCCAGGGGTCTGGTACTATGGCCAGCCTATTCCGATATGGATACCTCGAAACATCGAGCCCATTCCTGCCAAGTGAGTCTCTCCTATCTTTGACCAGTTCGAGGCTGACTGATGGAAGGCTTCGAGAAAATCCAATGAATGTCCTTGTAAGTCAGACCTTGTATCTCCAAGTAGATGTTTACAGGACACTGATGACTTTGACAAACAGTACTTCGTACGTAGTCCCGTCGTCTTATCACCTACAGTCATGGAATAACGTCCAAACGACAGCATCACTTTTTGAATCATACGGCCAGGGGTAAGAGTTTTCATAGTTCCCATCATCAAGCCTACTGACTCAGAAATAGTTCTCGTACCGTACGACGACCCCAAGTCCAACCCTTTTCGCACGATTTTGCCGCAAATGGCCGTCGGTAACGACCACCTACTCAGCTTACTCCTGGCCTACTCGGGTAATTATTTCCCACGCGTGCTCTATTGTCCCGATCTGACGACCTGGTCACAGCCGCTCATAGATCAAGACTTCTCGGAAAGAAGGAACCGCAGATGAGGATAGCGATCTGGGTGCAGGATATCTTCCCCGCCCTCCGGCAAGCCCTCAACGACAGGGACAAAATTATTTCAAACACGAGCCTCGCCACCGCCATCATGCTCGCCTCGCTGGAGATCATCTCGCCCACCGCGTTCGGGTACGACATTCCCTGGCAGCGGCACCTGAATCTGGCTCGGACGCTCATGTGGAGGCGGCTGGCGGACCTGCGCAGGACCACCGAGAACGGTCTGCGGGAGGACGGCGCGTGTGCCTTCCTGTGGAGCTGGTTCGCGTACTTGGATGTCCTGGGGAGCTTGAGCGGTGGCGGTGTGCCCGACGCGGATTCCTCGAGGTTCTGGCTGCTCGAGTATACGGTCCACAATCCCGGAGACAGCCAGGATGAGATTGACTGCGTCATGGGGTTCAGCACGCGCTGTGTCCAGATACTGGCCCAGATCGCGGAGCTGGCGCGCCGCTGCGACGAGCAGCGGTTCGCGATGAGCGGTTCCTCGCCGCAACTTGTCTGGTGTCCGAACGCAGCTTGTATCGAGCGGGCTCAGCTGTTGGAACAGGAGCTTTTATACAGCATGGCGCAGCCGTCACGCCCGTGCAGACACATCACTACCATTACCACTCAGAGCCAGAGCATAACTCAGTACAAAGGCATCGAGGTCGAGGGACAGGGTAATATGGAGGAGATGGTCTTCTTGAACGAGGCGTTCCACTGGGCTGGGCTTGTGCACCTGCATAGGCGCGTCTTAGGTAAGCCGCCTAGCCACGAGGACGTCCAGGGGCCGGTAGGCAGGATCGTGGCGTGCTTAGAGGGTATTGTATCTGGCGGGTCGGCGGAGACGGGGTTCTTGTTTCCCATGTTTACGGCTGGGTGTCATGCGCTGGAGGGGCCGCAGAGGAGCAAGATTTTGGAGAGGTTTCGGAGCGTGGAGAGGAATGGGATGACGCAGGTACGTTTGATTACTCCGGTGGCTAAAACTTGCTGGGGGGAAAGGTGTCATGAGTGGTGAGTGTTGAGCTGACTCTTGTTTTAAATAGGTTCACAAGGCGAGAGTGCTTATGGAAAAGGTATGGGTTACGGGGCAGCCATGGGAGCCTTTGCTGTGCACGGAATTCATTGGGTGATTTTGGCAGCTTTCCTTTTCTTTTCCCCCCTTGAGGATGGGAAAGGCCAGCAACCGGGACTATTGCATTTGAAGGAAGTTCGGTTTCCTTTTCGCGTACTTGCGAACGAGGCATGAAGTTGGATAGAGATGTTGGGAGGGGGCACATCAGGGAAGCACCATACGGATACCAGCATTTTTTCCACCTTCACGACATTCATGAGACCATGATGTGAATGAAACCTTTCATACTTGGCTTTGAGAGAGAAAGCTCGGGCTGGATACATTAGAGCTGGCAGCAATACACGTAACATGTCGTGATTTCACAAGTCTTTTGGTTTTACTATAGTCTTAGTGTTTTCCAACAATGTAGCTCAGACCTTGAGGTTTCTTCTTGTTTCTTCAAGTCCAAGAGTTGAATGGAAATGTCCCAATAGCCTCCCCGTCTGTCTTCACAGGCTAAGGCAGGGCGAGAGTGCGAGCGATGGTAGAAGGCTTGTGTATAAGTAACATCCGGTGATGCTTTCTCAGCTAAGAGGAGTGTGATACTCACGACATTTTTCACCACAATGGTACCTACATGGCATTATCATTCTTCCACCATCGCTGGTTCCCATCACTACATCTTGACACATCAGTTGCATAAAAGTCTAGATGCCTCCAGGACTAAACCGGGGCAAAAAATTGAAGGGGATCAAAAGTTAACAGCCCCAAAGACAAGGCTCAAGGTCAAAAATAAGGGGAAAAAAGGAAAAAAGATGTTGCGTCAATCGCGGACGGGAATTGAGCCCGACGTGGCTGGTACATATTAGTGATGCTATTCAGATATAGTATCTTTGAGAGAGGCAATGGCGCTTACGGGTCGAACCCACAACCTTGAGATTAAGAGTCTCACGCTCTACCGATTGAGCTAGCCGGGCAGGCTTTACAAGATTGGTGATAGTGGACGGCGACGAGACGGTTGATACTGGGTTGGATTTGTGGGATTTCATCGTGGGGTTTGTGGTGGATGGGGTGGATGAGGGTCTCCGAGGGCACGGAAGACCTGGTAGGTAAAATGGGGCCCGGCGGCCGCGACTTACACCGATGACTCGGGCAACGTTGACGAAAGAACAGACAACAGTCACATAGAAGGGCAAGGGAAAGAGTCAAGTCTGTTTCCAAATTGTACAGTTTGTTTTGGGTCTGAAATTACTGCTATAAACCACCGAAATAAATATATCCCCCTTGTCCCAAAAATTGCAACAAAGGTCCAAAGTCTTTGACCCTGTTCTTTGATATTTCCCTCCTTTCCCAACGCCCAGAATGGTATATAAGAGTAAAGTCCTGTCAAAAGAGAGAGAGGAAGAAAGGCGTAAGGGGGTGGTCGGGGGGTCTTGTGGTTGTTCAAAAAAGCCAGCTCAGCTGAATACAAAGAAAAAAGAATAAAAAAGAAGCTGTTCCTTTTTGGAACGCACACACGCAGGCTCTGAATTTCTTTCACTCGTCTTCGTGATCATCACACCGTGTCTTTCTTTCCAACATCCCTCCTTTTGCTCGTCCTTTTTTGTCGTCTTTATCTTGCTTGGCCAAAGGAGTATTGGTGTGGGGGCGGGCTCTTGACAGGCGCGTCGGCGTAGGCGCCGGGGATCGGCACAGCGTCGTAGACGGGCTCATCTGCGGCCATGGGGGCGTGTTGCTGAGCTTGAGGCTGCTCCTGGTGGAATGACGGCTGCTGCTGCTGCTGCTGCTGCTGCTGGAAGGGGAACGCCGGACCGGGACCCTCGGGCGAGGTGGGTGTGTACGCCTCCTGTCCCGGCTTGGTCGCCGCGCGCGCCTTTGTCGGGGGCGCCTGGAGCTGGAAGGCGGGCTTGGGCTTGCCGAAGCTGGACTCGGGCTCGACGAAGCGGGTGCCGGGGGTGAAGGGGGAGGCGCCAGCCTCCTCGATGCGGGACAGGCTCTCGAAAGTCTTGTCCGGGTGGCGGGGGGACAGGGCGTACTGGGAGTAGAGGCCGGGGGACTTGAGGCCGGGCGTGTTGGGGGCGGACTGGGAGCGGAGCTGGGCGAGGTAGAGGTCGGAGCGGGCACGGTCGCGCATGTCCATGGACTTGTGGAGGCGGCGCTTGGTGTAGTAGCGGTAAAAGACGATGCTGTAGAGCAGGACGCAGATGACGTCGATGACGATCTCGATGACCATGCAGATGAGGGCCCAGTTCTGGAGACGGCAGATGAGGGCGTAGTCGACCTTTTCGCCAAAGACCTCGGCGCGCTTGTTCTCCTTGCACGACCAGCCCCACATGTCCTTGCCGCCGCCGTTGCTGCGGCTCGACTGGAAGAGGCCGGCGGCGATGGCCCACATGACCATGGAGAGGATGAACCAGCCGATGGCGAAGAGGGTGTAGTAGGTTGCTACCTTTTCGGCACGTTGGTGGCCGCCGCGGCAGTAGGCAAGGAGGACGCCGATGCAGACAGCGAGGGAGATGGAAGACACTGTGAAGGTTGTCAGAAAATGGCGAAGATTCAAGATCTGAAGCCTCGACTTACTAGTGATAACCAGGACTTGGGGCCAGATGGCGGTTCCTTCAGCCCATGATGGCAGACCACTCTGGGCAGGGAGACGTTTGGTAGCGTTGAAGATTTGGAAAGAGGCGGCAAGCATGGAGATGATGATCAAACTGCAGCTGAAGCTGACGCCACGAAGGGCGAACTTTGCCATACGGACGCGGGTCTTGATTTTCTACACAGTCAAAGTTAGTATTACATGGCTTCAGTTAGACCAAGAGCACACATACCAAGTCGCGTGCTTGCTCCTTGTCGGTCGCCGCTTCACGCTTCTCCAAGATATCCTCCTCACGGAAAGTCGGGCTGAGCGGGTTCTCGACAATCTTCCTCGCTGGTGTTCCGGGCACCCTCATGGCGCTCTTGAGTGGTGATCTGGGAGTCATGGGAACGGCGACGGACTCGCGGTTGCCGCCGCTGTTGTTGATGTAACCGAACCCGATATCCCCAGGCCGGGACTGAGGCACTTCTGATCTGACGGGGTCTGCGAACGGTGACCGGACGCCATCGACGGGAGAGTGAACTGATGTTGCCTCTGCGAAGCGAGGAGTGCGAGGGGGCTTGAGTGATGAGTCTGAGGAGGATGAGTCTGTGGATGCTGATCGGGCCGGGGCGAGGTTGAGGGCAGCAGGCCGCCTTCTATCTTCTGTCACGAAATGTGAGCATACAGTGTTGAAATAAACCACCAACCCTAGACAAAAGACATACCTTGGGAAGCCATGGCTATGCTATGTGACTGTGTTCCGGACGACGAAAAAGGTGGTAGCAAGAGAAGCGTGTCTAGTATATAGGAAAGGCACCCCTTAGACTTTGGGTCGTCAACAGGAAGACCGACTTCGGGACATGCAACAGATTTCGGTGATCAAAGCAAGAATGAAGCACGATAGGAATCAGATTTCGCAGAGACCAGCTGTCGGAAGGGAGAAAATAGAGGTCCAACAATTCGGTCACTCGGGGGAGCAGGTAGTTTTGAATTGGCGCCGGCAACCTCGAACAGATGAGGGACCTAAGGCAGAGGCCCTCTCACGCACTACAGGACCAGGACTGGACTGCATGGGGGCGGGCAGATCAGCAAGGTGTAAGTGGGACGAAGCGGAATGGGGGAATTCCTACATGTAGCGTGGGAGGGTAGGATGGCGCGAAGTTGAGCAGGGCTCTGATAGGTGAGAGGCCAAAGTTCCAGGCCGGCGATTCGGTCGTGATGGAAATAGACGCCCACGAGAGTGGACAAGGTGGCGCCGAGCTTTGGTTGGCTCGGTGGCAGGTGCTTCGAGACTCTCTCACTCACTCTGTACTTCAAAAGTCGCCTGTTCCTAGCTCGCGGATCACTGATCCGAGCGGAGACTTTGATACTGGTGAGTTTCTTATTATATGAGCCGGCGGTTACTGGATATATTGGGATATGATGGGAGTGTGTAAAACGGCTGAACACTAGAGGCGGTTTTCCTACCCAGAGGCAGAAAGATGGAAGCTCGAGGAGACGAAGGCACTATTAGGAGGAGATTTGTCAAAGCCAAGAGTTGCGCGCATTTCTCAACAACTCAGACGAATATAGAATATTGAAAGCAACCCCCAAATAGGCATCTTCAAGAGAGGGGAAGAGAGGGAGATAGATAGAGTAAGTGAGAGAGACAAGGACTCGGAGCATGCACACTCGTCCATCTCCCAGAATGACCGGCCGGCCTATCCAGCTTACAGACAGGACCAGATACCTACCTCCTCCCTTCTCTACCGGCCCTCGTGCCCTCCTCGCCTCGACAAAGGCTCACTGGAGCTTGGCGGCATTTGTCGTAGCATCCGCATGGTTCGACGATGCACGTAAGGCCGGTGATTGGACATGGCTGTCCAAATTGAGAGGAGGCAGGTGAAGTAGCAACGAGAGGACAAAGATGTGGTTGGACGGAAGTTTAGAAAGAGGAGAGAGGCTTGCGGCCACCCTTGCTCATGTCCACGGGTCCTTGATCAACCACCGGCGCCAACTCCTCTCCCAAATCGACACTTGAACTTCGAACCCTTGCTGCCGCCCGCATCCCCCCTGTCGGACAACTGCAGTTTTGATAGGCTCGTCTGGTGCAGCCGCCTCCGAATGCCGCATGCTTGTACGTTGGCGCAACGGCCTGCGACCAATCAACGGTCGAAAGTGCGTGATGGTCTTCCAGCCATATGCAGGCTGGGCGGTAAGCAGAAGTCGGGGGGATGGAGAATTGGGTGAATGAGCAAACACAGTAGCTATCGCGAGGTGGCATGGCGCGGCCTTTTTTTTTTGGTGCATTCTTTTGTGCTTGAGTCACCCGAGTCTCTTGGTTCCTGCTTTTTTTCTTCTTGTTCCTGGCACTGACAGGGAGTCGGACAATGAGCTTGATTTTTGACTTCCTTCTGGCGTGGTTAACGACTGCGGGCGCTAATGAAGTTCGAGGTGGGGTCATTCAACTGCCTATTCCCTCCAGGCTCAGAGGAAATGTATTTGCTCTCTCGCCCATATTCTTCGGTGAGGGTGGTTCATATGCCGAGTGATGAAGCATGCAGGCTGTGCTGTAAGTTGCTCATTTGTGATATAGGTACCGGTAGGTGTACGGAGTAGCAGCGTTCTTCGCAACTTCGCCCCCTCGTCCGCTGTTACCAGGCCCAAAATCTCACGTTGGCCATCTTTCGCTTGAGTAACCGAGGATCGCAGAAGGAATTCGTAGATCCGTAAGCTTGACTGAAGAACTGGGACACAAGCAGGATCGGGAGCTCGCTGAGCCTAGACGTGTAATTGATGGAAGGACTGCCGTGTAATATCATGTGTGGCGGCAAAGCAGAGGCAAAAATGGGTGAAGATGCTTTCTTCTTGGTGAGTTCATTCTGAAGAGTTTCCAATTTGAGAGAGCCGTCAGCCCCGTCAGCGATCGTCCTTGTTGAGCAGGTGGATGGTGCGAGGGAGCTACAGCCAACACAAATAATTACAGAGTAGTAGGGGAAATTGAGTGAGGCATGGTCCGTGTGCCGTCGCTTTCCCTTGCCGCTGCTCGTCTAATAACCAAGCGAACCAAGACGGGAGGGTTGACTTTGTTATCCGTGCTGCCATCTTTTTAACCCTCCATCACAGAGTGTGATAGAGTAAGACTACAGAATGCAGTCAAGTTTAGCCCGCATTCCTAAACCTATTTTTAGGAGATGTGGCCAATAAGATCATCAGTGACTATGAGGTGGGTTACCTTGATTTACATATAATACTTTGAGGTGGTGTCTGCCCAGCCTATTTTTACCCAACTTAGGTTCTACGAGCCGTGACTTGGTAGGTGTGACGGACTGCCGGGCACTTCGCTCTTTTGCGGCTACGGCAACCTCGGTCTTGTACGGCGGAGCTCGAGTCCCGGATAGTGGAATGCGGGATGGGTGTCGGTACTGTGAGTATGACCGAACATGGGACTTCTCGAGGAGTCAGGAAGCCCGGCACCCCGGCTCGATGATTTGGGGTTACTTGAAGGGGCACGATATGGATGGTTGTCTTTCAGAGCAAACATATCGATCGATAAGGTACTGGCTTAATACCTAGTTTCCCGTGGCCATAGTGCCCTGTCCACAGTCAGTCATGGCTATTAGTGGTCTGTTAGAGAAGGAATTCCACATTTGCGTATATTCGACAATCCCACCATTGCAATATTCAAGGTGCAAGTTGTCATAACATTGCTATTTTGAGATAATCGTCGAGATCCTGGGTCACGGAATCTCTCGCAGCGCCACACTAACCTAACATTGACGTCAACTCTTGATGCTGCTAGAGCATATTAAGCTCATTTCACGATTGAGACAATGAGTGCGGCGGCTGTCAATTGACTTTGCAAGCATGAGTCTTGTGGTTGTGATCACGAACCTCATGCCCTCCTTCCCTATGGTTGAGAATACCTAGGGTACTTCTACAAGATCCTCTGAGCTTTCCAGCGTGCGAGCTTTCGCAAAGGGCCAATACGACATTTCGCACATGTAAGTTTTGAGGTATGACTCATTTGCATGATGCTATCCCCAACTTTGCTCTTTCCCTAGGCAGGAAAGGTATGAATACTTACCTTCAGGTAAAGAGCAGAGGGCAGCAGGGTTAGGCGGGCAAAGGCCAAGCGGGGCACTTATCAGCTTATCAGTCCCAAAGGGGTTAGCGCCGACTTTGACCACAGAATTCGAATCGACCCTCAGCGAGGTAAATTCCAGGTTGTTACTCATCGGAAGCAAATTTCGCGGATCAACTTCGACGTCACGAAACCCACGAACAAGAGGCCCCATCCTCCCTCTCCGGTACCGTCGAATACCTACACCTAATCACCTATTCACGCATCAGGCGATCTAACCTCGAGAAAAAAGTCCGACGTCCCCCGACCCGTCACAAGCCAACCTAGACGAATTTACCCCGCCATCCACCCACACCCCGTCGCGACAATGTCTGCCAACGGCGATAACAAGTACGACGACATCGAGTCGGAGTCCGACTCTGGCGAGTCCATCGAGGAGCAGACCGAGCTCAACGAGGAGAAGACTCTCAAGCCCGCCCTCAAGAAGTCCTCCAACCCCGTCACCGCCGACACCACAGTTCAGCGCCCTGCTCTGCCCCCGCAAACCGATCCCAAAGACCTCGACGTCAAGACCCTCAGCCCCCTCACCCCCGAGATTATCGCTCGCCAAGCAACAATCAACATCGGCACCATCGGCCATGTCGCCCACGGAAAGTCTACCGTCGTCAAGGCCATCTCTGGCGTCCAGACCGTTCGTTTCAAGAACGAGCTGATCCGTAACATTACCATCAAGCTTGGTTACGCCAACGCAAAGATCTACCAGTGCGACAACCAGGAGTGCCCTCGGCCGGGATGCTTCAGGAGTTACAAGAGTGAGAAGGAGGTTGACCCCCCTTGCGAGCGCGAGGGCTGCAGCGGTACCTACAGATTATTGCGCCACGTTTCGTAAGTAGCTGAAGCTTTGAGAGAGAGAGCTTACCCCGGAATCGTGAAATGCAAGGACTCGTGGCTAATACTATATCTTCACTTAGCTTCGTCGACTGCCCCGGTCACGACATTCTCATGAGCACCATGTTGTCAGGTGCCGCCGTCATGGACGCCGCCCTGCTGCTCATTGCCGGCAACGAAACCTGCCCCCAGCCCCAGACCTCTGAGCACTTGGCTGCAATTGAGATTATGAAGCTGGACAAGATCATTATCCTCCAGAACAAGGTCGATCTTATGCGTGAGGAGGCCGCCCAGCAACACTACCAGTCCATCCTGAAGTTCATCAGAGGTACTGTTGCCGGAAAGTCTCCCGTCATCCCCATCTCTGCCCAGCTCAAGTTCAACATCGACGCCGTCAACGAGGCCATCGTCAACACCATCCCCGTGCCCCCTCGTGACTTCACCCAGGACCCCCACATGATCGTCATTCGATCCTTCGACGTCAACAAGCCCGGTGCCGAGATTGACGACCTCAAGGGAGGTGTCGCTGGTGGTTCCATTCTGCACGGTGTCCTGAAGCTCGGCGACGAGATTGAGATCCGTCCTGGTATCGTCACAAGAGACGACAAGGGTGCCCTCAAGTGCACTCCCATCTTCAGCAGAATTGTCTCTCTCAACTCCGAGTTCAACGACCTCAAGTACGCCGTCCCCGGTGGTCTCATCGGTGTCGGTACCCGCATCGACCCCACCCTCTGCAGAGCCGATCGTCTCGTTGGTTTCGTCCTGGGTCTCAAGGGACGCCTGCCTGAGATCTACAGCGAGATCGAGGTCAACTTCTACCTCCTGCGCCGTCTTCTCGGTGTCCGCACCGCCGACGGAAAGCAGGCCAAGGTCGCTAAGCTCACCAAGAACGAGGTCATCATGGTCAACATTGGTTCGACGTCCACCGGTGCCAAGGTTGCTGCCATCAAGAACGATGCCGCCAAGCTCGTCCTCACCTCCCCTGCCTGCACAAACATTGGCGAGAAGGTCGCTCTGTCCCGTCGTATCGAGAAGCATTGGCGTTTGATTGGTTGGGCCACCATCGCTGCGTAAGTTCATGCCTCCACTATTCATATAATCAAGTTGCAAAAGAAAGCTAACGTTCCTACAGTGGTGTCACTCTTGAGCCCAGCTCGTCTTAAATCGACAACTGCTTCAAATCAAATCAAAAAACACAAAGTCTCAAAAGCCCATTCTTCAGCATCACAGGAGTCTAAAAAACAATCAGTCAGTCAGTCTGGTAGAGAGCCGAATGGGAAGGAGTCGTAGGGGTGGAGGCGCGCGGATCCGGCAAAGTTTTTGAGTACCAGGCGGGTAATGAATGCACATGAATGAGGTTACCAACTTACCGCGTAAATTCAAAATGACCAGAAGAGAGAGACTAGAAATTCGCGAAATTTGAAGGTCCAAAGATTCAAGGTCCCATTTGATGGCGGAGAATTCGCGAGGGAAAGAAAAACACAACGTACAAGGAAAATGCTAGACGGTGTATGCTGATAGATAGGCCTGGACGATGAATGAGCCCCTTTTAACTTTTCTATTAGTTTTCTATTTCCTGACTTTGCGTGCATGCTTGACCAGGTTTTCTATCACGCCTTCAAAGGCCTCTCTGTCGCCTATCTTTTCGTCCGTCTTCTTGGTCCAGTACTCCAATACCTCCTTGGCCGTTCCCTCCATTGCCTTTAGCCTATCCACGTGCGCCTTGAGCTCCTCGTCCGTCATGCCGTTCAGGGCCTCGTCCGTCGTAGTGCAGAGCTGCTTGGCCGATACGAGGTCCAGGTCCGGCACTGGTGGCGGTCCCTTCTTTTTGGATGACGTCGTCGGTTTACCTTTTGAGTCGACAGACGTCGACGACGCGTTTGCCTCGGCCCGCACCCGTGATACGGACCGAGAATCTGATGATGTCCGCGGTGAGCCAGAGGGGACTTGTAATGAAGGCAGCACGAGCTTCTTTTGCTTGGAGGCTGGGAGGATCTCGTCCAGATCGACCGGCACGCCTAGAGAGACAAGGAAGAGACGGCGGATTCGCGAGCGGATCCAATCTGGGGGAGCTAGCGGCGGAGGTGCCACCAGCTGCGACCACAGCGACGCACTGCGCGGTGTGATGAAGATAGGGTTTTCTTTCGTCAACGGTGGCGGGGAGCTGACGTCTAGGCTCTCTGGGGGAAAGAGGGTGTTGAGGTATGGGTCGACAGCTTGTAGAACGTCTTCGCCGTCTAAGCCGTCAAAGTCTGGAATATCCTGGATTACGGTATTAGGAAGGTCATACGAAATTTTGATAACGATTTGCTTACGAAAGGTAGTGCTGGGACTTGTGGTAAGCTAGGCGCGGGAGCTGGAGCGGGAGCTTGGAACTCGGGTTCTTGGAATCCATCTTCAAAATCGTCAAAGTTGCCGTCGGCTTCGGCGCCCTCTTCAAAGTCGTCGAAATCATCACCAAAGTCATCATCATCTTCGTCACCACCTTCAGCGTCCTCTTCTTCCTCGTCATCGTTATCGGCTGCATCAGGAGGCGGCGCAAGGCTAGCGCTAGACGGACCAGAGGAGAGTGCCGTTTTGGAGGGTTGTCGCTTCATACGAGGCGAGCTTGGTGTTGACAGCGCAGGTGATACAGGGGGAAGATCTACGAAGAATGACGCCAGGTCAACGACAAAATGCTCTTTGAATTTCAGGGATCTCTACATCGTACCGGAACTGCCACCCTCCTCAGTCTCGCCGTCTGGCTTGACAATCAAGTCGGCTGGGGCATCTGCCTTGCGCTTCTCCAAGAACTCCTCTGAGTGCGGCCCTGAATCACCCGGGGCCTCCTCGACGACAGTCTTGGGAATGACTGGCGACTTGGGCGCACTGTCTGCCGTCGACGACGCCTCGCTGCTGTTCTTCTCCTGGATAGCAATCTCGTCCGGCTCAGCATCGCCCTCCCTCAAGCGGTACGCTTCCGTTCCGGGGACCTCGCCGTACGACGGTTCATCGTCGACTTTCTCCACACGAGTTTTGGGAATCGGAGACGTTCCGGGGCTGAGGGGAGCGGATTGAGCATCGGAGAAGTGGTCTTCTGAGTCGGAGGCGTTGGCTGCAGATTGTTAGACAAAAACGGCTGCACGATCATCAAGGGAGACATTGACAAGGGGTGGGGGTTGCTGACCCAGATCGTGTGCGCCAGGGTCGCTAGTTCCAGACCGTCTCGGCGGTGAAAGAGCCTCTTCGTCTGACATGATTCCGTTAGGAGCCCAATTGAGAGCTGTAGGAATAATAGAGTAATGTTTCTTGAGGTTACAACAAGCTGAGGCAGCTTAGGGAGTTATCGATGGTGGGAGAGAATAGGAGTGGGAAGTGGAGGGGGAGCCTGTCGATTAGCGGATACGTAATTGTGTGGGCCGAATAGGTATAGGCAGGTAGCAACTAGCAAGAACGATATCCCCAAGTCGATGATTTGAGGGCAACCGCAACTTTTGAAGTAATCAAGCTGAGGCAAGGGCTTGGTAGCACAAAGACGAGCAGAAAGCATGGAAGCGACTCTTCAGGCTCTTGGGCTGGCTGGCATAAGAAAAGCAGGCTCGCAGACGGTGCCTATCAAGGCTCAAGCACCTCTTGCAGCTTCTAGACTCGCCCGCCAAGCATCACGTGGGACATACCCCGGTTATTTCCACGCTAGTACTTGATAGGCAACCTGTCCCTGGTCCTGGGTCTTTGGGCAGGTGCAGCGCGCCAGTCGCGTGGAGGCAAGGCCTGAAAGGCTGGAGCATCACAAAAAAAAAGCTGTCAACCATCAACACCAGTTGCAGCTTCCCCCAACAACCGGTAGCAACCACACGTCGCAACGAGTCAGCGCATGTCTGCGAGCCAGATCCGATTGCTTCATCGACGACCATCAGAGCTTTAGGGGGTCGATTCGCACCTCAATGCGACGACACTGAACCGAACGACATTCGATTGTCCAGACATCAGCTTGTTGTCACTAGCTCGCATAGAGCTTGCGAGGTTCCGTCAGGCTTCATCTCGACAGACCCCGATCGATTCACAAACCTTCCACACAATGTCCTTCAGCTTCGGTAACACGGCTACGCCGACGTCGAACAGCGGCTCGACCCCGGCAACCTCCGCGCCCGCATCTGGAGGTCTCTTCGGCGGCGCTGCTGCCTCCAGCGGCACTCCCAGCTTTTCCTTCGGCAACCTGGGATCTGGAGGAGCGGCAGCTGGATCGACCGCCAGCACACCAGCTTCGGGTGGAGGTCTCTTCGGACAGAACACTGCACAGAAGCCAGCAGGCGGACTCTTTGGCGGTGGCACGCCGGCCGCCGCTGCAGGAACACCTGGTTCGGCTGGAGGAGGTCTCTTTGGCGCCAAGCCCGCTGCCGGTGCTTCTTCGACTCCCGCATCTGGCGGCATGTTTGGAGGAGCCGGTGCTTCTACGCCTAGCACATCCACACCCACTGGAGGGCTCTTTGGTGGCGGTGCCGCTGCCTCGACTGGCACACCGGCCGCACCGTCAGGAGGCCTTTTCGGAGGAGGTGCGCCGGCGAAGCCCGCTGGAGGTCTCTTCGGCGGCGGAAACACTGCCAGTCCTGCTCCCACTGGAGGATTGTTCGGCCAGAACGCCGCAGCGGGCTCGTCAACCACACCCGCTCCTGCCGCAGCTGGAGGCCTGTTCGGCAACAAGGCCGCCTCAAGCACCCCCGCCGGTGCTCCAGCAACCCAGGCCACTCCCGCAAAGCCTATGTTCTCTCTAGGAGGGTCTACCACACCAGCCGGAGCTCCGCCTGCTGACAAGAAGCCAGCTACCGGGGGCCTGTTTGGAGCTGCAGCGGCGTCTGGATCTGCTGCGCCGTCTCCTTTCGGTGCTGCGGCCGGCGCCGCACCGGCTACAGCTGCTTCCACGACCCAACCTGCTGCCAGCGGTGGCCTCTTTGGTGGTGCGGCTCAGTCCAAGGCCGCATCTACAGCGCAGCCAGCAAGTGCCGGTGGTCTTTTCGGCGGTCAAACACCACAGCAACCCGCTGCCGCCGGTGGTCTATTTGGAGGCTCGAAACCAGCTGCTGCTGCCGCTCCTAGCTCCGGTGGTCTCTTCGGCCAAGGCGCGGCCACCACTACCTCAGCACAGCCGGCTTCCACTCCTGCCGCTGCCCCTGCTGCCGGCGGTGGACTCTTTGGCGGCGCAAAGCCTGCCACTCCTACAACGTCGACACCAGCTGCGGCCCCTGCCGGTGGTCTGTTTGGCGGCAACACATCTTCGACGCCAGCAGCTGCTACGACACAGGCTGGCGCAAGTGCAGGAGGTCTCTTTGGTGGCGCGAAGCCTGCTGCACCATCAGCCTCCACTCCCACCACCGCGGCGGCACCTTCGTCACTATTTGGTGGTGCAGCTGCAGCTACACCTGCGAGCAAGCCTGCGAGCGGAGGACTCTTTGGAGCCACTCCTGCTGCTGGTACCTCTCAGCCAGCTTCCACCCCTGCGGCGACTGCGACCACCGCCGCTACAACCACATCAGCTGCCGCTACCAGCACAACGGCATCAGCTGGTGGTCTGTTCGGAGCCAAGCCAGCAGCTACCCCGGCAGCTGGAACATCAGCTCAGAACGGCACCACGCCTGCCACCACATCTGCCACAACTGGCAACTCAAATACCCTCGCTGCCTCTACCACTGGCCCCACATCCCAGCTTCCTCGCCTGAAGAACAAGTCCATGGACGACATCATTACACGGTGGGCCTCTGACTTGTCCAAGTACCAGAAGGACTTCAAGCACTACGCCAACCAGGTCGCCGACTGGGATCTGGGCCTGGTTGACAACGGTGAGAAGATTCAGAAGCTCTACCTCAACACCTTCGAGGCCGAGAAGGCGAGCCACGAGATTGAGCGCCAGCTCCAAGCCGTCGAGAGCCAACAGGATGAACTTGAGGACTGGCTGAACCGCTACGAGGCCGACGTCAAGGAGATGTTCTCCCGCCAGATGGGACAGGGCGAGACCCTTGCCGGACCCGACCAGGAGCGCGAGCGGACATACAAGCTTGCCGAGAAGCTTACGCAGAACCTCGACGAGAAGAGCAGAGACCTGTCGAAGATGGTTAAGGAGATCAACGACATTTCTGGTACTCTTAGCAAGGGCACCAAACCTGAGGATCCCGTAAGTGATACTGATTCTACCCATGCTGTGCCTGCAAAGCTAACCTTCCCATCTACAGTTGAGCCAGATTGTCCGCGTTCTCAATGGCCATCTCGGCCAGCTCCAGTGGATCGACTCCAACGCCGCATCTCTGCAGGCCAAGGTCTCATCCGCGCAGAAGGCGAACAACAACCTTGGCAGCCAATACGGAGCGCCAGAGAACGACGCTGCGGAGAGCTTTTACCGATCTTACATGGGCCGGCGTTGATGAGGATCAGGATACACGGCAAAGGGTTCTTGTAGAGTTTTTTTTTTTTTTGCTAGGCAGCACAGGTTACGAGAGACAAGGGGCTAGGAAATGCAACAATGAAAGACAACTCAGAATCTCGGGGTTTGTCATTAATCGCTCAATTTGAGGTAGGCTACCTTGAATAGCAATGGATCGCTTCGCAACAATTGAGTTGGATGCATTCGGCACCGCAAAGGTGGTGTAGCATTGAGCAACACAAAGAGTACGTTGTACAGTAGCATAGACTTGAGGGTGAATACCAGGTGTTTGTTTTTGAATTGGTTTTACATGAGATTGAAAAAGCTTCGAATTTCAGACATTCGCTTCGCGTTTACGCGTACTATCATCAGTCTCTGCTTTCCATTTCCAGATTTGGTACATTTGTCCGGCTTCCCCTAAGCCAATTCTTCTCTCCATTTGGTATTATCGCTTTGAAAAGACCTCCTCACTGAAGCGGGGCGGAAATTACATCTTTTTGATTTTGAATTTAGTTGTGCTCGCCACCCTGGTTCTTGGTGATCTCGTCGCTGTTGTGGGTGCGATTGTTAGCAAAACTCTGGGTACAAAGTCGACGTCATTGCACGCGGATGGGGCAGGATCGGAAGGGGGGAAACAGATGGAAAGGCTGGAAAGGATGATGGTGGACTCACATGTGGTCAGACAGCTGCTGGAGGTGGGCCTGCTGCTCGCTGAGCTTCTTCTTGAGCTCGAGAAGCTTCTCCTTCTCGCGCTGGCGGATGGCGTAGTCCTCGTTGGCCTTTTCGCGCTTCTGGAAGGCGTCACTGTGTTGGGCAATTGTCAGCTTCTTGAAATCATCGCAGGCTTGCTGTCAATTGCAGCCTGGCTTTCCATGATGTCGTTATTGTCAATGTGCTAGCAGAGGACTGCGTTCTGTGTGGAAAGGGGCCGCGCGAGAGAGAGAGGAGCGAAGACTTACCCGCCTCCGAACTTGGAGGGAGCTCCAGTGTCGCCCTCGCTCATGGTGCGAGCAGTGGTGCTGAAGCAAGCTCTCGAGGCGAGAGTGAGGGGACGGGCCGCGGCCTTGGTAGCAGCGATGCGCATCATTTTGAAAGAAGTATCTAGAGGGTGTTCGAGGGATTTGGGATTCCAATTGGAGGTGTTTATGTTTTTGTAGTGAAGCAAGTTGGCCGATGACGATGGTGCAAGTTGGACGGGTTTTGTGATAGGTTGGATTGTGGGGATCTGGGTGCTGGTAATGCCTGGAATAGCTCCTGCTCGGGGAAGGGGGGCTACGCTGCTATGCTGCTTGGGAGCTTATTGGACGAGGAGGGGATGATCTGATCCTGTCAAACTACGGAGTACCTAGTCACTTCTTGGTCGGGGGAAGGAGCTTTTGCTTACTCCGGCCTGTCCTTCTTCACCCGACTATGGGGGTACGAGGATGTGATACGTCATACCCGGCGTGAGCGAGGTATCTCGTTAACATGGACGTGCCGGCATTTCTCGGCTTCGTGTGGTTTGGTTCGCTGAACCGGAGAGCTGTGCTGTGGTTGCCTGAGTGTGTTTTCCTCAGGCCACTGAGTGATGGTCACCTGCTTGCGGCCAAATCGTGCTGACTCAATGTGCTGTATGCAGTATTCAAGATGGGCCAAGCAGTCGATGGAGCTGTGATGCCATTGTGAGCATCCGCATAATCCCGTCCTGACCAACACGCAACACATTATCTTGCTTCCATGTTAGACACCTCAAAGATGCTAGACGCTATGCTCTCGCTGAGATGGAATTGCCAGAAACTGTCAGCTTCAAATTACCAAGAGTTGCGAATTGCGTGGTGTTTTGCCCGGCCGGCGTTGTTGCTCCGGGACGGCTTATGCATAAAATGGTACTCGTATATCTCCATTCCGATGATTCTCGTAGGTCCATTATTCCACAGTGGGTTGCATTCTCCAGATATCCGTAAGCCCGTAGGTACTCCGTAGGCCGCAGCCTTATCAGCCCTTGTTGTTATCTCCGGCAAGGCTGAATCTCCTTTTTCGACTGGGATGGTCCCCGGGACTGTGGAAGAGAGATGCGGGAGATCTGTCGCTTCAAAGGCGACCGATGGGGTGCCGGTGGTGTGTAGTCATTGTGGTGCGACGTCTTCCGTCTTTGTCTCGCAGCCCGAGGTACCTTTTTAGTGGAGAGGAGAACGTCTGCCCTCTACAGACCACAGAGAATCCGTACGCCGCGTGTGTTAGTGCTGCCTTGGCCAAACTTGAGATGGCTTCATGGCTTCAGACTGCTAGCGAAGAAGAGGAAAGGACGGCTTCTTTCTTCCCAACTCTCCAGCCATCCCTCCCGCCAAGACAGGCAACGGCAGCCGAGGAAACACATCATCTTAGTTCAAGGGTCCCGGCTACGGACAGCAGTATGCAACCTACATTGACGCGAGGTAAGATGCTTTGCTTTCAAAGACCTTTAGGTCAGGCAAGGCAATCCAATGTGACCAAACAACGGCACAAGTGCCCGAACTCAAAGGATGAATGGGGGCACGGTGGCCGCTCGGCGATTGCATGAAAAGAAGAGACGGGGTGGGATGAGGATAGACGGGAAGAGGGGTCTGGCCTCGCATCGACTTGCAGGTTGTATGATCTGGAAGCAAGTACATAGTATGTATATTACCCAGTAGACCAAAACTCTGAGTCTGGTAGTAGAGTTTGGCCATGGAAAGCGAAGCAACAACAAACGATGGAAGGTGACGTGATCTGGGTGTAGCAAGGTCAAGCAAGACTGGACAGGTAAGTAGAGGATCAACAGCAGCGAGCTGGTCTCTGGAGTCGTCTTCTTCAAGGCCCTGGGATTGAAACCAGGTTGTCCATGGTGTGGCATGTTGGGCAGTGTGTGCCTTGATCATATCCGTACCTGGATTCAAGGCCTTCCACGAGCAATAAGAAAGTAAATCCACATTGAGCGATGCCCGGTGCTCTGGAGAAAGAGCACGCCGGCGCCGGGGAGTTAGACCTAGAGAGAAAGAGCGGAAAGAGGCATGAGAATGTATCTCTGTGTACCCCCCACTTTCTGTCGCAGAGTCAGGTTGGTAACGTAAGGCAGGCACGGGGAGTCTGGAGAGGCCTTATGCGTACGTTTGGAAAGACTTTGGGGGCTCTGCCACTCTAGAGGGGTGACTCTCTCAGCCGCAGAGCACAGCCGCAATACCTAACGCTACCCCAGGATGATTCACGTGAGCCGGCCATTCCAGGGCTAGCACGGCGCAGATGGGGATTGGTTGAGACGCCCCTCGACCGTGACTGGCCAGAGCGTGGCTCACCAGCCCGGTGTGTCCCTGCCCAGTGCCCATGGAACCCGGCAGGAAGTCAACCACTCAAGTCGGCTCCCGTCCAGTCCAGTCGGTGCGGCAGCAGCCACCCCCCCTCTTGCCTACCTTACCTTACGTCTACCTACCGCCCCAGCGTGTTCCCCCCCAGTCAGTCCAGTCGCCTTGCCTTGGCTTGCCTGGGCCACCTCACGTATTGTGCAGCCCAGAGCCCCTTCCTCAATTTCCATCCATCACCTTTTCGTCTCATCCATTTCTCAACTTCACAAAACTCTCGCACTACCTTTGCAAAACCGCCCACACCCGCCTCTATTTACCCTTCGTCACGCTCCCTTCCCCTGCTCCGATCCAACTCGAGTCTCGACACGGGAATCTTCCATTGACAACTTATCCATCGTTCCACTCGAACATCCCCGCCAACCTCAAAACATCGCACCAAGGTACGTGGTCCCCTCCCCCCATCCCCCCCGTGCCCCCTCTGTCGTCATCGCATCCCTCGCCGCAATCTCCTTCCACCGATTCCCAACAACCGCCTGCTACCGATTTGCGTCGCTCGCTTCACGAAGCTGCCATCCGCTTCTCTTTCTGCATCGATTGAGAGCTTCACCGACACTGCGCGCCCTATCTTGACCAGTCAGGCGCAAAACCCCACCAGGAGCGGGGGGCCGAAGCCAAGTCATGAAGTCAGCGAGGCGCATACGCTGCAACTCGTCCTTCTCTCGTTGAATCCACCCCGTCGCTCTTGCGAGTTCAATTTGCGCCTCGATTTGCCGACTAGTCCAAATTCCACACTCACAATACACTTGGAACCCAGTTTTGGCTTCCATCTCCTGTCACATGTGCTAACCAATTCCAACGTTCCAGATACCAACCGCCACAATGGGTCAGGATGATGCTGTGTACTTGGCCAAGCTTGCTGAGCAGGCTGAGCGCTACGAGGGTATGTGGCCGTCTCTCATCGAACAAGATGGATTATACTGATGACTGGGCTTCCAGAGATGGTTGAGAACATGAAGATCGTCGCCTCTGAGGACCGTGACCTCACCGTCGAGGAGCGCAACCTCCTGTCCGTTGCCTACAAGAACGTCATCGGTGCCCGCCGTGCCTCGTGGAGAATCGTCACCTCCATCGAGCAGAAGGAGGAGTCCAAGGGCAACTCTTCCCAGGTTGGCCTTATCAAGGAGTACCGCCAGAAGATTGAGGCCGAGCTTGCCAAGATCTGCGACGACATTCTCGATGTCCTCGATGCCCACCTCATCCCTTCTGCCAAGTCTGGCGAGTCCAAGGTCTTCTACCACAAGATGTAAGGGTTCGCGTCTATTTCGGTGTTGGAAAGATATGCTAACAACCTCTGTAGGAAGGGTGACTACCACCGCTACCTTGCCGAGTTCGCCGTTGGCGACCGCCGCAAGGACTCTGCCGACAAGTCCCTTGAGGCTTACAAGGCTGCCACCGAGGTTGCCCAGACCGAGCTTCCCCCTACCCACCCCATCCGCCTCGGCCTCGCCCTCAACTTCTCCGTCTTCTACTACGAGATCCTCAACGCCCCCGACCAGGCGTGCCACCTTGCCAAGCAGGCCTTCGATGATGCCATTGCCGGTCCGTATTGTCCTATTCGAAGCAAGCGAATTCACTAACAGTTTACAGAGCTCGACACCCTTAGCGAGGAGTCTTACAAGGATTCTACCCTCATCATGCAGCTTCTCCGTGACAACCTGGTAAGTGACTTTGGCCAACTATGCAAAAGAAAAGCCGCTGACGACGAACATAGACCCTCTGGACCTCGTCTGAGGCTGAGCCCGCGGCGTCAGGCACCGCTGAGGCCCCCGCCGCCGCCAAGGAGGAGGGTGCCTCCGCTGAGGCGCCGGCCGCTGCTGCCGCTGAGGAGCCCAAGGCTGAGTAAGGTGTGATTAGTCTCGTAGCATTCTGCAACCTGCGTTCATCGCCGGATTTGGGTGGACTGGTGTCTACGGAGTGTGGACTGGAGATTTCGTTTTTGCGAATCGGCATCGTTTAGGCAATACACACAAGAATTGTGAAGGGGTTGATTTTTTTCTAGCACGGGGCTGGCTGGGGGCTAAAGAAGAGCATTTTGGAGGTTGATTCCACGTTTGCTTTTTTAGACTCTGATGCAAGGCCGTCTGGACAACAACAAAAAAAGACTAAAATTGCTTTCAAAGAAGCATATCCGGCAAACCAGTTTGGAAAATCGTGTGACATAGTTGCTTGATACTGCCACTAATTACGATCTGGTGACGGTAGATGTTTGTTGAAGAGTGTTCTGTACCATTCAGAACTGCCCACTGGTCGACAAAGGTGAACTGGGGTAACTCGAGAGCCTCGAAGTGAAGTGGCATGTAGAGGAGTAAATTTGAGATATCAAATTCTACCGTAAGAGGCCACGAATCCAGTCATACAGGCTGGGAAGGAGGTATGATACTATCAAACGACTTCAATTGCAAGTCAAACCTATGGGATTGGCTGGAGAGACGACCACGGTAGCCAGAAACGCTGGACATTGGAGGGTGCTTTGTTTTATTGGGAAGATAATTCAAACACCTGAGATGGGTGATATAAAGATATAGGCCACGGCATTGAAACGGGCGTGACGCATCGTAAACCTCGTATGTGGGATCGATTCTGTCAACACGTATTCATTTTCACACAAACGAGTGAACAACACGACAAAGTGGGCACGATTTTGATCCATGAGATTAATATCTATGGCGTCTTTTCAAATTTTCCAAATTTCTTTTTAATTTGTTTCATTTTCATCTTCGTCTGAAGACGCCTTGGTTCTATCAATCATCCGAGACCACAGCAAAATGCACCTTCATCCAAAGACTACAATCCTGACAGCCGACGAGCAGCTCCCCGTTCTCGCCCGCCTCTTCCAGGTCTGCCTCCGTAAAGAGGAAGCCGCGCGGGTTGCCGCACCGGCAGCTGCGGTACCAGCTGCACTCTGCCTCGGGATCGTCTGACGGAGGCTCTTCGATTTCGAGATCGTCGAGGTCGATGACCTCGATACCCGTCTGAAAGGCCTTTTCCTCGTCCCCGTCGCCGCGCTGGAGACCTTGGTTGTTGGGCGCCAGGTCCAGGGCGCGGTCGTATTCTGCCCTTTGTTTTGGGTCCGAGAGGACCTTGTAGGCTGATGAGATTTGGTCGATTGAAAAGGTGGCGGCAGAAGCAGAAGAAGAGGGTGCTCGGGTGGTTGTGCTGGTGGCAGGAGTACTCTTGAGTTGTGGGTATTTGTCTGGGTGGTTTTGGAGGAGGGCGCGGTGGTAGGCCCGTTTGATGATTTGCTGCGGCCCCGCCGTCGTTGACTGTTCCTGGACGAGTTTGCGACTTATACCCAGGATAGTGTAGTGAGTGTGCCCTTGTCCCGGAGCCGCGGATGAAGACGTCATTTTGGGCTAAGAGGGTAAGTGAGGAAAACGGCGGCGGCGGACAGGGCCGCTTGGATTGCGGGCTGTCGTTTTTGGGATTGTAAGTGAAAATTTCCCTGGCGAATTGGAGTTTTTGGGAAGCTTGTTTCTGCGGGGATCACGTGAGTGGTTTGCGGTTGAGAGACGACTCCAAAATGAACTTCTGGCATAGCTTCTCAAGACGTGACCAGCAGCTGGTCTTCTTATAACAAATTCTCCTAGTAATTCTGGTTAATATGCACCAATTTCTGAGTATGTGGTGGAGGGGTCAACATGTCGCTCTCATCGCCCAGACGTGGGGAAATCCCCAACTATCGCCAAGGGAAGGGGGTTCAAGACGGCGGGAGTTGATCGAAGTTCGTTTCTTATACATGATAATACATGGTATATGTACATCGTCTATAGTATTGACGCAGCGCAAGTGAAAAGTCCGAATAGAGCGCTTATTTGGGGAATCTTGTCCAGTTCTTCTTTCCAACCTAGGGCAAGTTTGTCAGTATAACATGTCCAGAAACGCATTCGATGAGATGAACGCTTACCTTCTTCCACTCCTTGATGAGCTTTGGCATCGCCAACACAGCTGCTCTCCTCTTCTCCATTCTGCAGCCACATGGTTAGCAATTCTTTCTTTTGACCCAATCAAAAGTCCAAGAGCGGAAAGAGGGCAGACATACCTGGGCTGCACCATCCTCTCGTGAATCTTTCCCTTGACCTTTTGCCCAACACCAGTACCCTTGACCCTCAATCCGTGCTCGACGCGATGCGCAATCCTGTACTCGGTACCCTTGACCGTCGGGGGCAGCAGTTCCTCGACGCCGTGCTGGCGTGCGAGTTTGACGATCTCGGCCTGGCGGCGCATGGAGTAGACGGGGTCGTGCCACTTGCCCGTGACGGCGTGCTTCTGCGACTTGAAGGGATTCGGGGTGATCTCCTGAAAGCCCGTCTTGGGGGGCGTCGCGTTGTGAGGCAGGATGGCGGCGGGCGGCCAGCGGGCGAAGAAGCGCTGGAGCTGCGCCGGTAGCGTCTTTGCCAGCTGGATGTATTGCTCGGCGGCGGCCATTGTGTGTCTATTCGGGATGCTCGTGCTCTATCGTCTTATTTCCTCTCGTGCAAGCGCTATGGCATTGCCAGGTCGTTGTCGTGAACGGGAGTGCAGGGTTTCGTCTGGCAATTTCTCTTCGTCGGTTTCGTTCGGGGATGGTCTCTCAATCGATACGCTGGACAAATTTCCATGGGACAGACCAGCCTTATCCACCCCTGTACATGCATACGACTGACAGGGGTGTGAGCTCAGAGCTTGGGAAAGAATTGCCGGAGACTCTGTCATCTGATTGGGTCGCAATTGTGTGGCGCTTCCTTACTTGTGGCGCAAATCGCAGCCTTCTCTCAAGGTATCTGAAATAAATCATCCATTTTCAACTTCTGAAATACACAGTCACTAGACGCCAACTCAACTTGCAAGCATCTGACGGTTTCGCGAAGGACTGCTTCCAATCACCTCACTTGTTGCATCCATAACGGATCGTGAAATCGTGGACCTTGTCGCATCAAGGGGTTTCCGCCATTGTCAGCACCTACTTAACACATACTGCCACAACGAAGACCTCCGAATCCAGCAACCTCTCCCTCATCCTTCCCTTACAGCACCACACACAACCTGAGAATGAGCACCAACCAAGCGAAGAAGGTCCCTTTGGACCTCGAAGAGATTCTCAAAAAGAAAAAGGCCGCCGATGCCGCATCATCGAAGCTACGATTCATCCCAAAGAAGGAACGAGAGCGCCAGGCAGCAGAGAAGGCCAAACAGGAAGAGGAAGAGCGCAAGCGTAAAGCCGAGGAGGATGCGAAAAAGAAGGCAGAACTCGAGAGGAAATGGGCTTCCGAAGCGAATGGCACGGGCGATAACAGAGCGCAGAATGGATATGGCAGCAGAGTTCCTACTGGTCCCAAGGCTATGAATGGCACGGAAAACGGCAGAGATGGTCGAGGTGCCGGAGGCCGCGGGCGGGAAAAGCCAGAACGAAAGACGACAACGAAGGACGGCAAGGAGAAGAAGACTGCAGAAGCTATCGAGGCCGACCTGCTGCGCAACCGGTATCTCGGACCGGAGGTGAACAAACAGTCCAACTTCTCGGTGAAGAAGAAGCGCAAGAGGGCAACGGAGTTCAAGTTCGAATGGGACGCGGAAGAAGATACCACGCTCGAAAACGACCCAATGTACGAGTCCAACTCGACAACCCTGAAATCCTATACATTTGGTAGTCTATCTGGCGAGTACACTGAAGAAGCCGAAGAGATTGCGAGGAGAAGGGCAAGGATGATCGAGGAGAGAGACCGCGAATTCGGAAAGCAGCGGGCAAAGGAGTTCATGGAGGACTTCTACAAAGCACGAGAGAAGGCAAAGGAGCGCGCAGACCGGTCAGGCCTGGGCAAGCACTGGTCGAAAAAGACACTCGAGGACATGCGGGAGCGCGACTGGAGAATTTTCAAGGAAGACTTTGGCATTGCGACAAAGGGTGGCCTCATCCCCAACCCAATGCGCAGCTGGAAAGAGTCAGGATTGCCGCGAAGGCTACTGGAGATCGTCGACAGAGTGGGCTACAAGGACCCTTCGCCCATTCAGAGAGCAGCTATTCCTATCGCGATGCAGGCTCGAGATCTCATCGGTGTGGCCGTCACTGGTTCGGGTAAAACTGCAGCATTTCTCCTGCCGTTGCTGGTCTACATCTCGGATCTGCCGCCTTTAACGGAAATCAACAAAAACGACGGAGCGTACGCCTTGATCCTGGCGCCTACGCGAGAACTGGTCCAGCAGATTGAGACGGAAGCGCACAAGTTCGCCGATCCGCTTGGCTTCAACGTAGTCAGCATCGTGGGTGGTCACTCCATGGAGGAACAGGTCCATGCATTGGGCAAAGGTGCCGAGATTATTGTCGCGACTCCCGGTCGTCTGGTTGATTGCATCGAAAGACGCGTTCTTGTCCTGTCCCAATGTTGCTACGTCATCATGGATGAAGCAGATCGGATGATCGATCTCGGGTTCGAGGAGTCAGTGAACAAGATTCTCGATGCCCTGCCGGTGACCAACGAGAAGCCCGACACGGATGATGCGGAAAATGCGACTTTGATGAAGAGCTATCTCGGTGCCAGGGACAGGTACAGACAGACGATGATGTACACGGCCACCATGCCGCCGACTGTCGAAAAGATTGCGAGGAAGTATCTGCGGCGCCCGGCCATCGTCACGATCGGTAATGCTGGCGAGGCCGTCGATACGGTCGAGCAACGGGTCGAGATGGTGTCCGGCGAGGACAAGAAAAAGAAGCGGCTGCAGGAGATCCTTGCCGCTGGGGAATTTGCCCCGCCCATCATCGTATTCGTCAACATCAAGCGCAATTGCGACGCTGTTGCGCGAGACGTCAAGCAGATGGGCTACTCTGCAGTTACGCTACACGGAAGCAAGACGCAGGAGCAGAGAGAGGCGGCGCTGGCGTCGGTTCGCAATGGGCAGACGCAGGTTCTCGTGGCAACAGATTTGGCAGGAAGAGGTATCGACGTGCCCGACGTCAGTCTCGTCATCAACTTCAACATGGCGACCAGCATCGAGAGCTACACGCATCGCATCGGTCGTACGGGTCGCGCGGGCAAGAGTGGTGTTGCCATTACATTCTTGGGCAACGAGGATGCGGACCTCTTCTACGACCTGAAGCAAATGCTCTCCAAGAGCTCCATCTCGCGTGTGCCCGAGGAGCTTCGGCGGCACGAGGCCGCGCAGCAGAAACCCACACGAGGGCACAAGAGGGCCGGTGGAGAGGAGCAGCAGTCGTCAGGCAAGGGGGTCAGTGGGGCGCCTAATGTAAGGTAATGGGTGACGGTAGCATGGCGAGTGGATGAGAAAAGAGACTGAATAGATGAAAGTGGACTAGGTCCGGCCTCATAGATTATCGTGATAATCTGATCTGATAAAAATTTTATGTCCGAGCTATTATCGTCGGCGCCTCGGTTCTGTTAGCGTCTCTACTTTTGTGCCGTCTCTGCTGTCGGCCCTCCACACCGTCCCATGTTGCTGTTTTTTGGACAAAATTGTGTCTGATCATTGTGGGTGTTCATGTACGTCCTAAGGCCTTATTTGATCCCCAAAAATTCATGTCTGTCGTTGAATGTCTGTTCCAAAAGATTGGCTACCTCAAGTACCTTTTTGCTTACTGGGCCTTGATATCTACTTTGTACCTATGATCCTAGTTCCTGCTTAGATGGCGGGGCTCCTTGCTGTGCCTGACACCGACAGCGGGGAAGGATTCAGCACCCGCCCTCATCGGTTCGGGGTTTCCTAGAACTCACCCGACTGCCTAGCTCCCGCCGACCAGAACTGACAGGGCACTTCAGAGTTAACCCCACCATAAAGAGCACTTTTACGCAATGTTCCTCCCTCGGTCTGATGTCAGGACCCTCAGGGATGTTCTAGGCTTAGAAAGTGCGCCTAGTGTCTCGCTGGGAGACGCAGAACGCAGTGCCCGATGCAAAGAGCCAGGTAGGGTACCTTATTCAGAAGCGGGAAAGGGAAAGAGAATAAGAGAATTTTCTGCAACCCGACCCAAGGTGACTTGGCTCTGGGCAGGGACGGAGTACATCCAAGTTACCTCAGTTATCGAAGATGGGAATGTACCTCCTCCCATGCTGACCTTGCCTTGCTGGTGCCGCCCAAAACTCCACCAACAACTTGCAATTCCGCGCTTCCTTCCTACTGCGCGCCCGCCCTTCACCGTTTCTTTCACATGGTTCTAGTATAAACCGCATGCCATGCGCCTCTTCAAGTCATAAGCTGGCCGTTTCGACAACCACGTTGTTAATTCCCTCTCTCTCCTCTTCTAAGTTCTGGGTCTCTGGGCTGCCTCCCTCCCGTACTCCCTCTCTCTCTTTCTCTCTAGCGCGCGGGCTTTTCAACGTTGCGAGAATTATTTTACCCAACGGGATCGACACTGACACAAACAAGCCCTTCGAATTGGTCGCAAGCTTGGTGCAAAGAGTCCCCAACTTGGAAACTGACCTAAACCATCCCCGGTATCGGTGGGTATTTTTCTGATCGAATACCACCCACCCCCGAAAAAAAAGTTCTTGGGCGTTGCGCGCTTGCTGGGTGACACACTCGTGGACACTGCCCAGCTACATTCGCTTTTGCCCCGCGGTACCCGTCCGTACTCCGTCTTCCTGTGCGGTCATCCCACCTCCCTGATTCAACTCAGCACGAGGGGGAGCAGTGAGGACAGTGCTGAATAGCCTTCTATTCAACCAGACGTCCTACACTTGCTCCTTTTTTGAGCACACTTGCTTCTTCTTTTGTTCTTTGGTGTACTTGGTGGTCTCGAAGTTTCACGGCCGCAATCCAAAAAAAGCTGTTGAGCTGCGGTATCCTGGCTGGTACTTTTTCGACGAGCGACCAACTCGCGCAAACGCACAATAACCCCCTCCCCTCGTCACACCGACCTTTGAGGGATAACTTGAGGGTACTCGATCCTTCGTCCGATCTTACGCAGACCTTTGACGACCTCCAAATAGCTCAGGCAGCTATTAGCTAGCCATCGCACCTCGCAATTACCGTCACAATGGACTCGGCCGCAGTAGCGATGGAGATTCCCCACCATGACGCACCCGTGTCGCTGAAGAAGAGCCGTACCGCGGCTCTGGAGGCCATGGAGGACATTGTCTACGGATCAGTAAGTTGCCCGCTTGCGAATGAAGCTTTGAGCGAATTTCGTTGACGAGCCAATTACCACCAGGTCGCCGGCGTTGTCGGAAAATACATCGAGTACCCCTTCGACACGGTCAAGGTCCGCCTCCAATCCCAACCCGACAACCAGCCTCTCCGCTACAAGGGCCCGATCGACTGTTTCCGTCAGTCCTTCAAGGCTGAAGGCTTCCGCGGCCTATACCGCGGTATTAGCGCACCGCTCGTCGGAGCCGCGCTCGAGAACAGCAGTCTGTTCTTCTTCGAACGGATCGGTCGCGCCGCCGTATACCAGTCGGGCTGGACGCCCCAAGGCCAGGAGCTGTCACTCTCGGCCCTGTGGTTCACCGGTGCCTTCTCCGGCTTCTTCACTTCATACGTCCTGACGCCCGTCGAACTCGTCAAGTGCAAGATCCAGGCCCCTGCCGGCGCCGACGGCTCGGGGGCACCACAGCAGCTGCGCCCGCTGTCTGTCGTCCGCGATATCTACCGCCACCAAGGCCTCAGGGGCTTCTGGCATGGACAAATGGGTACTCTGATCCGCGAGTCGGGCGGCTGCGCTGCGTGGTTCGGCAGCAAGGAGACGGTGACGAAGATGTTCAACGTGCTCAACGACCGGTCGGCCAAGACGCAAGGAGAGAGGGACGCCTTGGTTGGGAAGCCATTGCCGCTGTGGCAACAGGCGCTGGCGGGCGCCTCGGGCGGTGTGTCATACAACTTCCTCTTCTTCCCGGCCGACACAATCAAGTCACGCATGCAGACGGCAGCTATCGGCGACGCGGCGCTGAACCGGTCATTCTGGCAGGAAGGCGCGGCCGTGTGGCGGCAACACGGGCTGAGGGGTCTGTACCGGGGCTGCGGCATTACGTGCCTTCGCTCAGCGCCCAGCTCGGCCTTTATTTTCATTGTTTTTGACGGCCTCAAGCGACACTTCCCTCTGCAATAGAGGTACTTTTTTCCCTTTACACGTATCAAAACCCTTTTGAGATATCCCTAGACTCGGGTGGTTGTGGCTGCTACTGTGGTTAGAAGGCGGGGAGGTGGTTTTATACAACTTGGCATTTAGAAGGCGTAAAAGGGGATACGATTCCGGAAACAGTACATATACTTATACATGTGCATACACTTTGGGCGGCATTGGCCCGGCTAGATGGATGTGGGTTTTCAAACAAAAGTTGGGAAGAGACGCAAGCGTAGATTATTGAGTCTTTTATATACAACCTTGAGTCAAAGGCTATCCGATTTGACTTGTTGTTCCTTCTTTGCCCGATCTGTCTTTCATTCGGGGGGTTCCCCTTTGGAGACCATTACTGGTTCGACCAAGTTATCGCGCAATATTTGCGACTTGGTGGCTGTGATGATCAAAGAAAAGTAAAGAGACTCGGTATGCTTTATTCAACAGCTGCTGAGACTTATGTCGACCAGCCTTACCTAAGGATTCCGTTTTCTCGTAAGATTCCATGCTGCTTTGATCTGTGACACTTATGTGCCTCTTATCTTCAAGAATATGGCCTGATATTGTCTACCTGCTTAATGGTTTTCAGTTCACATGTCGAGCATTTGTTCTTGGAAGCCTGGATATCGAATTTCTTTTCCTAATAAACGCTCAACGTAAGGAATAAGCCAGCCAATACCAACTAGAACGCCATAGCACGCAGATACGCCCACCAAGTCCACTCCTCCTCTTCTTCCTTCTCTAGACCATTGCACGAGTCACAAGCGCCCGCACGACAGCGGTAACAATCGCAACACTACTGCTTCTTCCCAGCCTTGGCGGCCTGTTCGGCCTCGTACCGCGCCTCGGCGCCCTTGAGGTCCCAGTCGTTGAGGTAGCCGGCCCCAGCGCAGAGGTAGGTCGCAAAGGAGAGCCAGCCGAGGTAGGGGACGAGGCAGGCGCCGGCGACGGCGTCGACGGAGCCCCAGAGGTAGGCGAGGTAGGAGTTTATGCCGAGGAGGGCGAGGATGTCGACGGTGGCGGCGACGGGGCGCTTGAGGAGGAAGAAGAGGGGCATCCAGATGAGGTTGAGGCCGAGCTGGATCGTGTAGAGGGTCGCGCCGTGTTTTGTGTCGGCGATTTGGGAGAGGGTGGAGGTTGGGGAGAGGCCTGTGTGGAAGGCGCGGTAGGCGGAGTAGCCCATTAGTCTGAAGGGCAGTCGTTAGATATCAGAGGAAGACGTCATCGTGAATTGGGAGAGAGTAAGTCAGGCTTACCCGTAAAGGAGAGTCCATGCTGGACCAAATACCCACGCGGGAGGGCGGCCGGGAGGGTTCTTGATGGCGGCATAGGTCTTCTTAGTATCCTTGGCTACATAAGATTTATCAGTATCGGTATTCCATGAGGGTAGGAAGTATCTTCAAGGGGAACGTACGCCGCGAAGAGAAGCCGACGGCCGTGCCGAGAGCGATGGGGAGCAGGATCGAGGCGGCGGCATTCTCGAAGACCTGGTGGGGTAAGGTCAGGGCCGGGATGAAGGTTGTCATTGTGGCCGATTTCAGTTATATAGCCTGTGGGAAATTGACTAGAAGTGCAAGAAAGGCACGAGACGCGATAATTGCGAGTGTTGTGTTTATAAGTAAATTGCAACGGTTCGTCTGGAACATGCGATGCGAATGGTGAGAAGTAACCTCGGGGCGGGTCCCAGTCCGACATGCGAGGAAGCTATCCTCTTACAGGAGAGCTATGACGCAATGTAGAGAAAGTCTCCTGTCAGGAACCACCTCAATCTGGCGACTTCTACTTCGAATTTCGATGTTGACGAACGGGAAAGCGCAAGTCAGAGACACAGGTACTTACGAATCAAAAGGTGCATGTGGTGCTTGTCAATTCTTGAAATACCATTGGGCCAAAGCAGTGAAAATTGTCACGTTGTCTGTCTGCCCATTTTATCTCAACTGAAGTGGCAGTTTAGCAGATGGGGACCCCCGTTCCTCAGATGGACATGCTTCTGCCGCTACAGGGGTGAAGCTCTGGAGACCGCTGAGGATCGGCCGCCGTTGTTCTGCACCTCTCCAGCAATTGAATTCCACTGGACATTGACCCGCCTGTCACGGCTGGGGGCAGCTGCGACGGCCTTAGCAACTCCTGAGGAAGGCACTGATAACTACCTCACATTACATTACAGCGCTTGCCAGGTGCATTGTGTAGAGAAGGCATATCCAACTCGGAAAGACTCTTTCTGGGCTCAATTGACTGCAGAATCTATCAAAAAGAACTTCCTCTGCAGAAAAGGTCCTGGTCAATCAACGACTCGTATCCGGCAAGTACATATGCGGAACGAAGACGTATGCAGTTAAGAGTGCCAACGCTGCCGAAGATCCTCCGGAAAATAACACTAAGCCCGTTTCGCTCAAGGTGGACCTCTCCAGCCGACCCTTTGTTCCTGTCTCGCTCCCATCGTCTCGTCGCCCTTTGAGAACGGAGTCGGGTCAGCCTTCCCATCCTCAATCTCTCCTTCGTGCATCCCAAAACCCTCTCCTTTTGGATCACGACAACTTCACGCGTCTTATCGTCGAGGCATACGCCCTCGCCATCGGAATAGTTCGTTCTTCCCTTTCTTTCTGCATTATCTTTGCTCATCCGCAACCTATTGTCCATCCATCACCTCAATTCAATCCCCATTATTCCTGTCTTCCCTCTCCCAGACCATCCATTCTTACTCCCGCCCAACTCCTGTCCAACCATCCTCGTTTGTCAATCATTCTCAGCAGGCCTCATTTGGCATTCCGTCTTTCTTCTTCTTCCGTTTGCACCGTCATCGTTAGAGTGACGAGTCGGTTTTCAACTCATCTTTGCCCTCTGGCAGCTGCACCACTTTTTACTGCTACTTCCGTCCCAAATTCTCAATTCTTTCTCTATCTCTTCTTCCGTTTCCCTCAGAAGCCGTCCCGTATTCCGCCTGCAGAATGATTTCTCTAACCGCAATCATGTTGCCAATCAACAGGCTTCCTCCTTCCTTCCTTCGATCGAGCAAGCGAAACGAAATTATACGAGCAGCAACCAAGCAGCTACCCGACGCCGACGCGATACTTAATCTGGCTGAAGAGGTCAATTGAAGTCAACAAAGGCGCCATTCACCGTCCCACAAAATAGATCCAGCGCGACATACCTACGATGGATTCCTACTCTTCACATCGAGACTCCGCGCGCTCGCCGGGCGACAGGACGTGGAGCAGTCGCGACGACACGCGAGTCAAGGAAGAGCGAGCTGACACATTCTACCGTGGTAGATCGCCTGGTGCGTAGGATCTCTGACTATCCCGTCCAATGGCTCCGGTCGTTCCTTGCCGAGTCTTCTCCCACGATACTGAGCCTTGTACTTGCAAGGGTTCACTGGTCAAATACTTACAAATCTTTCAGGCCATGAGCGTCAGCACCGTGACAGACGTCGTTCACGATCCCCAGCTGCTATCGACCGATACGAGCCAAGAGGCCGCGGTCGCGATGACTACGCTGGTGGCAGAGATCGCGATGATCGCCGGGAGAGAAGAATCCAGTCACCGCCAGCCAACATTGATCGCTACGTCCCTGGACAGGACAGCAGCGCCTCTGCGCCGATGACCGTCAACCCCCTTGCGGATCCCGTCAAGCTCCCATACCAAGTCGGCTTCTCATACTTTGGCGAATGGTGGAGGATGAACGAAAAGATAAAGGAGGAGAAGGAACGCCAACGCACTGGTCGTCGCCGTGAACCCGAACGTGCCCGAGGCACACGTGAAGCACAAGAAGAGCGCGAAAAGGAGAAGGCCAAGATTCAGGTCGCGTATGACGCCTACAAGGAAGAACTTCAAGCAAAGATGGCTCGCACTTTTGTTGGCGAGCACAAGAAGGAGCAGTGGTTTCGCGAGCGCTACGTTCCTGAAATACGTGACGGTTTCAGAGCCCAGCTTCATGAGTTCCGTCGCGGCGCTTACAGCCAATGGGAACAAGATCTTGAGTCCGGAACCTTTGACGAGTTTTCGCTGGAGGGAATTCCCAAGAGCGAGACTAATGGCCTTGGAGGCCTCGTAGAGAAGGAGGAAGGTGAAGCAACCGCCGCCAACGAGATCCTGGGCGTGGGAGACCTTGTGCCAGCCAACGGCGGTGACATCAGAGATGAGAACCTGTACCAGCCTACCCTTCTCATCAAGACCATTGCGCCCCATGTCAGCAGACAAAACCTCGAGACTTTCTGCAAGGAGCATCTCGGCGAAGAAGAGGGCGGCTTCAAGTGGCTTTCTCTGTCAGATCCCAACCCCAGCAAGCGGTATCATCGTATTGGTTGGGTTATGCTTCACCCTTCATCAGAAGTTGCCCCCGCAGTCGTTGACCGTGTCGACCCTAAGGATGAGGATGGCGATATGCCTTTGAAGTCACCTGCAGTCGTGTCGACTGCTGAGAAGGCCCTTGATGCTGTCAATGGTAAGACTGTCAAGGACGAAGTTAGGGGCGATTTCGTCTGCCACGTCGGAGTGCACAACCCTCCCAGTCACCCCCGAAAGAAGGCTCTCTGGGATCTCTTCTCTGCACCTGAGCGAGTTGAGAAGGACCTGGGCCTGGTTCAGCGACTCGTCAACAAGTTTGAGGAAGATTTCGGCTCTGACTTCAACGCCGTCTTGAAGATTGAGGAACGTGTCGACGATCTTAAGAACGGCGGCCGCCTTCAGTCCGCAGTCACTGCACCCAAGAAGAAGGCCAAGAAGGAGCGTGACCTCGACGTCGATGACGGCATGGACGAACGAGAGGATGGTGCCATTGACGATGACGAAGATGAGGGTGCTGTTGAGGAGGACGACGTTGACGACGAAGACCTCTTGGTGAAGAAGAAGCAGCTGGATCTCATGATTGAGTATCTCAGACGCGTCTACAACTTCTGCTTCTTCTGTGTCTTTGAGAGCGATTCAATCCACGAGCTCACTCGCAAGTGCCCCGGTGGCCACCTGCGTCGCCCGAGGACCACCCTTAGCACTTCCGCCAAGGCCGTTGCGCGCGCTAGTGCCAATGGGGAGCCGTTCCCTGGCAAGAAGCGCAGCGAGATCGAGGAGGAAGGCGAAGCGACCGAAGACAAGAAGTTCCGCGGTACTACCGGCAAGGCAGAACAACAGCTGCTTCGCGCCTACAACTGGGTCAAGACCTTCGAGGACAAGATTATGCAAATCCTTGAGCCCGAAACGGCAGACCTGCGCAAGCTTGGAGGCCGCCCCGTTGAGGATGCCCTCAGTGACGAGCTGCTAAAATACGTGAAGCAGGAGGACGAGCACAAGTGGAGATGCAAGGTTCCCGAGTGTGCCAAGTTGTTCAAGGAAGAGCATTTCTGGCGCAAGCACGTTGAGAAGCGCCACAACGAATGGCTCGAGACCATTGAGCAAGAGGCAAGTCAGCTCTCCCAGCTACTTATGTCAGCTGCTAACCAACTCTGTAGTTCCATCTTATCAATGCCTATGTCATGGACCCATCTCACATTGCTCCATCAAGGACTGATGCTAATTCCAACGGTCACTTCCCTCCTGCTAATGGCTCTTCTGCAACTGGAACCCCTCGTGGATTCAACTTGCAGAACTTCACTATGAATGGCATGATGCCCATCCCTGGATTCCCCATGCCACCCGGTGGGTTCCCGCCGTTCGTCGGTGGCGGACACCCCGGTATGCAGTCCGGATGGAACGCCGGCGGCGATGACCGAGGAGGCCCCGGTCCCATTCGCCGTGGAGGTATGAGTGGTAGCCGTGGAAACTACCGAAGCGGTCCCTATGACCGACGCCCGAATCCTCGTTGGGATGGTGGTATGAGGGGAGGAGGCCGTGGTGGCGCCGGCAAGTGGGGAGACGGTGCTGCCGGTGGTGGAGCGGCTGTCGGCCCAAGAGAAGCCACTCAGGGACGTAGTCTCAAGAGCTACGAGGATCTCGACCATGTCGCTGGCGGCGGCGGCGGAGAGCTGAATTATTAGGACAAGAACTACTCCCATCGCTTGGAACGTCGCAAAACAGAGGTCAAGGGGTGATAGAACTATTGGTTGTTATTGAGCAACCTTTGACTCGTGCGACTGGTCACGGGCGCCGAGAACGACGCTCTACCGCGGGCATGCTTCTTGCAACATGGGCATTGCATAATCATCGGGCACATCAAGTTGTACTTTGTAAAATAACAAAAACTTCGGGGTAAGGTTGGGATTGCGAATGAGAAGGGTTTTTAATCATTTGACCTGGATCATCAGATGAAACAAGTCTTGTCAGTATCCGCGTATGCTGAGCAATGCTGATTTAAATGCCCTCTTATGTCCTTTGTTATAGAATGTGCCTCCTATCTCAACATGCAGAAGTCAAACAGTCTATGCACTGCTTCCCTACACAGCTAAGGCTGTCTTTCATCTCTTTCATATTGTTGCTGGCACTATATCGTTGCCTCTGGTTGACAAAGATCCCTTCAATAAGGGGCTAGTTACTAAGGGTGTAATTTAGTCATTTGCTTTTGGCCCAATAATTCTTTGAGACTTGATCGACTTTGCTGACACTGAATTTCTCTTGCTACGAGGCCGTGCAGGGCAATTCTGCATGCTGATCCAGGCAGTCAAGAGAAATAGACGGTCACTAGCCGTATTGCTATCATACCCTTTCACACACTGCTTTACTTCCATGGCTGATACTACGAGCTCAAACAGGCGTGTTTCGAGATGACGCGTTCAGAATCTTCATCGTCGGATCAGGCCTCTTTTCTCATCAGGTGAAGACTTCAACTGAATTTCGATCCTTGACATGAGGACTAGTGTCTCGTTCCTACTGTTCTCATTTGTCTACCTGCCGATCATGGGGCATTAACGCTGCCGACTTTGACAAATTTGTTTGATATAAGGTACTTATCTGTATGCTTGAGGGCTGGGGTAAGAGGTGTCAGCTCTCGCTCCAAGTAGCTAAAACTCGCTTTAGGGTTCTTTCCTTGACATAAGATCTAGTATCTAGCTATAGTAAGAAACACTGTTTTCATGTTTACTTGGTGACAGCATTCTCACTTCCGTAGGCTGGTATAAAAACCATGACTTCTTTATTTTCCATAGCTCAGAAGTGAAAGATATAGCTACGTGTAGCCAGGTTCGCCTCTCGTTTCACGCTAGTGAACGTATTCGAATCCAAATACGTGGGGCGAAGGGAGCTGGCTGTCTGAGGGATGGTCAACGCGATGAGATAATGTGTTCAACATCAAGATTGAATAAGAAAACTTAGAGGGGACGTCAATATGAAGGTAGCAGCACCACTCTCATATGCAGTTCGACCAGACCCAAACCCAGAGAACTATGTGCTTGAAGTGAGCGTTCTTAGCAGCCAGGTATCAGGGGCCTTTATTGCTTTTCTTATCAGTAGCTCATCCCGCCAACCGTGCCTTCCGATCTTATCCTCGACCCCTGACTTACAAGACCACGAGACGAGCAGAGTAAAAGGTGTATAGTATACAGATTTAAAGCAGGAGCACCCCTCGGTTCGAAGCCGCCGAGGCCATCTAGCTGAGTAATTGATGGTATGAACAAACCGGAACGCTGTTTTTTTCTCAGGCATATGGTTCGACTCCTACAATCCAACTGTTCGATAGTCAAGTTGGCCTCTGATGACCTATCATCACAAGAGCACGCAATACGTACGGTACACAAGAAGCAGGTTAAAATTCAAGTCTCACTGAACGCTGCGAACCTTTCTATTCTACATGGGTAACTTCATGATGTTCTCAACTCCTCACAGAAGCCTTCAGAGCCCCGTCCAGCCTTTCCAAGTCGGGGCTCACGCTCTCATGGCTCTTGAGCGTCATGACCGCCGCCTTTTGCGCGACATCGATCAAATCCTCCACCTTGCCTCCCTTTGACAGGCCGGCAATCAAGACTCCCAAAAACGTATCCCCAACACCATTGACAGATACAATCTCCTCGAGGGCGACCTTCTCAGCAGGCGGGAACAGGCGCATGTAGACACCGCCGACGGTGGGGTGATCAACGTACCCTCTCGTGAGCAGCCACTTCTCTTCGTTTCTGTCCTTGAGTCTGGGATCATTCTTGCCCAGGATCGTAGTCAGGAGAACACCCTTGGACCCCAGCTTCGTGACTAGGGTAGGGATGTACGGCAGGAGGTGAACCGTCTGCACGGGGATGCCCGCGTCCGTCATCTCCTTGGACGTAAGAGCCACGAAGCGATCCCGCGCACCGCGCATGTTAAAGGCGTCAATGACCTCGAACCACTCGGGCGTATCAAAGAAGCCATTCTCCTTGGCGGCGCTATACATGGCGTTGAGCTCAAAGTTGTTGGGCGACGCGATGTCGATGCCGGGGCTGGGAAAGACGCCGAGGTGCGGGTGCTCCTTGGGGAAGAGACCGATGGACTTGGCCGTCGAGACGGGCTCAAAGGCGACCTTGCATCCTTGCTCGCGACCGGCGTCGATCCACGCCCGGACGTCCTTGGGGCTCCAGTTGCCGTCGACGACGAGCCATGCCGGCTTGGCGCCCGCGACGGCGGACTTCCAATAGTCTGGGAAGGAGTGGTTGGCAAAGATGCCCATGTCGGCCATGGCCATAACGAGGTTCTTTTCGGCGTCGTTGACGGCGACGTACTGCGCCGTGCGGTTCGCGACGTGGTACTCGGAGGTGAGCTGGCGGATGTAGGTTGTCTCGAGGCCCGAGGCTTTGAGGGAGGATAAGACGGTTGCGCCGGCGCTTTTGACTTTGGCTTAGTCCATAGTACCAGGTGTAAAAGGGGGGGGGCGGACTTACACGTCGTCACCGATCAAGCTACACAGGCGTACTGTTGTGTCTTTGCTTACTCTATGGGCGGCCAGAGCGACGTTGTGACCGACACCGCCGATGGACTGGTTAATACACGCAGGGTTCGAGGTTTGCATATGAGGTGCGACCTCTTTCTTGTCACCTATGGGATGGTAGTCGCAGCTCAGGTCAATCGCCACGGAGCCCGCCACAAGAACATCGGCCTTGCTAGACTTGGGTTCTTCCACTTTGACGGTAGCTTTAGGGAGAATGTCATAACCAGAAACATGCGTGCTTGAAGAACTATCTACGCAGTCAGAGTCCGAGTCCCCGGCTGAGCTATATACAACGAAATCGAAAACTTACGATTTCGAAACGCCCTCGTTCAGCAGTTTCGAGAGCTCCACCGAGATCTTGGTAGCCCGCGCAACGTTGGATCTCACCAACGCCTTGTTGGCCAGCGTGCTCCGCTCCTCCGTCAGCTGCCTGATCCTGCCCAAGACGTAGGGCGTGTTCTTGGCGCCCGTGAAGCCCTTCTCAATGGCCTCCGTGACCGCCGTCTCGATGACGGCGTCCATCTCCGCGCGGGGGATGCCGTACTCCTCAGGGATGGGGTTGGCGAAGAGCATGCCGGACTCGATGCCAAGGGTCTCCTGCGCCAAGATCATAGCGGCGGCCTCGCGCTCGGTCTGGACGACCGCGGGGCTCTTCGTGCCGCTCTCGCGAGCCCAAAAGGCAGGGAAGTCGACGTTGCCGGTTCGGCCGTCGGCGAAAGTCGCGACGAAGGCGCCGTGCGTCTCGAGGAACTCGAGCGTGCGCGGGATGTCGAGGAAACCCTTGCAGCCTGAGCTCACGACGGCCACGCGCGTGCGGCCGAGCTCCGTGAGGTCTGCGGAGACGTCGAGGGAGTTCTCGCCGCCGCGGTGAACGCCACCTAGGCCGCCGGTGCCGAAGACGCGAATGCCGGCGAGTCTTGAGAGTAGCATGGTCCCGGCAATGGTGGTGCCGCCATGAACCTTCTTTCCAGTGATTCCCTGGGATGTGTTAGAACTGAGGCATGGGACATGTGCAGAAGACGTCCGTAAATGATGCAACGTAAATGACAGCGCAATGCTATCTAATCAGACTTACCAGTCCAACGAGGTGTGCAACATCTCTCCTCGACACCTTGCCCGCTGTGCCAGAATCGACCATGAAGGCAACCTCAGCTTCCGTCATTCCAACGATAGGCTCGCCGTTCAGGATACCACACACAGCAGGAACACCACCGCCCTGACGGACGATGTCTTCCAGACCGAGATCATTGCCCAGCGCACCGTGTGTGTAGATTGTAGACTCCAAAGCCACAACCGGCTTATTTGTGGCAACGGCATCGGCAACCTCTTCAGAAACACGCAGGAGATTCTTCAGTCCGCCTGATTGGTATGCGGCGGCGCTCATGTGACGACGTGCTGCGTTGGCCCCAACAGTTTGGCGGGAGAGCTGCAGCTGCGAAAGAGCTTGTCTCGCCAAACGGCAAGATGAGCGTGGCACAATCATGTTTGATAGACGACGGCGATGTGCCGTGCCCCTGGCTGCTTGGTTGTCTTGATGTGGATGAAGTGATCAATATTTTGCTCTTTGGATAGCGGGACTAGCCGCCAAAGCTTGTCGTTGAAAGATGTAAAGGTTTGAGAATGCTACTGAGAGCTAGACAGGACTCAATTGGGATCGCTGGGTGCTCAACATATAAGATGAACGTCTAGCTTCTAAGAGCAGCGGAATACGGCGATATGAGAAGACGTCCCGCCAAGTACCCAGAGCCGAGGTGCACGCCCTCCGAAATACAGTGGTGCTTACCTTACTTACAAGGAAGGTCCAGACTGAAACCCCACCACGCCACGCTGCCTGTGGCTTAGCGCAAGTGAGTTTCGCGATCCCACGATGCTCACTCTCAAGACTCATATCCATGACAAAAACTTCACAAACACCACCCTTTCTTCACAATAACTCAAAAAATAATGAGCCAGAGCTCAAGAATACTCCTCGACGGGGAATTGAACCCCGGTCCCCTGCGAATCGTTGAAGTTTCAATGACAAGCAGATATCCTCACCACTAGACCTATCGGGGAAGTGTGGATGTGTTCATCCAGTGATAGTTGTTGACAACCGGGACCCGCCGAGGGTATATGAATGATCCATTTCTTAGCGTAAGAAGAGACATAGCCCTAAGCTTAGTGAAATAGTATACCGGCCGATATATACCCCGGTCCTTCTTATCCTTACTACCTCTCTTATTGCCTCTCTCATTACCTCTCTCATTGCCTCTCTCATTGCCTCTCTCATTGCCTCTCTCATTGTCTCTCTCATTGCCTCTCTCATTGTCTCTCTCATTGCCTCTCTCATTGTCTCTCTTACTACCCTCTTTCTCGGCTTCTTGAGGTATATTATGGATAGAATACTTAGAAAGTAAAGAAAGGCAATTGTCTTAGCGATGATAATAGTATTAGGAACAGAGCTCTAGATACACTTAGGGATACCGATTCCTAGTCCGATCTCTTACTCCTGTCGGGATCAAGAAAACAGGCCTTCTCGAGGGTGTCTTTGTCTTCGCCATCGGAGAGGTTGAGGGTAATAGCAAAACAAGTAACATACTATTACAAGATACCGCCCTGTCATTCATTGTGGAACAGATCGAGGCACGAAAACCCTCCGCCTCCTCACAGCTTTCTGCTTTGCAGGACAAAGTTGCCACGAACCCGGCTCTGTATTTGCACAGTCACTACATAAATACTACAATCATCCTGTTATGGCGCACACAAACACTGTCGACTGTGGGTTCATCACGGGCCCGATCACCAAGAGCGATGGAAAAGAGTATACCTGCCTGAGCCACTTTATCAACCACTAGCCGACCATCGATAGCTACCTTGACATAGAGTCTGATGGCTTCGTCGTGCTTCTATAGAAGCTGCTCGATGGATTTTGAGCTCATTAAACTCTCATGCGGGTGATAGATTCATCCATCGCTCTTCTGGGCCAAATCTGCTACTCTAATAGGGAACCAAAACAAGAGATAAAATTATTTCCCCGAGAAATGCTTTAGCTTATTCTCCATTATTATATATTATTCAATCATTCTATCAATTGTTTTAGCTTATTCAGTGCTGTATAGGGCTTAGGTAGAAAGAGAGAGCTTGAGAGGACCGGCGATTGACTTTGTTGCCCGCGTAACTCTTTCGTAGAGGCAGATGAGTACGAGGAGTACAAGGACGACGAGCATGATTCTGTTGAGATGCTAGATGCGAGCTCGGTGGACTCCTTTGTGGAGGATGATGGAGAGAAAGACGAGGAGCTAGCGGATATTACGGCTTTGGGGAAAGTCTTTTCTAATATCGATGAAGGCTTTATGGGAAAAAAGCGTAAGCGCGAGGAGGAAAGGGTATCCAGGAACGAGGAGAAGAAAGCGAGACGTGCGAAGAAGATGAAGTTAGTATAAGAGGTAGAGGAGTAGCTCAATTTCGGGGCATTTGGAACCCCTCTGAAGCGAGTCTAGACGCATACTGGGTAGTCTTTTATCTTGGTACTCTGAGAATTCATTTTGGTTTCCTACCTTTGACAAACAGTACGAATAGTATGAACAAGGAAGTCAGGAACAATAAGCAGGCAAGTAGGCATCGTAGTCTTGTGTTGACCAATATCCTATTTTGTCACCGTCCAAGTCTCGCTTTGGAGGGGTTCTAGATACCCCGCAATCGAGCCTGATCATAAACCAAGTGCCATTGGTTGATCTATATTCTAGCGTCTTTAGATAAACCAATCAAATCATTCATGAAAATGCAAGGCTGAGAGCTCCATCAAAAAAATTCTGGACGTCCTCTGCAAGCCGCTCGTCCATTCCCACCCCGATCCGCTGGTGCGCCCACGACCAAACGAGACAAGAAAATCAACACCGACCGGTGACAATGGCAAAAGAACAACCATTTGAGCAATTCTCCGAAGAGGAAGAGGTCACCTCCTCCGAGGAATCAGAACTCGAGGAGGAAGTCCCCCGCCAACGCAAACCGAAGCCCGTGTTCGACGAAAAGGATTCCGACGAAGAGGAGCTCGAGAAGCTGGTCCTAGGAGGCAAGGCCGATTTCCGTGAACAGCTCTTCCGCAACGATGTGCTCGGTGATATCGAACGACTCGAGAGAGAAAAGAACCTCCAGCTCACCAAGCCGGACGAGGAGCCCACACTAGAGGAGGTCGCCGACCACGATCTCTTCTTCCTCGACACCGGAGTCCCCGCGGCAAAGGGCGGCGCTAAGGCGGGCAGCAAGCAAGAGCCAGCCGCCGTTGACGAGAACACGCCCGCGTGGGAGGACAGCGATGACGAGCGATTGACCGTTTCCCTGGCGACCGCGACGAGGTTACGAAAGCTGCGCATCACCGAGGCCGAGGACATGGTCAGCGGCGCAGAGTACAGCAGAAGACTGAGACAGCAGTTTGTCCGCCTCAACCCGCTGCCAAAGTGGGCGCAAGAGCCGTCGTCCGAGGGAAGGCCCGCAAAGAGGAGAAGACGCTCCTCGGCCGCCGCCTCCGACTCCTCCATCAGCTCCGACGAAGAAGGCAGCGATACAGACCTCTCCGCGCCGCCTCTCGAGAAGTTCATGCGCGACGTTCACCGCCTCGCCGGCAAAGGCGCCGCCAACGGCGGCAAAGCCCGCCTCCGCCCCGAAGTCATTGACATTCAGCGCACGCGCGAGATCCCCGACACCCACAAGGCCGCCGTCAACAACCTCTCCTTCCACCCGCGATACCCCGTCCTCCTCTCCTCGAGCGTCTCATCGGTGCTCTACCTGCACCACCTCAACCCGACGGCGCACCCCACGCCGAACCCGATGCTCACCTCGGTGCAGGCCAAGGGCGTCGACGTCCGCCGCGCAGAGTTCCTCTACCCGTCGGGCGACCAAATCTTCTTCGCCGGCCGGCGCAAGTTCTTCCACAGCTGGGACCTGCAGACGGGCAACGTGCAAAAGACGTCGCAGATCCAGGGCCACAGGCTCGAGCACAAGACTATGGAGCGATTCAAGCTCAGCCCCTGCGGGCGGTACATGGGCCTCGTGGCGTCGACGCGCAAGGGCGGCGGCATCATCAACATCATCAGCACCGAGTCGAGGCAGTGGATCGCAGCCGCCAGGCTGGACAGCCGGCACGGCATCGCCGATTTCGTGTGGTGGAGCAACGGCGAGGGCATGTCGATCCTCGGTAGGGACGGCTCCGTCGGCGAGTACAGCGTGGCCGAGAAGCGGTTCCTGGCTGTATGGCACGACGATGGCTGCGTAGGCGGCATCGTCATCGCACTGGGCGGCCACCAGGGACCCGAACTCCTGGGCGACGACAGGTGGGTCGCCGTCGGCTCCAGCAGCGGCATCACCAACATTTACGACCGCCACACGCTCGTTAAGACGTCGTCCAAGGCCGGCGAGGTCGATATCGAGCAGCGGCCCGAGCCGACGCGCACATTTGAGCAGCTTGTCACGCCCATCACGGTGTTGACCTTCTCCCCCGACGGCCAGCTGATGGCATTCGGCAGCACAGAGTCCAAGGACGCGCTGCGCCTGGTTCACCTCCCCAGCTGCACCGTCTACAGGAACTGGCCCACGGAACAGACGCCCCTGGGCAGAATCACGAGCGTTGCGTTTGGGCGGAGCAGCGAGCTCCTCGCGGTCGGTAATGATACGGGCAAGATTAGAATGTGGGAGATTAGGAGTTAAGAAGGGTATCCAAAAAGAAAACTCGGTTGGCATGTTTGTGTATTGAGGTTTATCATCTGGCGTGAGGGCCTGTCTTAATTCCATCCTCCTGCATCAAAACGGTCTATCCTCTGCGCTCTCGTCGTGTCGCCCTTTCACTCATCTCTCATTTCGGCTTTAAAACCTCATCTTGCGTCGTAGGGAGCGGAGCGGATCGCCCTTGGGAAGCTCCTTGCTGGACATGAACATGTGATTCTTGCGGCAATACCTTCCAAGTTGGGAGGGATTCTTGAAGAATTCGACATCACCCGGCCGGTTCTCGACACTGAGAAACTGCTTGATGCTGATGTGGACCGTCTTCAAGGCCTTCATTCATACGAGTTTCATCTTGTCAGCCGCCGATGCATCACGCAGTGGTTCTTGAGGATAACTCACGCTTCGGCATTGGGTCTTGGTGGGCAAATCCGCCTCCAGACCCAGATCACCGCAGAGACGCTGCCAGTCAGCCAACTTTCTCTTGCCAAAGTACTTCTCCCAGCGCGCGACGAGGTTCGTCTGAACCTTCGCCTGCTCCTTCTCGGTCAGCTTCCTGTTCATCTTTGGCGCGCTGTTCTTGCCGTTCGCCTTCTTCTCCTCATTGGCATCAACGTTCTTGACGTTTTTGAGGTCATTCAACGCCTCCTTCAGCTCAACACAATGCAAAACCGCATCACCACCCTTCTGATCATGCCCGTCGTGGTTGCTGCCGCCGTCGGCATCCTCCTCCCTCTTGATGTTCAACTGGATCATCATCTCCTCAATGTCGTGAAGATCGGCGCCTCCTTCTCCTCCATTGTTGCCATTCTCCTCGCCCTCATCATCTTCTTTCTTGATGGTGAGCTCGCCCATCATCTTCTCCACATTCTGTAGCTTGGCGCCTCCTTCTTCAGCTGCGGCCTTCTCCCGGGCCTTGCGGGCGGCGCTCTTGGTTCTGCGAGTCATTGTCGGTGTGAAGGAAAATGACTGAGGCCGAATCTGAAGGAGAGAAGTGAATAGCGGACGCAAGGTGAGATGTTCCTCAACTCAAACGAGTATGAGAATGAAGCATGGGCCGATGCCGATATGACCGAAAACGGTTTTATGCGGGCGCTCCGTTTGATGCCCCCCCCCCCCTGTGTTCTGGTTCGGGTTGAGAGCCGTTGGTTGAATGAGGGGGATAAGGTCGCACAAACCCGCCGCGGAAGGATGGCGATTGCAAATGGTGGGAGAAACGGTGAAGTGAGAGACAAAGACCAACTCGATTGAGAAGCAGACGTGTATTTTCCCTCGTGTATTCAGGAGAGTATCCAGAGCCATGAAATATTGCGTCTCAACTTTAGAACCTACATGGACCCTGAACGGCGCAGCATGAGATTGTCTCTGGTCTTAGCACAAACCTTGATCCCAGTCACATTTAATTACAGCAAACTCAAACCAGATCAGTGTAAGGCAAAAGAGACGAGCGGGGGAATCATATTAATCTGCACCTAAAGAGAAGTTCAAATACTGATCGAGGACCACGGCGGATGGGATTTCTATACCGCGTGGTCGTGTAGAGAGAACCGAGCAAGTTGAGTCGTCTAGTAATGCGCTCGAGGTATACCATGTAAGACAGATTGAGAGACGTGCCAAGTTTAGACCAGCCTCGGAAGAGACAAACAGTTCCCCGAGATAACCGTCTGCGCCTATGTGCCTATAAAGGGGTAAAGAAAGAACAAGAAACAAAAAAGCCACAGAATTGTATATGACACGATCACACTATTGGAGCATTGCTCTTAAACACTATCATTCAGAACTAACCGTAGAGATCTCATGATTATGGCCCCCGAGAAACCATTCAAGGTACTTGAGTGCTTCGATGTCATCCAAGTTTGTTTGTCTACCCTTGCCACGAGCCTCGAGTCTTACCCCATTGCATTTCCAACTGCTGGTGAGCGGCGGCGGTATGGCGAGCGAGCGCCCAAGGGCGGTAAACGCAACTTTCGGGAGACCAACGGCTCAAGTCACACAGAGTTCTGAGAGGAACCAGGCTGACCTTGATGAGAGTAATGTCCAAGAGTCCGCATATATGTCACATCTGTCACAAGCGAACATATAGAATAAGTAGTTCATACCGGTTTCTAGATTTCGTGCTTTTGAATGCCTAATCCAAGTCATAGCTATGTAGACTTCGCTTTTGATCAGGCAAAACAGCCCGCCATGCATCGCTTGCGCGCTTGCGTTGAAACCCGCTGTATCAAAACAAAATACCCCAAACGCCAATTCATGCCAACAACCGGATTTCTGCCAGGTGGCCACTGGACCTAGCCTCCGTGCCGCCGTCCAATTCCCCCAGGTCATAATATCATCATATTTTTAGAATCCTCTTGTGACGTTTGTCCTTTTGTCAGTCCCGGCAACCCGTTCAAAACGCAAAAGCATTACCCAGCCCCAAGACTCCTGCACCTCCAATTCCTCTGCTCTCGCTGTTGCGTCGACTGTTGCCAGGCACAAGGACCATGCCCCTATCGTTCTCTAGTGTCAATAATACTTGCGATGGCCGGCGTTCTAGCTTCCCCTGACTCTGCAGGGCTCTGATACCGACCAAAGCACCACGGAGACCAATGTCGAGACGACGCGGTTCCTGGAGGCCAAAGAACCCTGCAGTTGGTGATGAAAATTGACGCTTGTGACCGAATGATCCGCCGAGGGATGCGTAACTCGAGCTGGGACGCGCAAACAATGGCCGAGGAATCGACATTTTGCGCATGTGACCGAAGTAGCTGTCGCTCGATTCGTCAAAGTGGTATGATCTTCTCTGCGGCGACCAATGCGAGAGAGACATGGTTTCGTCGTGAACGGTCGCATCGCCGGAGAATTCGGGGAATGGAACGGTAGGCTCTGAAGGTTCTGAGTAGTCCGAATCCTCAGTTTCAGTCATCAACGGCGGGGTAGATGGTTCACAAGTTTCCTCTTTGTCGCTGAACGAGGGCGCCGAGTCCGATGTCGGCGTGCGTAAAACTTCGTCCGAGACGGACTGGGCCTCGGTCAGGACTGGAGGTTGTGAATCTCTGTGAATCTGTTCGGAGGGATCAAGAGTCGGCTCGGCAGGTTCCAGGGGAACCGCGGACAGCTCTATCGCTTCGGGGGTAGGAGGAACGTCGGGAACAGCAGGCTCGTGTGTTTCAGAAACAGAAAGGTCCTCGGCAACTTCGGGAGGAGAATCCTCAGTTGCTTTGGGGAGCAAGGGCTCGATTGCCTCGGGAATGTGCGGGGCGGTGGTAGGTTCGATCGTGTCAGTGGAAAACGTACAAGAATCGACTTTGATAGTCGAAGCCAGAGTGGATGTCACATCCTCAAATAGAGAACCTGACTCCATCACCTCGACAGCAGGTGGCAGAGCTCCCTTCTCAAGGTCAAGAGAAGGCGAAGCTGAATCAACCCGATTAGGTGACGCCGTCGCAGAATCGAGAATGAGAGGTGACAGAGGCGCATTGTCGAAGTTGACGGGAGAGTTCAGTCCAGTCTCCGTTGCAGTTGCAAAGCTTGAAGGGCTCGACATGACGGCGAAGGCAGTTGTAGAGTCTGCGTCATGGAACTCGGCATCAGAGTCGTCCTCGTCCTCTTCGACGATGGTTTCAATAGAGTACTCTAAGAAGCCTTCGAAGGATCGGGGAGGGGTAGAAGGCCTAGCTCGCGGTACGTCTGGAGTGATGACGATCACTGGCTGTTGGCTTATCGACTCTTCGACCTTTTGAACTTCGGGTTCAAGCAATGCTTCCGACTCCGGCGCAACCGACTGTTCGTCGGCATCGACTGGCTCGCAGCAGTACTCGAGCCAACCCTCTAGAGCAGGCTCTTCAGATGGCTCGTCGACCTTCGCGGCAGGCGACACCGGCAAACAAGCGGCAGCAGACTGGACCTTGACCTCCGACTCAGCAACTTCTTCGACCTGGACAACCGCATCATCTGATTCTGGTGAAGGCGACGGTTCCGAGTCGGTCAGTGACCGCTGCTCGGAACCAGAGTCGGTTGATACCAGAGATTGTCTGGAAACAGACCGACTGCCTTTGCCCAGCAGGCTGAACTGTCGTGGGCCGTTGAAGCGTTGCATCGTCGGTGTCGGCGGCCCTACTAGTGAATCGTCGACAAGGTCGCTATCAGAAGTTTCTGAACCGGCAATGTTCGGGTCTGCGTCAAATTGTTGAGGGGTTCCCGAGAGCGTTCGCATAAAGGTAGGCGTGATCAAGAGACTATCGTGGGGCGTGCCAATGTTATCGTCGGCAAGGCTTGGAGTAGACGACGAGGATGGATATGTAGTTTCGCCGTCTTCGGTCATCGAGAAGGACAGACTGCTTCGGCTGCAGTCAAGCTGATCTTTGAAAGCAATTGCTTTGGCTGGAGTTTCAGGCTGTTGCGAGGGCCCCACGGTGTCATTGACGCTTTCGGCCATCGTTTCAACCCCACTGCTATTCTGAAGCGTTTCATCTTCGAGGATCGAAGGTTCGGACGACTCTGTGAAGCTGCCATCGAAAGAGTCCGGCACGGCCCCATTTGGCGTCGGGATCGGGAGCGGGCTACTAGATGGTAAAGCTTCCATCTCTGCAGGGTCATTCGCTGCAGGAACTGGCCGCTCGACCACGCGAATGTTCTGTGGCTCAGAGTCGTAGAGAGCGCACGTGTCTTTCACCACCAAAGCAATGTCGAACTGGATTCGGCTCTTAAGTTTCGACAGGAAGTTCTCCTTCAGAGTCTCAAGATCTTCGTCTTGGCGCTGTCCCGTCGCGTAGTACGGCGAACGGGCCACGAGGGTCTTGTCCAAAACCAGGTGGCCACGCTTGTGAACCATTAGAGTGATACTTATATCGTTGCCTCCGAGGATATCCGCAACGCCGGTCTGCACTCTGTCCAAGATGGCTCTGACCGTTCGCCGAGAATAGCAGGCAGTTGAGTCGAGGCAGACAGCAAATGGCTTTTCGGTTTTCCAGCCGCGCCCGGACAGCTCATAGACAGTGACTCTGAGGTCGTCCATCTCATTCAGTTCTTTGTCAGTATCATCTCGCACCGCTTCAAAGGCATGTTGGAGCTGGCTCAAGAACTGGTCGCAGTCGAGACCTTCGGGGTGTTCGAAGAGGAGCAAGTTGCTATCAAGCTCGCGGCGCAGGTGCCTGTGATCCAGTCCAAGTTGATTCCGTATTTGGAATCCGACGTGAACGGCGTTTTGCTCAGAGTGATGGGACTCATCCAGGAAGTCAAATCTGTCACGAGATTGGCGGTGATGCCTATCAAACGCCATCTTCCTAGCATCCAAGGCACGTTGCATCGCTGTTGACAAAACCCATGCCATGTCTTCTCCATGGGACAAGGTCAGCGGGGAGCTCTGCTTGCTCTTCAGCGTGATGGTACGTTGCCATTCTCTTTGCCTGCGTGACTTGCATCGACTCCGAAAGGACAGAGTGATCTCATAGCCGGGGACGAATTCCCAATCTTGGGTAGTGTCAATGAAACGCGATTGGGGGATGTGAAGGAGGGAGACCGGGTTGCTCAAAGGTTTGAGAATTTCCAGCTCGCTTGAAGATCGCTCACGTGTCTTCCCATGCGTCCATCTGAAAGTCTTGTCGTGAAGCTTCATAAAGCAGCCGATAATGCGGTCTGTCGAGCGAGCGATCTCCATGGCAGATGGCTTATCCATGGGATACTTCTGGTACGAACTGAACGTTTTCGTAGCCCATGGTTCCGGGCCTCCGCGGTAGATCTGGTAGGTTAACTCAAATCGGAGCGGCTTCCCTTCTCCAATCTGCGGGATAGTCCGCTCGAGGGCGGTTGAATCTCTGCGGGTGAGAAGCTCATGAGAGCAGTGGGTTAAGCGACGTATAAGTGCTTGACATAGTTGATCCGTCGGCTCGAATCCGTATGATGATTGATATTGTCTCTCGTAGGTAAGATCCAGAGACGGCTGGAACTTGATGCAGACTCGGATAGCC